CCTCCAAAACAAGCTGCGTGAAATTCAGGTCCGTACTTGGAGTCTGCAGTACACCATCCTCAAGACGGGCCTCAAGCTGGTGGCAGCCACATCTGCTGCAGACGTCCGGGCATCCGCCGTCCCGTCAACCCCAGGCTCGACACCAAAGTCACCCCCTGGGCCTATCACACCTACCAAGCCATGCTCACCTCCTGCCGGCCACACGCCGCTGCCACCTTCCCTTCCTTCGATTCAGGCCGACCTCGCAGAATTTATCGGCGCCATTCACCAGGTTGTGGGCTCCCGGAAGTACTGCAAGGCCTCAAACAAGATTTTCCTCCGCCTGGTGCGCGCCGAGCTGCTGAAGATGAAAGGCATCGACAACTGGGAGGACTATCTTGGCCAGGTCCTGTACGACCTGCACGGCATCAAGCTCGGTGTGGGCTCGTCTGAAGTGCAGGAACACGGCTGCCCCGTCGAGAAGCTGGAGCGGAAGAATGCACTTGCCCTGGTCGACAAGGTCATGGCGCTAGCCAGTGGCATGCAGATGAAGGACCTTCTCAAGTCTGACCTCAAGAACACCATTGAGCACATGCAGCAGGCCATTGGCCAGACACGGTCGACCAGCCAGATGATCCACAACCTTCGCTATTTTACCGAATACCTGAAGCGCCCTATCCATCCGATGCGCCTCTACGAGGCATGGAAGGGTGTCGTGGAACTCGACACGGTGTCGGCCACCACGCCGGATACCGTGCTGGCCCGCAGCGGCTGGTTCTTTCTTATGGGCATGGTGGCCCTGACCAAGTTCAAGGGCGTCGACCTCAACCGCCGGCAAACGCCAGGCGCTACCGACGATCTCCGTGTTGGCACGCAGTACTTGCGCCTGCAGCTGCAGCTGACCCCGACCCGGTGGGATGCATGGTTCCGTCTGGCCGAATGCTCCGACTACGACCTGGACGAGGCCGTGCTCTGGTCTGCCGAAAAGATTAACAAGGATCGCGCCGAGCTTGTTAAGCTCCAGCGCAGTGCCATCCACTGCTACACGCTGGCCTTGTCCTACTACCACGCCGACCCCAACGAGCTATCCGAGAACGACTTTGACGCCGTGCACGACCTGTACGCTGATTTTGGCCTGCGCATGTACTCAAGCAGTCGCGAGCCCTTCGCCATGGAATGCTTCCAACACGCGCAGCACGAGCGCTGGTTCATTGCGCCGGATCACATGTCGACCTACAAGAAGCTGCAGCATGGCGAGATGTCCAGCTACATGGTCTGGAAGTACAGCGCTGGCCTCTTCCGCCGCGCCCTCGCCCGCCGTGGCAAGGACTGGAAGAGCGCGTACATGCTGTCCAAGTGTCTGTGGAAGATGTACCGAAAGCCCGTGGATGAGCTCCATCCCCGCGAGCGTGCATCGCATCCGTCTGTCGACGACATTGTACGTGCCCTAGAAAAGGCCATCGAGGTGGTGTCCTTGCTGCCCAAGCCTCGACATGGCCAGGACCCGGTGCTCGAGCCACACTACAAGATCGTTTCTGTCATTGACAAGCTGGTACGTCGCAATGATTTGCACGCGCAGGCGGCCGTCGACATCTTGCAGCGCCAGCCGTACGCCGTCCAGCACGGCGAGACGATGTCAGCCACGAACATGGCGGAATGGGACGACTTCATGGTCAAGACGCTCCAGCATCTCCGCGACAAGGACAAGTCCAACTGGCAGCACCGCATGGCCATCCGCCAGGCAAAGATCCTGTTTGGCGACTGCGACCTAGCCGAAGACGCCGTACCAGTCGCCGAGGGTATGGATGTCGAGGAAGAGCACAGCACAGACGATACGCTCGTAATTGAGGTCGACGATGCCACTGGCACCAACGGCACCAACGGCGTGTCAAAGGAGGTGAAAGGTCCCTCCAATGGGACGACCAAGAACGGTGACAACGAGGCGACTTCGGACAAGTCCGACAAGGACATCGACATGGCGACGGAAAGCGCAAAGGAAAAGAGCCAAGAAGCTTCTGCGGCGGAAAAGAAACCTGATGAGAGAGAAGCCGACAACTCCAAGGCTGACAAGACCAACGACCAAGAGCACGATGTTGGCAACGGCACTGGTGCGGAAGACGAGGCCAATGACGTTTCCAAGTCCAAGTCTGATAAGACAAGCAAGAAGTCTTCGAAAGAGCCGACTGAAAAAATCGGTGATAGCATCGTTGTGCGGTCGTCTCCCAGGGTCGCCGCCAAGGCGAACGAGAAGGGGTCTGACAAGGACGCCGGAAATGACGCCAAAAAGGACGCCGACAAAGACGCCGACAAAAACGCCAACAAAGATGCCAACAAAATGGACATTGACGAGGAGCCAGCCAACAAAGAGGGCGCAGACAAGGATAGTTCGGAGATCAATGTCACTGAGGCTCCGGAACCAAACGGCGCAACGGACACCGCGATGGCTGTCGACAAAGGTAGTGACAAGGATGCCGAAAAAGAGGAGGACAAGGCCGTCACTAAGGTGCAGACTGACCCGGAAGAGGAGGTGCGCAAGGGAAAAGCTCAAGCGGCGTTTGCCGTGTTGCGCGAGTCCATGTTCACCAAGACCATGGTAATGAACGTCTGGAAGTGCGACGCTGAACGCCCCGGTCGGCACCACGTGTTCACGGAGCAATACATCCGCTTCATGACGCGGCTGCTCGTGGTCCTGGACGACCGCATCAACCTCGAGGCGCTGCTGCGGCGGATCCGCAAAAAGGGCGCCGACTTCTACCACTTTAACGACCTGTGGCAGACGTGCGTTGTCAGCTACCTGCGCTTGCTGCGCAAATACTACAAGATCCCCCACGGCGCCGACGTTGCATTCAAGAACGTGACGCCCGAGGAGTTTGAGATTTATGCCGAGCGCATTGCCGAGTGGGTGGAGAAACCGGACATGGACCACTTTGCGCTCAGCGCGATGCGGGAAGCCATTGAGATCAAAAAGCTCAACGCGGGTCTGCTTAAGGGCGGTTCCATTGACGACCTGATTAGCGACTGCTACAGCGCCATCTTTGCGGACGTCGGCCGCACGCTGCCCGGCGAGGACCCGGCCAAGATTGTCGAAGAACGGCTGCGGAAGCTGCGAGACGAGGCGGACAAGGCGGAAAAGGCCGAGCGGGCAGAGCGGGCCGAGAAGGAGAAGCAAGCCGAGGCGGCATCGTCGACCACCGCGGCGATCATGCTGTCGTTCAACCTGCTGTCGGACCGTCACGGTGGCGGCGCCGACAAAGACAGCATGAACGGCGTGTCCCGCGCCGGCTCCGAAACGCCTGGTGGCCTGTTTGCCGCGGAAAAGATGGAACGCCAAGGCTCTGGCATGGGCAGCGACCATCCCCACCGCCGTGGACGCGCCCCCGGTGTGCGCCGCGTCGACATCCTTCGAAAGGCCGAGCAGGCGTCGTCCCTCCTGGGCGACCTCATTGCCAAGACGGGCGGCGGTCCAAGCGGCTCATCGGGTGCTGCTGGTGGCGACGGCCATGGCGCCACGGGTACCAACATGCAGTCCCGTCGCGGCGGTGATGGTCCAGGCGAGCGCGGCGGCATGAGCCGGCGGTCGACACGTCTGGGCTCGTCCTCGAGCGCGCGCAACGACGTCAACGTGACGAGTGTCGAGGGTCTCGGCGGTGGCGATGGCAAGGACGGCAAGGACGGCGACGGCAGCGGCGCCGAGGGAGAGGAAGGGGTCAGCACGCGCGGCCGGACGCGCAGCACGCGCAGCAAGAGCCGTCACCGGAGTGCCGGTCCGGGCCAGAACGGCGATGGCGGGGCCGACGACACGGAGATGAAGGATGCGGATGCCGAGCATGACGAGGACGAAGGTGGCGGCGACAGCAAAGACGCCAAAAAGTCGGGCGGAAGCGAGGCTGGATCGTCGCCGCATGCGAGCGTCAACGACTGGGCGGACGACGAGAGCGAACTCAGCGAGCTCAGCGACGTCCCGGCCGACTACGAGGAGAATGCGCCTGCGTCGATGCTGTTCCCGAATCTGCGGCGCAGCGAGCCTACCGAGACGGCCGAGAATAGCGAAGCCGAAGAGGAGGAGGAAGAAGAAGATGATGAAGGCGGAGAGGAGGAAGAGCAGGAGGAAGACGAGGAGGAGGGCGACGATGGTGAAGAGGTTGAAGCTGAAGACGAAGAAGAAGAAGACGAGGGCGCGACCGCCCTTGATGGCGAGGAAGGCGAAGAAGGCGAAGAAGCGGCCGAAGTTGATGAGGACGAAGAGGGTGAAGATATCGAGGAAACGGATGGAGAAGAAGAGGAAGAAGCAGAAGAAGGCGAGGAGGGCGAGGAAGGCGAGGAGCTTGATGAAGAGGGCGACGAGGAAGACGCCGAAGAGGAGGACGAAGAAGACACAGTCGAAGTTGAGGGCGACGGCGACGATGCGGAAATGGACGACGGGAGAGAGTCCAGTGTGGCCCTCGTCGATGTCTAAGAAGCAAGGAGCAAACAGATCGGTTTGTACAAATATTTTGGCAGCGGCGTCACCCGGGATTCCCTATTTGGTCTTTGGCCACGGCTCGGTTTCTTTTGCTACTTTTTTGCTGCTTATTTTGTATTGATACATCATTTTTATTGTATTACCGGACAGGCGGGACGGTACCAGGGCGGTCTCTATGTATATGCTTTTCATTTTGATATTTGTTTCAGCTGGTCGGTTGCACCGTATTTATGCAAACGTCACTCTACAGAGGGCCCTACAGACATCCAAGTTCCATCATGACTCTCACGTCGTTCACAGTCGCATTTGCATTGTAGTCTTTCCTTGTTCGTCTTTACTGTTCTGAGGTATATATCCAGAGACGAAACGGGGAGTCAAAAAAAGAAACCAAAAATACGGCACAAAACGCTGAGCGCAAAACGCTGCAAAGAACCGCCGTCCCCCTGTTCGTCCGCTGTCCGCTGTCCGCTGCTGTTTACTCTTTGCCCGGCTGTGTTCAGGCACTCCGCATCCCACCATCCAATCCATTCCATTCCACTCGCATCCCGCCGTGTCCTGCTCACCCCCGACCGCCGTTGTAGTCGGCGCCGCCGGCCTTGCGCAGACGCGCGACAATGTCGGCCTCGGCCAAGTCGGACTTGCGGTCGTGGACGTCGACCTGGATGCTGTGGTGGCGCAGGACCTTCTTGACCTCGCCGGACTCGATGCTGACGCGGGCCTTGCGCATGACCTTGGTCTGGCTGCCGATCCAGACGACGAGAATAAACTTGACGCGGGTGGACTCGGAGTCGTTGGCGTACTCGACGCGGGCGTAGCCGTACTGGGCCTGGGTGTCGTCGAGCTTCTCGGCGAGCTCGGCAAGGCCGCCTTCGCCCGTGGCGAGCAGGCCCAGGACGCCCTTCTTGTCGGGCAGGTCGCCGACGAGGAGCCAGTTGGCAGCGTCCTTGTCGGAGCGGACGGCGTCGTAGGCGGCCGCAATGGCCGGGTCCTGGAGACCGCTCATTGAGAGGGGCGGGGGGGGTGGTAAGAGTGGAGGGAGGGATGTGGTTGACAGTGCCGCGTGGGAATGGGAAACAGGAGAGACACAGGAGCCGAGCACCGACAGAGTGTCGTTGTTGAGGTTGTGGAGTGAGAACGGAGGGGAGGCGGAAGAGAGAGAGGGGCGCTTCCCGAAACGAGGCAGTTTCGCGAGACGAGGCCAAGCTTACTGCGACCAGTGGAATCCAGGGCCCAGACTACCCACAGTGGTTCCGATACGCAATTGCGCCGGCCAATGGATTGTCTGTCTAGCGGCTCCAGCGAGGGCCTCGACTCGAATCTTCAGGGGTCTGTGGCTGAGCTGTGGCGCCCCAGCGGCAGACACAGCAGTGCCAACAGCCACCTGTCGCCCACCCCGCAGCTGTGACGCTGCTAACTTACCTGTGAGGTCACTGCCGTTGATAGGTGGTGTCGAGTCTCGACAGACGCCGTTCAAAGCTCTTTGTGCCCCGCCAATGGCCGCGGGCCGCCTGAAGCTTCAGCGAGCCATCAGGGCATGTCCGGATGCAGCATCTCTGGCGGCCTTTGTGCCTCGTGCCTTTGTTCCTTCTTGCCTCCCTGCCTAACAGAAACCACGAAAGCGTTGCATCCTGCGTCCTATAAATACAGCAGCAAGACGTCCTCTTCATCTTCCCTGCGAACGGCCGACGTTTTCCCAGTCACCCTTCTTCAGCATTTAACGGCAGCACTCAGCTCCCGTTGCAACTTTTACCCCGTCACCTTATCCACATCTCGCGATATCTTGCATTCTTGCCACAACTGCCACAATGTCGTCCAAGCGAATTGCAAAGGTCTGTTGCAAATGACAGTCTCTACGCGGCCCACTACAAGGTCATATGCTAACCTCTCTTTCTGCCGTCCCAGGACTTTGCCAACTGCCAGGCCAACGCGCCGGAAGGCATGACCATCGAGATGCCGTATCCAGACGATATGAGCATCTGGCACATCACGCTCCAGGGGCCTCCTGACACCGTCTATGCCAAGGGCACCTACGGCCTCGTCGTCGTGCTGCCCAACAACTACCCCTTCAAGCCGCCTGTCGTCACATTTGCCACGCGCATCTACCACCCCAACGTCACCAACGACAGCGCCGGCAACATCTGCCTGGCCATCCTCAAGACGGACAACTGGAAGCCGGCGTTCCCAATGACAAGCGTGCTCGAGGCCGTGCGGAATCTGCTGGTCGAGCCGCAGCCGGACGACCCGCTGGAGGCGCGCATTGCCGACGAGTACCGGACACAGCGGGCCGCCTTTGAGGAGCAGGCGCAGCTGTATGTGGAAAAGTATGCCAAGGGCGCGCCCACGTTCCCGCCACGGCCGGACGCGGATGGCAAGGCCTAGCAGCCCGATGCGCCCGCTCCGGCTCCTGCTGCTCCCGCTGTTCCTGCTGTTCGTGCAGTGACGTTTGGTACGCGGGTCGATGCGTAGAGGAGGAACGAGCCGTCTTTGCTGGTCACATTACCTGGCATGGTGCGATTGTGTCGCAGTCCACGTCCTACCCGTGCGGCCTTTGGGTCACCTGGTCGGTGGCCTGTTGCTGTCATGTCGTCGTCTTGCTGCCGTCTCGTTGTCGACTTGTTTCATTTTTGTTTCCGCTTCCCGATTCTAGTTTTCGTGTGGCTTCATTCGGGCTTTCGTTGCCACCTTTTTATTTTTTTATCATGTTTTTTATTTTCTTTGATTTTCTTTGATTTTCTTCCCGTTTTTACCTCGTTACTGCTCGGCGCATCGAGGAGTTTGCATTGTTTTCATAAACACTCATTTCCATTGCAGCTACGCATATTCTGGCTGAAAGGCGTTGCATATGTTCCAGGCATGCGGATTTTGCAGTTTGCCTTTTGTTTTTGTATAACAGGGAAGATAGTCACAAATCAAATTTGATATATATTCTTACAAAGCCTGGCACACTTACACGTAGCACGGCGTCCTCCTTTGCTCCGTCAATCGGCTCCCCTGTTAATTCGGCGCAATCGCCGAAATCGGAAGCAAGATACCGATTCGCTTGGGGACGTCGGTGAACTACGACAATCTACGTCATCTCATCCTCTCGTCCTCGCCCTTGTCGCATTGACACTTTTTCACTCGTTGCTCTGAACACGCACCACAATCCGTTCCCCTCTCATCACCACATTTACTCACTTGCACCATGGCCGAACCGACGCCCACCCCCGTGCCAGCGTCGCCCGCGGCAGCAACGGGCCTGACTGGCTTCGTCATCACCTGCGAATGCGGCACCGTCCGCCTCCGCACGCCGTCCACCACGCCCATGGGCATCGCCCACTGCCACTGCACCAACTGCCGCCACCAGTCTGGGTCCGCCTTTGGCACGTCGGTGTATTTCCCGCCCACCCCGGGTTTCTATCCGCTGGACCCGTCGCTGCTCGAAGAGCAGGGCGGCCCCGTGTCCCACTTTTCGCACCCGACAGACAGCGGCAACACGTTGCACTGCTTCTTCTGCCGGCGCTGCGGGTCCCGGTTGATCCACGGCGCGACGCTGCCCGACGGCTCGCTTCGTGAGCGGGTGTCGGTCAAGGGCGGCGCGATTGAGGATCCAGACAAGCTGCTGGACTGGGCGCACGCCAAGCACGTGTTTGTGCGGTCGGCGGTGATGCCGCTGTCGCCGACCTGGGAGACCTACGAGACAACACCTACCTGGCCGCCGAAGGAGACAAAGTAAGGAAGGTCTCGTTGGGGCCCTGTTCACAGCCTCGTACAATAATCGGCCAGCGTGAACGTGCTATCTCGCAAGAAGCGCGGGTTCGAATCCCACTCATACTACATGATTGTTTATCTTTTTTTCCTATTGTCGGAGAGTACGTCCAAAAGGGAGAGCACTTGAATTTTTGCCGCATTTTAAAGTCCACAAGGAAGGGTGGCGAAGCAAGCGAGGTGTTGGAGGAGAGTCAGTATTTGTTTGTCTGGTCTGGAACGGGGCTTGTTTGATTGTTCTATCTAAGGGGCCATTGCTTGCTGTGTGTCGGGCAGCTGGTTGTTCATAGGAACAAGCTATCTAGCATCTTAGACAACAAACGTTTGAGGCTATTTGTCTATCAGGAGCCGCCAGACGCTCTCCGTACACCCAACACACCGTTTGAAGCTTGTAAGCCTATGGACACGTCCGTCCTTCCGCCTTCTCCTACTGCTTCAACTTGCCTGCGGCGTCCACCAACGCCTTGTAGCCCTGCAGGTTGCGGACAACGCGGACACCGCACATGAAGAAAAACAAAACCGTTGCCATGAGCGGCACCAAGATCATGCCCAGGAACGGATATTGCTTGTACGCCGCCACGTCCTTGCGGTCGCCCACCAGCAGTGTCTTGATCACCGAGTCGAGATTCGCCGGTTTGTACTGCGCGGTCACTTCCTCGAGCCGATTGTCGACCGCAGAGGCCACGGCATTGGCAAAGGTGGCGCCAGCGGCGACCAGGCCCAGTCTTTGGTAGACGTCCACGAGCTGCCAGCCGTAGGCGATGGCGTCGTCAACCAGAGCCAGGAGACGGGAGGCCAGTCCGGAGGCGACGGCCGTAGCCGCTCCGACGCCGACAACAAACGAAACGACAAAGGATATGACGGCAATGGCCAGTGGGTAGAGCAGCTCGTGGAAGCGCTCGCCAAACGTCTTCTTGCCGGCGGCAGGCGTCGATGATGATGGCGTGCCGACCTCAGTGGAAGGAGGCGGCGGAGGCGACTGCGAGTCCATCGTGTTGAGAGACGTGTGAATGTATGGTACCAAGGTAGTGTGGCTGGTTGGTAGCTGTAAAATAATGGCAGAGGTGCGTAACAATAATGGCTTGGATGATAAAGGTCGACTGAGGACGAGCAAAGAGAATGTAGGATGCCGAAGCCGTGTTGTGATGGGGAGGAAGAAGAGATCATAACAAAGGAGTGAACGCGAGGAGAATCAGAAGATGTATCCGCAGGGCGACTGCCGGTAAACAGAAGGAGCTACTCGCGAGGAAGGAACGGCCGGCATCACAGCTTGTTTACTCGGCAACATCTCAACTCGAAGAGGAAGGCAGCACCAACAATGCTTGCAATGCTCCTTCCTCGGTGTGAATCGTTGATTTCCCAATCGGGAAGGACGTACTTTGTACTTTCTCGTTGATCACGATGCTTCTTGCCGTTGATTTATATGAGGAAAACATGATGTCTTTGTTTTTGTTTGTATTTTTTAATTTATTACTACTTATTTTGTTTCTACGAAGGGTTGATCTCTTAAACATTGTAATTCATTTTCAACGTTAAATTATGCGCAGTCGATTTAAGCATCCGCACAGATATTGATGGGAGACGAATGAATAAAATATGAAAATGACAAATAATAAATATCGTATCTTACAATTTTTTTTTTAAAAAAAAACCTTCATCTAGAAGTCAACAGCATCCCGACACGTTGTCAGCTTCACTTTTTCAATTTACAGGTTTGTGCTTCCTACTAAAATTCTCTGCTGAACCGCACATGAGCAAAATGAAGTGTACATTTGGGGGGGCGAGAATGGCGCAAAATGCTCTGAAAATTAGACGAAGACGTCGAAAAGGCACCAGGACCCAGTCGTCCAACCTCCTCGCATCGTGGGTCCAGGGCCCGTCTGGTGGGCGGCAGTCCACAAAAGCCTCGTTACGCTGCGAATATTCCCCAGAAGCAGCCAACAAGGTGAGATGCCAGAGTGGTCTAATGGGTATGATTAGAAATCATATGGCTTCGGTCGCGTGAGTTCAAATCTCACTCTCATCGGGTTTCTTTTGTCTTTTATGTTTTGCTTTTGTTCTCCCGTATTCCTGTCCGTGTTTCGTCTCCTTATGCTCCCCCTCCATCCCTTGCTTCTTCTGCTGGCCACACAAGTCCAGGCGCGCGATTCCTTTTCTGGAGGCCATACCCTTTTTTTACTGTTGTGTTTTCAGATGCATGTATTGTTACTCATACTACCCAGTCGCGTTGCTTGGTGCGCTTATTTTGTGCTGTGTACGTAGGTAAAGAACGGTAAGGACGTGTATCATTATCTACCGAGCTGTATGTCGAGTGTTTTGTGTACAGGTATGCAAACGACCGGCGGCTACAATGCCGGTTCCGTCATGCAGAAGGGGTATAAGGAAATAAACGAGAAAACGAGAAAAGAGCAAAATAAACGACAAGAAATCCAGGTCTGAAGAACGAAGCGTAGACATGGCCGTGATCAAGAAGGCCAACGCACCTCTCCCACTCCCCTAATAAGTCTACACAACCTATGCTGGCGCCGACCGCCGTTGCCGACCGCCGTCCCCGACTACCGTCTCCGACTGCTCGGTGCCAGGGCCCCGCGGTTGCTGTTTTCGACGCTCACGTCGCCTCTCTGGTCGCCGGGTGGCTTGCAGTCCCAGGAGTGGGCGGCCAATGGGGAGGTGACAGACGTGGCGGCCGTCGACAGCGAGTTTGTGTCGGCTGCCCGGCAGTTGATGATGGACGACCGCTGCTGTTGGTGCTTTGGATGCTTTTGGTGCTTCTGGATGCTGCCGGGGTTGTTGCTGGTCAAAAAGTAGTTGCCCTGGCGTGCGCCGGGGACAAGTTTCTCCAGCATGTCCAAGCTGTTGCGCGAGTCGATGGTGGAGTCGGCGTCGGACGCGTTGTTGTTGTTGTTGTCGTCGTTGTTGTTATTGCTGTTGTTATTGTCATTGTTGTTGTCGCTGTCGTTATTGTTCACCTGGCAAGCTGTCCCCGGTGCAACACCACCCGAGACGATAAACGTGCTTCGCCGGCGCTGGCCGTCCTCTTCGGTGATTTGCAGGACGACTTGCTTGGTGATGCCGGACGGGACAACCGTGGCCACAGCCGCAGAGCCCGTGTCAAAGCATCCGCCGGTGCCGGTGCCGGTCGACGACGAGACGGCCGGGCACTGCTGCTCGACATCATAGTCCATTTTGCTGCAGCCGCTGCTCGGCTGCTGCTTGCTGCTGAGGATGCACCGCTGTATGTTGCGTTCTTTTCGCTGCTGCTGCTCGGCGTAAATGTACTCCTCGCTTTCCGAAAAGGTCATGTTGGGGATCGGGTGGACGGAGCGCACGCCAAAGCCGCAGCGCGGGTTGCCCTTGTCCTCCAAGATGAACATGCCGTTGACCGACCGGCCGATGCCGCCCGTGTTGCCGGCGGCGCCGTCCATGCCGGCGCCGGAGCGCCGGACACGCGACGAGTAGCTGCGCATGGTGCTGAACAAGGGCCCGCCCCAGTAGCGCATGAGCGGGAAGATCATGGGCGCGTTGGAGGTGACGACGGCGACAAAGGTCTCGCGGCAGCCCCAGGCGCCGGCCAGCTGGGCACTGGTGGCGGGGTTGGTGATGATGAGGACGCAGCGCAGGATGGCGGCCGCGGTGACAAAGAGGCCGCCGGAGAAGAGGACCATGAGGCCAATCTTTTTGGCGGGCCGCAGGTTGGCCTTCCACAGCATGGGCAGCGGGATGGACATGAGATAGATGTCGGTGAGGACGTTGAGCACGAGCGTGACAAAGACGTTGATGTGCGAGACGGCCGGTTGGCAGGCGTCTAGAGTGTTAGGTGATGGGTTGTTGGGAATCGACAAGTAAAACATACGAAATAAGAAATAAAATAATAACAACGTAAAAAAAAGGAACAAGGAGAAGCAAAGCAAAAACAAGGGACAATAGACGTACTGCCGGGATCAGGGTAAATCTGCCAGTTCTTGGACATGGGCCGGCAGCCCAGCAGAATGGACAGCAGCACGGCGACCCAGGTCGCGAAAATCAGGCCGAAGCCGGCGTAGATGCGGCGGCGGTAGTCGAGGCCCTCTGTCAGTCGCAGGTAGAAGCTGCACATGGACGCCTTGAGCAGCCACAGCAGCAGCGTGTACGTCGACCAGCCGGCCACCTGGGTCTTGCTGCCGGTGACGCGCATGCGGTACTCCTCGGTGTCCGGGCTGAGGGCGGCTCGCTCGGCGTCGGTCATGCCGCTGTTGGCCATGCCGTGCCAGTAGGCGCCGACGGAGTAGGCGAGCACGGTCTCGGCGGCGTAGACGACGGCGGCGACCAGCATGAGGTAGTCGTCGGCCTTGAAGCCGAACATGCCCGTTTTCGAGAGCCGGGCATAGGTCCGCAGCATGATGAAGCCGAACCCGATGCCAAACAGGGTAAAGGCCTCTGTGGTAAAGGACGACATGGTGGCGGCGAGGCGGTAGGCGTTGCGATGGAAGGAGTGCTCAAAGAAGAAAAAAAGGATGCAAAGTGAGGGCGGTGGAGGCGAGGAAAGCGGCGCCGTCGCTAAAGAGGTTGCCAGTCGAAGTCGATGCTCGTTGAGGATATCGTCCATATATGTTGACAAAGTCGTCCAGTTGATCGCAGTGCCGTATGCCGATTTGGGTCGTCGACCGCGTATGCAAATCCCTTGTATCCTATTGACCTGTTGATTCTGTCTCCTTTTTTTGGGATCGCCACATTCTGGCGCAAGTGATAGCTGCGTTTGCTGTAAATGTGAAGGTGAATGTGGATGGGGGATGAGGATGGGGGATGAGGAATGTGTGTGTCAAGCTGTCTTTGCCGTCATGGAGGTATTTCGAGGAGGTTCGTTTATCGGCAGAGGAAGTTGCAATACCTGATCTCTGGTCCTGGTGAACCGAGTAGGAGACAGAGCAGAGCGACAATGTAAGAAAGCAAAAACGAAGGAGACTAAAAAGGGGGCGAGGGGTGAGCAAGGTCGGAAAAAGGAAGCTATGACAATTACTGAAGAAAAAGAAAGCAATAAAGGAGAACATTGGAACCTGCATCATGTAGTTGACGTCCACGTTGCATCGGCCAAAGAGCCCGTGAGGAGGGTCGTGACGAAAGCGAAAAGAAGGCAAAACCAAAAAAGAAAAGAAAGTCAAGTGACAAGATGTAAGACGAAAAAAAAGGCCGTATGTGAGACTGGTAAATAGGGATGGCGACGTGCAAAAAGGAAGCACCAGTCATCCGAGACAGGACAAATCGGACCGCGCAAGGACTGCAAGTGCCGGGCAAGTGCCTTTTGACAGGTTGAATGGGTCGGGGCTGGCTGCAGCAAGGACTCGAGCTGTCCGATGATGCTCGGTCTGCCGGTCTGCCGGCCGGGACGGTGTACGCTGATCAGCTTTTTGTGGGTTTTCCGGGAGACACTGTCCGGATGGTAAAAGGAGAGAAGCTGGGAAAAAGACAGAAAAAAAGAACACAGGACAATGGATCCAGGATGCTACGGATCGAGACCTGCGGCCGCGCCAGGAAAGTGGGAGACAAAGGGAGAGAAAGGGGAAAGAGAACGGCGATGGAGAGGCACAGGTTCTCGTACTCTGAATATCATGTGTCTAGACCCGAGACCCATGGTCAAGCATGAAAATGCAAAGCAATCAAAGAAGAGACAAGAAGCTGACGATCTGTATATCTTTTGATCTGCCGGCACTCATTATGCCGACAGAAAGCACCCCAGACAGACAAAATAAACTAAACTGGGGAGGTAATAGTCGAGTCGCCTTGCTGCGTGGGCGCGGAATACAAGACACACGAGAGAAAAGCAGCAATATGCAAACGGTAAGGTGGTCATACTGCGGGGGAGGAAGGGGAGGATGTGAGACGAGGAGGGTAAAAAGGGCGGAGAGGCAAAGGTGGCAAAGAGAAGAAAAGAAGAAAAAAAGATGGGCAAGTCAATCTCAAAAGTCACTGACAATGCCGGGGATTTGGACCGGAATAGGGATGGATGCCGAAGTAGATTTGCTGGCTCGCGAAGAGGGAAAAGGCAAGGCAACAGAAGAAACAAAATGGATACGTGAAATAAGCCGTGACAGATACAAAAGGAAACCGCATATGAATCAAAGGCGATATGATGTAAACGACAGAGTACGGGGTAAGTTTATCGTAATGACGCCGCACAGGGCACGTCGTAAAAGAGTGAGCCAACAACCGACGGCAGTTGCAAAGCGGCGTTGGCATGGCTATCGCCTGGCTTGACCGGTTGGCAGACGGTGGCACCGAGGGCACAACCGCCGCGACCGCCCCCGTAGTTACGATGTAAACTGCCAAAGGGGGTGTGCGTCAGGAACGCGAGAAAGACGAGAAGGCGTGGCTAGCGGAGTTCTCTGCGTACGATGCAATCTTACGTCTCTTTTCACGGGGATGTCGTATCCGTTTTCCCTGTCACTTCCCCGTACTTTTGTTTCTATCCGTCCAGGCTCGCCCGGCTGGAAAAGCCATGAACGCTTTCTCCAGAACGTTGCCCAACGTTTCCCCAGAACGCCGGGGATCAAGAAACAGAAACCAGCATATGTTCCCTGCACATACGAGTGGAGCCCTCTAGACCATCCGCAGCCTCGAGGGCCTGCTGGCAACGACGGAGCACGACGTACAGAATACTTTGTACACATTATCAAGGCATATTTGCCGGCAGTGTCAGTTGAGCGCGTGGCTCGTTGAACGAAAGCGCGGTTCCTTCTGCGGCCCGGCGAGCGGGTCTCTGGGGGCAAAGCCGAGTCCAAAGTAGAGGGAGAGTGTGTGTTTCATACGCATTCTCTCTTGTTGCTCTCAGTTGAGCTCGAGGACCGGCCGAGCCAGCATCCGTCGAGCACATTCCCTTGCCCAGCGATTACTGTCGATCTACGAGAAACAATGGCCACTGGCGGTGACATGGATTCTTTTTCGTTTGTGGCCAGTTCCTGCCCACATTGTTGTATCCTGCACTTCCATTCGCTCCCTGGAAAGCTTCAATTCGTGTTGGCAGAGTTGCTTGACACAATTGCTGGCTCGCTAGCTGTGTTGGCTCTGGTGGCATCTGCCCACTCTTCTCAACGCTTCCTGGCTTCTTATCAATAGCGCAGTAAGACCGCCGTGGTCTGTGTTTTCTGCTTTCTTTTGCCTTGCTGACATGCCTGCCAAGCCAATGTTTTTTCACGCAATGCGTGGTTTCTTCCGCGTTCCTTGGACACCGAGACACCGTACGACGCATCTGACGTCAGATTGTGGACGTTGGGGCATTGGACATTCCAAATTCGGGTGCATCATGGAGGCATGATTTTCGCGCGCGACGTTGCATTGCCCCTTTTCCATGCTGTTCTTTCTTTGCACTCAGGCACTGAGGCACTGTTGGACGAACCGCTGCGAACGCAGCACTCTAAACACGCAGCACGTTCTTCTGCCGATCACGTCGAGGCCAGCGGGCTGTTGTGTACGAAGTAGGATCGACAACAACCACGAGAGGGAGGATGGTGACATAACTGACACATAAATCGAGTCTACGACATACAGAGGCAGAGAACACACTTGGACATGCTCTATCCTGTCTTCCTATTCTTCACAGCCAGAAAGTCCGCCGATCCCATTCGATTTGATTGCTCACTCGCCGATCAAAAACGTCAAGAAAAAAAGAAGACAAAAAAGAACATGCGACGAATTGTACCCCGAACCGAGTAGAAGCAGAAGCGGCGACGTGGCCACTGGCCAACATGGCTTGGTCTCTTGGTCCCACAAAGCTTTGCATCGCCAGAATGCCAGAAGAAAGGCTCAGAAGGCTCAGAAGGTTCAGAAGCTCAAACGACCACACAGAAAAACGCCGTATATCGACCGGGGTGCAGCCGTGGAAGATGTGCATCTCATTCAGTTGCAGCTGCGCCAATGTTGCCCTGCTGCTGGGATCGACGCCGTCTTCAGTGGGTTCAGTGCATATGCGCACACACTGCCGAGGAAGGCTGAGAGCTAGGCAAAGAGCACAAACAGGAGAAGTTATTCCACCTTGCTTTGCGTACATTCGTACATTGTAGACATTCGACGACACCGCACAAAAACCGCGGTGGTCTTTGCCTTTTGAACCGGCCGCTCATCCGTCATCGCTGATCGTTGGGCCGTTGTACGGGCCTCGGGGCTTGCCGTAGAGGTTGATCTGGTGTCTTTTGTTCGCCAGCAACGGAGGTGCTCGCAACAGCCCCTGCAAATGATACTTGACGGCACAAAACAATGTCAACCTCTTTTTCTTCCATAGCCAGACTCCCACATTGCTGGGATGGAACCACGTCCGCCCGGTTGGGCATACACCGTACGACGGTATCGCACATTGTACAATGTAAACAACCCGAGATCCGATTCATCTCCGGCATTGGCCGTCGACGAGGGCCATCGATGAGCGGCACTGCACCTCCCGTCTCATGCTCATGTCTCTCATGTTTTTCATGTCTATCATATCTCTCATGTCTCTCAGCTCATATTTGTCACATACAATGTACGGTGTACATCGAGCCCCGATAAGCTGCCTCAATCTCTCCATCACGTCCGTGCTGCGCGTACTCTGAGAATTCTTCCTGTTGTCAGTCTGTCAGTCCGTCTGTCAATCTGTCAGTCAGTCCGTCTGTCGATCCGTAGGTCGATCCGTCTGTCATCCACCCTCGTCCGCCCACACGGCCAACAGCCAACAGGGGTATTGCGGGAAAGAACACCACCGAGACCACGAGTCAGGAGGTATTCAGGGATCGCCAGCCGCGCGTTTTTGCCCCTCTCCCCTCTCTGGTCGACTGTACAAGATACTTTCCGCCTTCGTCTCCTCGTCTGCTCTGGCCAGTCAGAGAAGCTGTTGTCGGCTGTCTTGGCATAGATCTACGCTGCCATTGGAGCTCCTCCGTCTGGAGCCATGCATCCAGATGCAGAAAAGTGGTAGTTGGACTGCGTTGCAGCTGGAGCTCTCGTTACAGCGCGACAGCGTATCGTTGAGTTCCTTTTTTTTTTTTTTTTTTTTTTTTTTTTTTTGCTCCTTCTTAGTTGTCTTGATTTTGCAACGTTCTGCTGTTCGATTCTGTTCTGTTCTTGTTCGACAGGCCATGCCGTTTCACCTGCGTTGCCAATTTCCACCTTCATCAACTCCTCGACCGCTGTGATCCGTCAGTCCTTCACCGCTCTCACTCACGCACCCCAACATGACTGAGACGCTCGACCTCGTCGTCGTCGGCGCCGGCTGGTTCGGCCTCTGCGCCGCCAAGACACAGCACCAGCTGCACCCCGAGGCCACGCTGGCCGTGCTCGATGCGGCGCCGACTCTGGGCGGCGTCTGGGCCGAGCACCGGCTGTACCCCGGCCTCAAGAGCAACAACCTGCTGGGCACCTACGAGTACCCGGACTTCCCCATGGACACGGCGACGTATGGCGTGAAGCCGGGCGAGCACATCCCGGGCGCCGTCGTGCACAAGTACCTGGCCGACTACGCGGCGCACTTTGGCGTGGCGGCGCACATTCGCGCCAACACCAAGGTGGTGTCGGCGGCGATGCGGGACGAGGCCGCGGGCGGCGGGTGGACGTTGACGTTGGAGGGCCGAGCCGACGGGAAGACGACGACGACGACGACGTCGACGACTACGCTGATCGCGCGCAAGCTGATTGTCGCGACGGGCCTGACCTCGGAGCCGCTCCTGCCACACATTGCCGGCGAGGAATCGTTTGGCGCGCCGCTGTTCCACAACCGGGATTTCGCGCAGCACGCGGACACGCTGGACGTCGGCACAGAAGGATCCAGCGGGGAGGAGGCGGCGGCGCCCAAAAGGGTGGCCGTGTTCGGCGGCGCCAAGTCGGCCTGGGACATGGTCTACGCGTACGCCGCCAAGGGCATCGAGGTCGAGTGGATCATCCGGTCGACGGGCCACGGCCCCATCTGGCAGGCGCCGCCGCACGTGACGCCGCTCAAAAAGTGGCTCGAGAAGCTCGTCATGACGCGCATGCTGACCTGGTTCAGCCCCTGCGTCTGGGGCGACGCCGACGGCTACGCGGGCGTGCGCGCCTTCTACCACGGCAGCGCCCTCGGCCGCCGCATCACCGATGCCTTTTGGCGCCTCCTGGGCGGCGACGTCCTCGCCGCCAACAAGTACGGCGCCCACCCAGAGACGGCCAAGCTGCGGCCCTGGAGCGAGGCCATGTTCACGGCGACGTCCTTTTCCATCCTCAACTACCCGACCGACTTCTTCGACCTCGTGCGCAGCGGCACCGTGCGCGTCCACATTGCCGAGATCGCCGCGCTGTCGCCCCACACCGTCCACCTGGCCGACGGCACGCGCCTCGCGGGCCTGTCGGCGCTGGCCTGCGCCACGGGCTGGAAGCACGTGCCGCCCATGGCGTTTCTGCCGGCGGGCCTCGACCGCGCGCTGGGCCTGCCGCACGCGCCCATGGCCGACGGCGGCGACGAGCCCGTGTGGACGCCGAGCGCCGTGGCGCGCGCCGACGCGGAGATCCTGGCGCGGTTCCCGCGGCTCGCGAACCCGCCCGTGCAGAACAAGGCCCTGGCGCCCCTGCTGGCGTCCGGCGGGCTGTCGAGCGCGGACGCCGGGACGCCGTCGACGCCGCTGACGCCTTACACGCTGTACCGGTTCGTGCTGCCGCCCGCCGAGCGCTTCGTGCGCCGCCGCGACATTGCCTTTGCCGGCGTCGTCATGAACTTCTCCGTCGCGCTCTCGGCCCACCTGCAGGCGCTCTGGATCGTGGCCCTGTTCGACGGCGCGCTGCCGGCCGCCGTCGTGCCCCCCGCGACCGCGCCGCCGGCCGCCTTTGCCCAGGGCCTCGACGCCCTCCAGTACGCCGCCGTCGTGGCCGCGCGCTTCGGCAAGTGGCGCTACCCGGCCGGCCACGGCAGCCAGTTCCCCGACTTTGTCTTTGACGCGCTGCCCTACTTTGACCAGCTGCTCGGCGACCTCGGCCTGCCCATCTACCGCAAGGGCGGCGGCTTTCTGGCGGAGGCCACGCGCCCCTATGGCCCCGAAGACTACAAGGATGTCGTCGCCGAGTGGCAGGCCAAGGTGAAGGAGGACGAGGCGGGGCGTGCGTAGGGGTGTCGGGGTGCGAGCATGGTTGATATCCTTTTGCTTTTCTGTATTGTGGCGTGTTGTAAGGGTGAATGCTTGTTTGATATTGTTGGATTAAAGTACATAGCCGTATGTCTTGCGAGACATGGTTACTATACGAATGTGTTTGCTGTCAAAACCAGCCTCCACAAATGCAGGCCTAACCCCCTCCCACACTCGTTCCCTCCGACGTGTCGCCACGCGCCCGCGTCATCTCCCAGCCCCGGTGGCGGTACCGCGCCGGCCAGATGCCGCACCGCCCGGGCGCCAGAATGCCGTTGGGGTCCAGCGCGTCCTTGAGCCGCTCGTGCATCGCCATCAGCGCGCCGTCGTTCCAGCGGTACGTCCCCGCCACCTGGTCCATCAGCGCCAGGTGCGTGCGGTACTCGCCGTAGCCCAGCGCGGCCGCGTCGTCGACCATGTCGCGCAGGCACGCCAGCGCCGCCGCCTTGCGCGCCGCCGACGTCCGGTCAAAGACGAGCTCGACAATCAGGTGCATCTCGCGCAGGCCGACGCAGAACGCCGTGAAGCAGTCGATGCCGTGCTCGGCGTGCCGCGCGCGCGCCAGCGCGTAGAGCGCCGTGGCGTCGGCGCCGCGGATGGGGCTGACGGGCGAAAAGGCAATGTGCGCGCCGCTGGGCACCCACTGGCACCAGCGCAGCTCGTGGAGGTCGGGCGTGCCGGACGCGATGCGGTCGCGCGACCAAAAGTACTCGTCGGCCGGCAGCGTGGCCGTGTCGATTTGGCGGCAGCCGGGGATGCGTCGGAAGGCGGCGTCGATGGCCGCCAGTTTGGGCGCCCGGGCCTCGCGCGGGCCATACGCCGTGCCGTAGTATGCCCAGGTATGGTCGCCGACGGGGCTCGCGGCGGCCGCCGCGTGAATCACATCCTGCGGGACCAGGCCGTCCACGGGAGCGTAGTAGGTGGCCCGCGGGAGGCCGCGAACGGCGACGGATTGCGTGACGTGGCGAAGCTGGGCGACGTTTTCGAGAATGTTGCGGATGCGCAGCGGTCGGATGATGTCGATCTGCGTCAGCTTGTGAGAATACGTTGCATAAGAGTGTCAAAAGAAACGCAGACAACAGAAGTTGACTCACCAGCGGTGCCAGATCCTCCTCGTTTTGAAATGTGTACAGCTGCCTGTGTCAGCACTACTGTATTACACAATCACACAACTAATGCAGCGACGTGCACCGCACCACGTACAAAGCTCTCGTGGCCGCCGGGATTCGGCATCAGCGTCATGCCCATCTTCGTCACAATGCCAAAATTCGACTGCGAAAAGAGGCCGTCCGAAAAGGGCCCAAACCCGTACGGAAACGCCTGCCACGTGTTGTTGCCCGGCAGCGCGCCCATCCCCGTCCGCACGACCTCGCCCGTCGGCAGCACCACTTCGAGGCCCGCGTGCATCGCCCAGTGGTCGCCGTAGGGCGTGTAGCCGACGCCGCGGTCCACCGTGTTGCCAATCACCGATCCGCCGCCCAGGTCCGGCACGTCCACCCACAGCGTGTCGCCCAGCCCGCGCGCCTGGATCGCCTCGTGCAGCGCGTAAAAGGACACGCCCGGCTCCACGAGACAGGTGAAGTCGTCGGCATTGATGTCGAGAATCGCCCGCATGCGTCGTCCGAGGTCCACCACCACGGATCCACGCACCCGCGGCGCGGCGCCACCATATCCTACTGGGATGCGTCAGATTGGGGGGGGGGGGGGGGGGGGGGGTACGACGAAAATCTAGGACACGGACGTACAGTTGCGCCCCATGGAAATGGGGAAAATGGGAATCAGGTACTGGTTGGCCCAGCGCACGACCGTCTGCACGTCTTCCGTGCTGCCCGGATAGACCACCGCCGAGGCCACAAACTCCTCGTCGTCGAGAATCGTCATCATGTCGTGCGTGTTGGGATGCTCCATGTACCAGCCGTCCTTGAGCGCCTGGTCGACAATGTCGACATGCTCGCTGCCGCCGAGTCGAGCGCGCAGGTCGGCCATGGCCGTCTGGAACGTCTCGGCCGTCACGCCCACAGGAAGCGCAGGCACGGCGCGCCGACGGGGCATGTCGGTGTCGGCACCGGCGTTGGTTTTGAGCTGGTAGACGGCCGCCTTGGTGGCGCGGGCCTTGTCCAGGAGGTAGACGGGGATGCCCGAGTGTGCCTCTGGGAGTGTCGGGACGTCGGTCATTGTGAGATGCGTGGGGCTGTTCTGATGGTGATCAAGTCAGTTTGACATACGTTGAAACAGGACGGTCGCCCATTGACAAATGCCTGTCGATTTATATCCGTATACCGAGCCCACGCCTCGGCTTCATCAACTCTGTTTCTTGGCTTTACCCCGCGAGCGGCAGCATCTGCCGATGCGCAAACGCCATGTTTGGGGAATAAACGTCGGCGATTGAGTTAATTTATTGCTCAAGTCCGAGGGAACGTGAAGGGTGGTCAGTGACTATGTGGTTCGTGGATAGTAGCAAATAAACTTGGATTTAAAAAACAATTTTTTAAAAAAGACTTTACTTTTGAATTTGAAAATCAAGTACAGCCCTCACAGCCCGCAGCCCGCAGCCCGCAGCCCGCAGCCATTGGTATGAACTCCGTACACCGTGTCCGTGACTCCTTGTAGCCCAAGATCACCCATAAATTATCAAACCCGTGTTCCAAACCAAAAACGTAAAACCTTGCCAGGTGCCCAAAATATAAACTCCACGTGTTGTTCAAATGAACCCCCACAAAGTTTCCCTTGTCAATCCTTCCAGGCTGCATCCCCGGCGCTCCAATGATCTCATATAGTACGTGAGCCAGTGCCCCCTAGTGCTTATGTTGGCTGCTGCTGCCGCTGCCGCTGCCTTGTGCCGCTGCTTGCCTCCGTCTCACCATGTAGGCCCTTGCTGCCTGGACTATAAACTGTTAGCAAGGACGGACACAACGCGCCTCGGGGTCTATAATCTGCGCCAACGCAAACAGACTGGGCTTTGGGGAGAATGGAACTAAAACGTACGCTGTGCCTCGACTTTGTTGAGGCTGCCTGATGCACGTTCGCCTGACGGGTGATGGCTTGTCTGGGCCAGGGCATTTTGGACAGCCTGGCTGCCACCGTGCACGGCACACCGGCCCTGTCCACTGGTTGCCGCCAATGGTCCTTGCTGCTTGTCCTGGTCGTCTGTGCTCGGGCCGCGTCGGTCGTCGTCAACACAGCAGTCACAAAATGCCTGGTTGGTGGGAATTTGAGCAACCTCGGGCGTCCCACTACGCGATATGCGAGGTGTGGCGGGCATGGCTGTTGCTGCTTCTGTTGCTGCTTCTGTTGCTGCTTCTGTTGCTGCTTCTGTTGCCGCTGATGCTGATGACATTGGTGATGCTAGTCGCCCCAAGGCAGAGGGCGGGCTTGTTGGCGGGCTTGGTGCAGCTGGTGGCGACAATGGAGACGGCGACGACGACAAAAAGGCGCGGGCAGCACGGAATGCAGTAGTGGGTCGCCGGTGCTGGCGGTCGGCACCAGGGTGGCCAAATCCAAATCCAGGGCGGCCAGATGACGGCGGCGTGGGGAGGGACGAAAAAGACAAACGCGCGGTGGCCGGTACAGGCGTGGAGGCGGAAGCGGAAGCGGAAGCATCTGGTGTCTGCGGTGGTGTATCCGTCTTGTTGGCACTGCCGCTGTGTCCTCTCTTGCGCGACTTGTCTCTGGCTGGAGTGCCATGCTGAGCTGCCGAGGCGTCATCCTGTTGTGAGGCCATGTCGTGGTATCGGAGAAGCACAAGGGACGCTGATGACCACCGACGGATTCCGGTTGCCAACACTATAGTCCGTCGCCTGTACTCCGGAGCGTCTGTTGGTCTACGCTGTGGAAGACGACAGAAAGTTGATTTTCCTTTCTTGAAAACAAAATGCAAACCCAACAGCAAACAATATAGAATGACAAACAAAAAGAAAACAACATGCAGCATGCAAGGCTGGACAAACAAGACCATTTATACGACGTGCCCAAACCCAGATCACATCGCGGCAGGGCTGTGTCTGTCAAGAAAAGGCGTCCAATTGCGAAGCGCGCCTAGAAACGAATGCTTGGCAACACAAATGTATGCTCCTATGCTTGTTTCTCTCCTCCACCGTTCTGTGTAATACTTCCCCTGCTTCCAGTGCACGGGGTAATTGGGAGGACGCCAACAAGGTACGAGCGCCCCTGCTTGCCGCCCTCGCTTCACTAAAGGGAGAGCTCAGGGTAAGCAGGAGATCCACGCTCATTTGGGGTGGTCGCCACAATACTGGTAGCCGCAGCACTGGCAGGGGGTTGATTTGAAGCATTATGTGGCGTCTCTGCCGTTGCAGGCGGGCGCCCACAAGACGCGCCAATGCTACCCTGAGGCTCCAAGTATGGTGGAGGCCGTTTTTTTTTGTTAAAAAAAACTGTAACAACCTTTGTTAACTCGGCCATGTCCTGCGGTCAGCCTAACGGACAAGGCTGCCAGGTCCAGATTCCCCATAGCCTTGGCTTCCCGTCCATCTCCTCTGTGCCATTCCTCAAAGGCGTTCCATTCCAACACCTAGCTCGATCATCCTCCGGGGACCGTTTGAGGCCTCTTTTTTTATTCGACCTTGGCGTGGATCTGTTTCTTTTCTATCGTTCTTGACCCTCGTGTAGCCCAGTCGGGCTCAATCAAATAGCGCGTCAAGTCAACAAATCCTGGCAAAGTCTCAACAAACAGCCGCCACAGCCGCCGTCAAACCATTGTTTGTCCCCTTGGCAAACAAATATTCACAACAATGGACAAGGATGCTGCCGCAATTTGCCACCTGTCTCTCCGCAGGGCCCTCAGTGCCATCGTGGCCTTCGTACTCCTCGGAGCATGCAGCGTCATGACCTCCACCTCACACATTGCAATCCTACGAGAATCCTTTGGCGTCATGCCGCTCGAAACAACTGGCGCCTAGATCATGTCTTCATGTCGGTTCATGTCCTCGTGTCCGCCAACAATTAGATAAGCAATGAGTTTCAGCCTTACCTTGAGAGTGCTCAATCGTCTTGGACATGGGTATCTCACAACAGAGAGGTGGCGCAGTCCATGGTACGAGGCCAATGCCAACTTGCACGATAACTCGTACAAACAGTAACAAACATCTCAACCATGAGCCAAGGAAAAGTGCCTTCAAAATGTGGTTGCGTCCTACTCTATATAACTTGCAATAAGCTCCCGGAAATTACCGGAATATTAACGGCAAGATGGCCGAGTGGTTAAGGCGTTGGTTTTAGGCCACTAACTTTCCTTGTTCAACGAGGAAAGCGGTTTTAAAGTCACCAATCCGAAAGGGCGAGGGTTCGAATCCCTCTCTTGTCAATTTTGTACGCAGAAAATACCGACTTTTTTGTTTGATTTTTTTGGGACTGTTTAACCTTGACACATCGTCACCATTTTTTTGTGTGCCCGTTGTTATTGACTATTCGGTAAAGTGAACACTTGGCCACGATTTTGGTCTCGCTACTTGTTGAACTTGGAGTTGAACACCGCATATTTTGTATTTGCTCTCCAAACAGCCGTCTAACAAATAGAAAATATACTACCGTGCGAACAGCACACGACAGTCGATAAAAGTACAAAAATGCCCCTTCCATTTTATGGTTATTGCCCACTGCAAATATGCCATCTTCTGTGCAGACGAGGTCTTGTGGAAGAGCAACGTCTCCCGAGTGAGATCTCCTTCGCCAGCGCCCCGAATCATGATGAAACCCCATGGTGTCCTCCGAATATAAAATAAAGTCAAAACAGAAATAACAAAAAGATAAAGCAATACAATTCGGCCAAAGAAAAAAAATTTAACACGAAGGGACAAAAATGAAAGCAGTATAATCTATGCGACCAAGGTTCGCCCAATGTGGTACCGATACAGAAAAATGCATAATGAACATAATGAACTGAGGTAGAAGAAAGAAAAAACCGCACGACCAAGTCTCAACCGTCGATGCCGTCTGCAATCGCGAGACGCTGCTTCGTCGACTTGGCCTTCTTCACGGGGACGCGCTTCTTCTTGCCGCCAGCACCACGTGCATCGCCGCCATCAACAGGTGTCGCGGCACCCGACAGTTTGTTGTCGTCAAAGTTGCCCTCGCCTGCATGTCTGTTAGTAGTTGCTCCGGATTGCCGCGTCCACGGCGAAACGTGCCCGGAGGCATTGGGCATTGTGAAAAACTCACCTTCGTGGTACATGTCGTCGAGGCTCGCGCCGCCGTCCATGTCCATGTTGTTGGCGGCCGCATTGCGCTTCCGCTTGCCGCCGCGCTTCTTCGTGGCCTTGTCGTACTCCCCGCTCTCCAGCAGCTCCTTTTCGCGCCGCTCAATCATTTCGGCCTGCTCGTCGTCCGCCAGCCACAGCGCAATGTCGCGGTTGCGGTTGTCTTGCGCGCGGCGGCCCGAGAAGTCGACACCCATCGACGACGCGCCGCTGCCACCAGAAATGACAACGCGCTGCACCTCCTCCTTTTGCAGCGCGCGCTTGCGGATCCGCTCCTCGATCGTGCCCCGCGTGATCAGGCGGTACACCGTAACCTGGCGCGTCTGGCCAAGCCGATGCGCGCGGTCCATGGCCTGGGAGTCAATGGTGGGGTTCCAATCCGAATCGTAAAAGATGACCGTGTCGGCCGACGTCAGATTGATGCCGAGACCACCTGCACGCGTGGACAGCAGGAAAACGAAAATCTCCGGCCGCGTCTGGAAATCGTGCACCGTGTCGCGGCGGTCCTCGAGCTTGGTCGAGCCGTCGAGGCGGCAGTACTTGTAGTTGCGGTACGTCAGGTACTCCTCCATGAGATCGATCATGCGCGTCATCTGGAAGTACAGCAGGACACGGTGGCCTCCCTCCTTGAGCTTGAACAAGAGCTCGTCCAGCTTGGCCAGCTTGCCCGAGTCGGTCACGAAGCGGCGCATTGACGGCACCGCAATGTTTGTGAATCGCTTCTTCTCCACATCGGGCGCCGGGAGCATCGGCCGCGGCGGGTAGTCCTTCCATGGCACCTTGCTCGTCACCAGCGCCATTTCCTCAACAGGGTTCGTGCCGTACAGGGCACGCCGCATGGGGATGTTGAACAGCAGGTCGTCGCGCTCGGTAACGGTACCACGGCTGCTGCAGGCAAGTTCGATTGGCGGTGCCGATGCATTCTCGCGCCCAGCAGCCTCGACGCGCGTCAGACCGGTGTTGTCGTACGTGGTGCGGGCCACGTTCATGAGCGAATCAAGAACACCCTCGCCCGTAACGTCAGCGAGGGCCATCCGGTTGTTCCGCTCACGGATTTGGAAAAGGGCGTGCGCCGGAGTGAAGCCGCCTCCATGGGCATTTTCGTCGTCGTACATCACCTGCATGCGGCGAAGGCGAGACGAGAGTGCCGACGACGACGAGTGCTTGCTCAAGAGCTCGGCACTGCGGGCGAAAACATCACTGTGAGACGCACGGTAGGCCTCACCCGGGCTCGTATCGGCGAAGCGCAGGAACGAGAAGGCGCCGTCCTCCGCAGCGCTGGCCCGGATGTTCTCTGGCTTCCAGATGTTCATCAGCTCGTAGAGGTACTTGCTGCGGAAACCGGCAGTGTCGTTGTCGCTGCCAACCTGACCGAGGCGGCCGCCTTCGCGGGCGATGAGGCGGGGCAGCCTGTACTCGATCATGTTCCGCGCCGAGTAGCCGACGGGCACGTTGTTGCCCTCGCGGCTGAACGAGGCGGTCTCGGCAAAGTAGGACATGGAGAAGGGCGACGCCGTATCGGCACGCTCAAACAGGTCAGGGTGGTTGCAGACCTTGCGGAACTGCATGACAAGGTTCATGAGGGTCTTGGAGTCATTGTCGTCACCCAGCGTGGCCTTCTCGATCAGGTCCATGATGCTGATCTGGTTGCGGAGGTTGGCATAGTAGGCGCGCTGGCGGTAGGTCAGGTCGCAGAAGACGTCCAGCTCAATCTTGTCGCCGAGCTCCTTCTGCACATGCTTCTTGACACGCCGAAGCATGAACGGCTTGAGAATCATGTGCAGACGCTTCAGCTGATCCTCGTTAAGTTTCGTGTTGCTGGTCGCGTGCGATTCGATGTCTTTGGAAAACCATTCGCTGAATTCGTCGTGGGAATCGAACAAAGACGGCATGATGAAATGCAGCAGAGCCCACAGCTCTTGCATGTTGTTTTGGATGGGCGTACCCGTTAGCAGAAGACGGTTGCGGCAGTGGTAGTTCAGCAAAACCTTCCACCGCGAACTCTGCGAGCTCTTGATGGCTTGCGCCTCGTCCAGAATCATGTACTGCCAACGCATCTTGGACATGAAGGCCACGTCGGCCACGACCAGCTGGTACGATGTAACGAGCACGTGGAACTGGGCGCTCTTCTTGTACATGGAATGCCGGCGGTCCCAGAACTTGCGCAGTACCTTGCGGTCGCCCGCTGAGCCCCAGTACGGAAGCACCTTGAACTCGGGCACGAACTTTTGGATTTCCTGCTGCCAGTTGTGGAGTGTGGACGCGGGCGCGACAACCAGGAAGGGACCCCAGATGTCGTATTTTTCGGCGAGGTAGGCCATCACGGAGATGGACTGGACCGTCTTGCCGAGACCCATCTCGTCGGCAAGAATACCGTTGATGCCCTGCTCGTAGAGGTTGACCAGCCAGTTGAGACCCTTGAGCTGGTACTCCTTGAGCTGCGCGTTGAGGAGCTTGGGCTGCTCAATCTCGACGTCGCCAAGTCCGGTGGGGTTCTGGAAGTTCATCTCGCCCTCTTCGTCCATGTCGTTGTCGTTGTTGAACTCGCGGGCCTTCTGCTGCGCCTCAGCAATGGCGCTCTGTGCGTTGGCCATGGCCGCGGCGCGCAGCTGAGTCTCATCTTCGGCGTCAAAGTCGAGGTCCTCGAAATCAGTGACCTTGGCACCCACGGGGCCAGATGGCTCGTCCACAGTCAGGCCGTTGGTTTTGTGTACATCTGCACCGTCGGCGGTTTGCTTGGCGATTTCGTCGGGGTGGTCGGTGCTGCGCTCGACTTCGTCGGTCTTGATCTTCTTGCCGATGAAATGGGAGTAGAGCTCCGTCTGTGAGATCAGGAAGTTGAGCTTGCGCTTCTGCCGGGCGGCTTCGCGGTCGGCTTCCTCCTTGCGGGCGTTCTCGAGCTCCTGCCGCTCAGCGGCTTTGCGCAAATCGCGCTCTTCGCGCTCGTTGCGCTTCCAAAACGTCATCATGTCGCGCATGACGCGCTTCGCGCGCGCTTGCAGGTCCTTGTTGCCCTTATTCGTGCGCAGCTGCCACCTCTTGGCCTCCTTGGACGCGAGCAGGGCCGTCTTCTTAAGATTGGAAGCCTTGGTCGAGTATGAGTCGGTTGCGAGACGGAACGTCTTGCTGACGTCTTTCCGGGCGAGATCGCGCCAAATTTGGTCATAGATCTGGATGAAGCCCTTCGTCTGGAAGGGATCCTTGGGCGGCTCAGCGGCGGCGGCGGCCGCAGCAGCAGCCGCAGCAGCAGCGGCCTTCTCCCTCTCCCTCTCTTTCTTTGTTAACCTGGGCTCGGTGTTCTCCTTGTTCGAGTACCCGTCGTCACGACCAGAGTCATCGCGGCCAGGCGTACCATTGGCGCCGGAGCCCTTCTTAAACTTGATGCGGATCTTGGACGTTTCCTCTCTCGAGGGCAGAGCCTCTCCGGCGTCCAGAGCTGCTTGGGCAGCCTCTGCATTCTCCTTTTCTTGCTGCTTCTGCTCTTTGGACTTCTTAAGACGGGATCCGCCCCGGCCCTTGATCTTCCCCTTGCCCGGCTCCATGTCGGTCGCCTGGAAGGTGGCCATGGTGCCCCCCTCGAGGTTCAGCTCAATCGCGGCGTTGCGAACGGGGCCCTTGATGCCCTTTTGCAGAATGAGCTTGGTCTGCTGCACCTTCTTGTTCGCACGTTCCGCTTCACGGAGCAACTTCTGGCGCTCGTGCTCGTCTTCCGCCAAGGCGGCACGAGCGAGCGCAGCCTTTTTCTGTTCGAGGGTAACAGCCATGGACTTTTCTCTCCGGCGCTTGCGCTGCATGTCCTTCTTGCGCTCCTTCTCGGCAAACAGTTCCTGCTCGCGGACCTCCTGGAGCGCGTCGTTGTAGTAGATCTCGTAGTAGCGCTTCGTTCCCAGATAGCCGTGATCTTCGAGGCGTTTCGCCAGCGACTCGGCCAGCTCGGCTCTGCGGACGTGGCGGAGCTCGGCGTCTTTGGCGGCCATCTGCAGCTGGCGTCGGCGCTGGCGCTCCTTCCAAGCACGCTGCTCCTCGTCGATCTGCGAGTCGTCCAGGTAGTCGTGCGCATCAAAATCTTCAGCAGTGTCCAGCTTCTTCATGAAGCTCTGGATGCTCTTTTCGGCGGACGCCGAGGAGGAGACCGAGATCTTCTTCTTTTGCTGGCCGTTGGGGCCACGCTTGGCCGGCACGCGAGGCTCAGGAGCAGGCGCAGCGAGTTTTGTAGATACGCGACGCGACGCCTTCGGTGCGGCCTCGGAAAGCACGGAGTCACCGTCTTTGTCCACGTCTTTCGACAGTCTCGAGCTCGACGCCCGGGGTTTAGCCACGCGACGTGGGACGCGGCCCTGCTTCTTATCATCGGGCTTCTCCAATTTGATGACGCGCCTGCTGCGGCTCGTTGTGTGTTCGGAGTCTTCATCGACAGGGGGAGGAGGGGACTTTGCTCGTGGTTCTTCGGCAGCAGGCTCGGCGCTAGAAAGGATGTTTGAGAAGGACATTAAATCGGCTGTCCGCTTTGGTGTCTGTAGATGATAAAATCAGCAAAATGTGAGAGATATGGGTAGATGGGCAGAAACGGTATCAGGATGCAATCGGCAAAGCCCGAAACAATGCAGCGTAATGGACTTCGTGAAGAATCAAGGTGCGTCGCGCTTAAGGTGTTCGCTTACACTTGCCGGAGCCGAAGCCTTTGATGGAACTGGTGAGCTGTCCTTTGAGTAAGCAGAATGCCCGGACGTGCCGTTTGGCGGTGGCGAGCCCAGGCTCGTCCATGGTGGCTGCCGTAGAGATGGCGAAGCCATGGTGATGGATGGATTGGGAGAGTGAGCTGACGACTCTGGTATGGGAACAGCAGGTGTCGATTCAGAGCGGTTTCGAGAATGAGAATGCGAGACGGGGCTGCGTGGAGCAGCGGCCGACTGTGATGGATGGCCGTAGTTATCGTGATGCTGTCGATGGGGAAAGGGAAGATTCTCGAGTCAGTCCAAAATATCCTTTCACGCTCGTCGATGCTGCATTGTAACCGTGTGGCAGTGGATGGGAGAATGCATTCAGGGGTCGTGACGATATTCTGATGGGCAATGGGAAGAACAACACGCGTTTATCGCGAAAGACTTGATCCTCGCAATGGTGGATGATGGCGGTGCTGATGAAAAATTGAAATGAGGGATGGAAATGGGTGTCGAAAAGGAATGGACGGTACGAAGAGGAAAAGAGGACGGAAAATAGAAAATGGAAAACGGAAAACGGAAAACCGAAATGCAAAATTGGGTGATGGAACAAAACGCGAACAATTGAGCCAATGATTAAGTGGAGGCGTGGCGGACGAGAAAAAGGGAGCGTAAGGGAGAGAAGGAAAATAAGGGCCAAAAAGCGACAGGAGAAATTTTGGAGACGGAGCTGCGCGGTCATGGATGATGAGACAAAGGGCGTAGGCATAAGGAAAGCGCAATGCGTCAGGCGTCAGGCGCCAGGCGCGCGAACGCAGAAAGAGCCACAACAGACGGCAAAGCACGAGGAAGGAGCAACCACACACAAAAAATGACAGGCAAAGCCACACAAAAGATCACAAATTGGCGTCGGCCAACAAAACCGATGCAGGATCGGCTTGGGCCTGGCCAAAACGCATTCGTGTCCGGGCATTCGGGCTGCCGACTAACACCGGAGAGCAAGCGCGAGAAGGAGCAGACAGAGCAAGCAACCCAGAGAAGTCCGGACGCGACGAACATAAACGCAATGGGAGTACTGCGCCCATCCAGAAAAATAAGAAGGACGGGGAAAGGAGACGAGGAAGGTTTGGGACGGGCAGGTTACAGAGACACCGGACAAGAAGGAAAATAAAGACAAAGACACGCGCAAAAGAAACTCACCGGGCTGTCGGGACGCCGGACACGCGACTCCACGTTGTGACGGTCGGCGGCCAATGACGCAGCGCCGGTCGCGGATGTGGTGTCGGTAGTCGGGTCGTAGAATTTGCCGGACAGCGGTTGCGCAGACGGCGCGTCGCCGTGGGCCGAATACGGTGTCGACGCGGCAGACGCGCCCGGCGGCGGCGCAAGGTGCGGCGAGCGCGAGCGCGACACGGACGACGGCACCGGCCGATGCTGCAACGGGGGACTGTTGTTGAGCAGATTGTTCACCGTCGGACCGACCGAGGCTGGCGAGGCGTGGCGGGCGCTGGGCGACGCCAGTGGACGGACGTCCGATTTGCTGGGCGAGCGCAGCGCAAAGCTGTCGTGGGCGCGATGGGGGGAGGAGGCCGTCGACGAGGCATAGGAATGTGAGTGTTGGTGCTGGTGCTGGTGCTGGTGCCGCGACGGGTAGGAAGCGGGCGATGCGGCAGGCTCGGGCTCGGGGTTGAGGATGTCAATGGCGCGCCGCCGCGTGCGGTCGTTGTCGCCGCTGCTGCCGTTGGTGGCGCCGTCGTTGTCGGACGAGCGACCCAACACGGTCGAGTGGAAGCTGCTGGAGTGGTCCATGATGTATCTATGTATCTCGTGCTGTTTTGGTCTGTCATCACCGGGCGAGAACGTTGGCAGATGTTGGCTGGTGCTGGATGCGGTTCTGGTGCAGCCAAGTACGACAGAAGCCCGCAAACAAGCTCTAACAAGACAGAGACGATAGGAAGACAAGAGGGACACAAAAGAAACAGAAGAAGACGAAAAAGGGAAGAAAAGGAAGGCCGCCGAGATCCTCTGCTGAGCGCATCGGTGTCGGGTTTTGCCAGGCGAAAAGCGCGGGTGAGGGTGGGCCGGGTGCCTAGCGAAGGGTGCGCATGCGCTGTACCGAATTTGTGCGCTTGTCGTGCTGGTGGTGTCGATGCGCGAAGCGATGGAGACCAGGAGAAACAGGACAGCGCGAGAAGCCCGCGAAAGTCGAGAGTAGAGGTCCGACAGTCCCAAATCCGTCAAAATGACGCAGTTCCAACACACCTGGGCTCAAAAAGTCACGATGACAGGACAGCGAGATCGTGGGCGTCGATGTCGATGCGAAAATGGCAGTCGAGCCAGCGGCGATGTGCGTGGTGATGGCGATGGCGATCGTGGACGGGGTGGTGGGACAGATTGGGGAGATGGGGATGACAATGGCAGGATGGAGCGGATGACGGATGGAGGATGAGATGGAAATTAGGTGACGGCGGTGGAAACCCAGACTCGAGAACGAGTGACGCCCATTTTTGGTGCGCCTTTGCTCGGCGAGTCCTTTTTTTTTTTTTTCCTTTTTTCCCTCTTTCGCTCAACGGCTTTATTGTGTTGCTCTATCCTGCGAATGATTCTGGCTCGCTCCGGAGTAGAAGTACTTGCGTTTGTGTGCAGATTCCGCGCTTACACGATGTCTCCCTTCGGTCCCGCCCGTTGCAACCCACATGAGTCGAGAGCTCTTTTCTGTTTCCTTTGTCATCCCCTATTCTCGTCCACCTTTCGACGTACTTGGACATCTGGCTCGCCTGCGATGTGTCTTTGTCCGTTCTCTCCATGATTACGTCCTTTTGCGACAAAGTATCCTTCTCAACGCCGGTCTGCTGTGCCTCCCTCCGTGTGGCCCTGTACTTGGGGTCCCTCTTCCTCTGTGCTTGTACTTCGTATGTTCTCCTCCGCGGCCTTGCGCCCCCCCCCCCCCCTTCCCCCCCCCCATCTTACCGTTCCCTCAGAGTTGCGATTTTGTGCCTTCTGGGTCTCGCTGGATCCTCTGGGGCGGCCGCGCTCCCCGGCTCCTCGACCAATGGCAGTCTCCAGTGTTCCAGGCCGTTCGGTTCTCTCCCCTCAGCCTGGCACCACGCTAGTGCATCGCCCCTTTCTTCTTTCGGAATTTGTCGATAAACGACGAGAATGAGCAGAGGGCGATGCTGCCAGAAGGAAGGAAGCCAGAAGTGGCCAATATTTGTCTCTTGCCCTCTGAGCCCTCTTTTCCTTATTCGCCCTCCCTTGCACCTTCCCTCGCTCGCTCGCTTCCCAGCATCTTGCCGCGTCGTCACTCGGGCCAAGGCGATCCACTTCACCACAGCTCTTCCTGCCACGTCTGTGGCCTGGCCCCAACCGCGACTGCCGTGTCGGTTTCAATGTTGTCCTTTCCGCTCATTCTCCATTTTGCTGTCTGATTGCCGCCACACGACTCACATCTACCCACTTTTGCATCACTCTTGCCCTACGTACACCAATCATCACCACTTAAATCGCAGACATCATGTGACACTCAATGGAACCACAAAGTACGAGCTACGGAGTACACGCTCACCTTTCATTGTTGCCCGCAGCAGCAACCAACCGCATGGGCCTGCTCGTGTACTTCGCCATCGAATGGGATGTTGAAGATGAACAAGGCCACGTCAAGGACTACGGCATACAGAGTACGATGAAATACACTACCTTTTGTAGCCCACGGCCTGGATGCGAAACGCCAGGACTGGCGGACCAGCATAACCGCACGAGAAAAGGACATGACACGGCGTTGTAGCTTTAATGGAATCGTCCAACTTTTAAAACGCTATTTATATCAAACAGGTTCCAGTGGCAGCGAGAAAAGCCTGACAACGCACCTGCAAACAGCTCACTGCGAGTGCGGACCGTGCGACTCTGGGGCATCCGTCAGCGCCCGTTTTTCAGGGCAAATGGCGATCAAAAGAAACGTTGGCAAAGCCTCCTGAAGCGCCCCGGACTTAGTCGCAGTTATCGTCATCGGCTCCATCTGATCGTAGGGGTTACGCCATTTCGTGAACTGAGTAAGTGAAACTCGCACGCCGACGAACTACGCACTGTGCCCAAATCACGGCTGTTTATGCCGATCGGGACATGCCGTTTGTTGTTTTTTTTTTTTTTTTTTTTTTGCGGTTTTTCATCGTTTTTGTTCTTCAAATCTTTCATTTCTCAAACTAGACTCTATTTCTGTAAAAAAAACCAGTCACTGGGAACAAGAAAATAACCATCGCCTTGCCGACGGACATGGTGTCGAGGCAAACGACAAAAAGAGGAAACATGGATGCAAAGTGAAATAAATAAACTAAAAATAAAACAACCCGTCCAAATTATTCTTGGTGTTGTGTCTTTTCCCGCTCTATAATATTTTTTGGTGGATTGTCCGACCCCGATCAAGAACTCCCATTTACACAGCACCGGCGCTGATCATCTTTTTCCGCAGGTAGTTCTTGTACTCCGAGATGCTGCCGTCCCATGTCCGGATGGTCCGGTTCTCGCACACCAGGATCTGCTTGGCAATCTTGTCCAGCAGACGGAAATCGTGGCTGACGACAATCACACCGCCCGTGAAGGCGTTGATGGCTTCGGCGAGACTGTCAATGGTCGGGATGTCGAGGCCGTTGGTCGGCTCGTCCAGCAGCAGCATGTTGGGGCCCTCAATGGCCAGCAGCGCGAACACGATGCGGCTCTTCTGGCCCTCGGACAGGGTGCCGATCAGCGCCGTCTGCGCCTCGCCCGACAGGCCGTACTTGCCCAGCTGCTGGCGCCAGTACTGGTAGTCCTGCGACTTCTCGCGGTACTTCTCGCGCACAAAGTCGAGCGCCGACTTGGTCATGTCGAGCTGCTCGGCCGAGTGCTGCGAATACAGGCCGAGCTTGAGGTGCGTGTGCCGCGACACCGACCCCTCCGTCGGGCTCAGCGCGCCCGTCATCAGGCGCAGCAGCGTCGACTTGCCCACGCCGTTGGGGCCCACCAGGGCCGTGCGCGAGTCCATGTCGAAGCCCAGGTCAATGTTGCGGTACAGGTCGTCCTTGGGGTCGCCCGAGTACGAGAACGTGACGTTGTCAAACGACAGCACCGGCGGCGGCAGCTTCTCGACGTCGGCGAAGCGGAACGTGAACACGCGGTCCTGCACCACGGGCTGGATGAAGCCGTCGGCCTCCATCTTGTCGAGAATCTTCTGCCGCGACTTGGCCTGGCGCACCAGGTTGGCGTAGGTACCGGCGCTGGCAATGAACTTCTTGATGTGCACAATCTCCTCCTGCTGCTTCGTGTAGGCTTTCATCTGGTTGGTCTCCTGCTCCGTCCGCGTCTTCACGTACGAGTCGTAGTTGCCACCAAAGTACATCAGCTTCTTCTCGCGCATGTCAATCATGGTCGTGCACACGCCGTTGAGGAAGTCCTGCGAGTGCGACACCAGCACCAGCGTGCGCTCCCACTTCTTCAGGTACTCCTCCAGCCACACACAGGCCTCCAGGTCCAAATGGGCCGTCGGGTCGTCCAGCAGCAGCAGCGACGGCTTGACGAACAGCGCCTTGGCCAGCGCCACGCGCATCCGCCAACCACCGGACATGTCCTTGGTCTTCTTGTTGATCGTCTGCTTGTTGAAGCCCAGGCCCGTCAGAATGAGCGAGGCACGCGTGCCGAATGTCGAGGGGTCCATCTTCTCCATATGCTGTTGGGTAGGTTAGTACTGGAAGATGAATGCAAAAAAAGGGGGACAAAAGAGTGGAGACAGTGCAGTATCCCTCCCCATCAGGGCCGTCCACGTACATCGTACAGATCCAGCAGCACCGGGCTCTCGGGGCCCTCATCCTCCAGCAGCTTCTCGGCCAGCTTGTCGAGACGCTCCAGCTCGTTCTCGGCCTCCTTGACGACCCACTCGAGGGCGCCCAGCTCGCTCGGCGGCGCGCCTTCGTTGAGCAGGTAGATGTCGACAAACTCGGGGATGGGGAACTCGCGCGCGTCAATGGCCTTCATCAGCGTAGACTTGCCGCAGCCGTTCTCGCCCAGCAGGCCGTAGCGTCTGCCGTATGTGAGCTCGAGCGTCGAGTCTGTGATGAGGACGCGGCCGTGGAACACCAGACTGGTGCTCGTGATCTTGACGTCACGGCTGGTAGACGTCGAAGCCAGCACACCCGTCGTCACGCGGTCCGACAGGCCGTGCTTGTCCATCTGTGCAGCCAACCGCTTCACCTCATCGGGGTCGTTGACAATCGCGTTGGCGTCGGCGTCGACCTCGTCGCCGTTCACCGAGGAGGTCGCAGTGCTAGCGGTCTTGGAACCGGCCTTGGACCGCGAAGCGACCGTCTTCTTGCCGCCACCATCGGCGGCCTTCTTTGCGAGTCTCTTCTCCTTGGAGGCGGAAACCATGTTGGGCAGGTCGGGGGGGTTTGTCGTTGTTAGAGATGAGGGAGAAAGGAGGAGGGAAACGGGTGGAGGCGGATCGTAAAGTCGAGTCTCTTTACTTTTCCGATTTCGAACAGAAAATCAGAATATGTCGAATAAAAAGACGAGGACGTAAAATGAGAAAGAAATAACGAAGGAAAAGTGATGCCGTAGGGTCGAAAACAGCAAACACGTAGAGGCGATAGAGAGGAAGAAAGATAGTAGAGGATTGGATCTTTGTTGGCCGTGGCGGGGTTTTCGTTCCCTAGCGATTTTTTTTTTTTTTTGTTAGTGAAAACCTTGGAAACTTGGTGGGGTCACACTGGCCGCTCCAGTAAGAGTTTTCATAATCCGCCTTCCATCCCTACCAACCTTTACCAACTGCATGCCTAAAACCTATTTAGTCATTAATACGGTGCACAATGCGATAATACGTCACAGGTCACGTGTTTTCACAAGCCAAGCCTCTATTGTGTAGGCAGCTCTTGTTTGCCTCTGTGCCCAAATTTGCCTCCAGCTCGTCGGTATGGACTTGAGGACGCTGACTTTCACTGAACTCGTCTATTTTTGACTTCTTGTAGCCTTTACAGAGTATACTTTACGAGGTCGAAGCATCAGCACTGCCTATTTCGGCTATCGCCTATAGTTAGCTGGTTATTAGAGCTAGCTTTGTATGTGTTTCAGTACAACGATACATTTGTTTTGGGGGGTAGCAGAACAACGCATAGTATTGATGTCAGTAAAATAAAAGAGCACTTGTTTTCTGATCTGTTTTTTTTTTTTTTTTTATCAATTTAATTTGATTCACAAGCTCTATCAATTTACTTGTTTGAGGATTTATTCCTCAGTAAAAATATAATATATAAGTAAAATATAAATAAATTTACAAGAAAATATAAGAGACCATATCGAATCTGAAATATTATCATAATAAAATCCTTAGATCATTAAAATGTGTGCAGGCCCAGTACTACATGTCAGTGCCACAAACTCTCCCATGTATTAAATTTGAAAATAATAAGTAAACAGAAAAGCAAGGGCAGTCACTGCGACTATTGATGAGATTCGTTAATATGTAGAATGAATTAAATAGCCTACGCAACACTATTATCCTAATCTGCAGCGTATGAAATGAATTATGAAGTGCATCCTACTTTTGCCGAGACCGGCAATTTTTTGGACCTGGAATGGAAGTGTATAAGGGATGCCGAGCGAGACAATTCGACAGATCGCCTTTGTAGATACCAGCATGGTTTCTGACACATCCAGAAAAGTTGTACTTGGATGCATGTGCTGATATGCTCTTCTCGGTGACTATGTTGGCCCTGAGCCATTCTGTTCTTGGAGTTGTGGTTGGACAGCGCGATATTTCGGGACCGCAGCCTGTCGTCCATCAGCAACATATTGGAAAAGTCAACAGCACACATTGCCTATCTCCAGACGCTGTCCAAACAGCCAGCACCCTCACCGGCCAGGAAGAGGGAACCAATGGCATCTACGATGGTCAGACAGCCTCGAAGGTGTAAGCCCTAATCCAATACTGGCAAAGTTGCAAAATCCGTGATGGACTACTCACAAAATACAGTGACGACGCCAACTTTATCAATGTCTGTGCTGGGCTGCGTCTGACAAACGGTCGGCAGCTGTCGACTTCGTCATGCAACGGTATACCAATGGGCCGGCTACCGGCCAAGACGAATATGGTGGCGTCGCTGATCACGGCGCCGGCCTGGAATGCCACGCTGCCCGCACACACCACGTTCGACATTGTCATCCAGACGGTGCATCTGCGGGCGGGCCACCTCGTAAACCCGCTGTCCAACTACTACACGGCGCCCCAGGACCTCGATGAGCACGGCGATATCTATGGACATTGCCACATCACTGTGCAGGCCTTGGCAGGTACTGGAATCTCAGGCGAAGCAGCGGATGCCCTTGCGCATGTACCAGACCCGTCGTCGTTTGTCTTCTTTAAAGGTGTCGATGACCCGGTCACAGCCGATGGGCGGTTGCAGACGACCGTCCCTGGGGGTCTGCCGGCAGGCTCATATCGGGTGTGCACCATGATTGCAGCCCAAAACCACCAACCCGTGCTCATGCCGGTGGCCCAACGTGGCGCTCAGGATGACTGCGTGCGATTTCGTGTTGCTGGTGGGGACTGAAACCAAGACAGCAGATCACCAAAGATGGGATATTTGAAAGGATAGAAGTATTCATTAATTAAATTCAGGGGGTATCGTATTTATTGTACAGATACTAGATCGCGTGATGTGCCAATGTGCGCATCAGAGAAACATTCTGGATGCTCTGGGCCCTAGGAGCTGTACCTTGCGAAGAGGCAAGAATATGAAATAAAAACTATAAAATAAGTCGTCTCAAGGAAAATGGATCCGACCAGTTTGAGTCTGTCAACAGTCCAACGCGTAATGTGGACAGAAACATATCACAAAACAAAATCATGCATGTCAAGACAAGTTTGAGCACGCACTGCGTGTCGCCAATTTAGCGTCGGCACTCAAGCAGGAAGCCAAGTCAGGATTTTGTCGACCAGCACGCGTTTGTTGACAGGCTTGGAAATGTAGTCGTCCATGCCGAACGCCAGGCACTGTTCACGGTCACCCTTCAGGGCGTACGCTGTCATGGCGATGATTGCTAGCTGAATACCGTTTTTTCTGATCTGTACTGTAGCCTCATGACCGTCCATCACAGGCATACTAATGTCCATGAAGCAAAGGTCAAAATCTTTGGGTCGTTCGATAACATGTTTGACGGCCTGTGACCCGTCCGAGGCAACAGTGACGCAATCTGTATCGAAGCCGAATGAGGCAAGGATGCGGAGGAGGATACGTTGGTTGGTGGTGTTGTCTTCTGCAACCAAAAGACGTTTTCCAGGAGCACGTTTGCGCAAAAGAGCAACGTTTTGCTCAAATTCGATTTGAAGTCGAGCTTGAGGATCTTCGGGTAGAGTGCTCAGGTCAATAGACTTGTTACCGCGGGTTGATGAAGATAAAAGATCCATGAGAGGGATGGTGAGGGCGGGTAAGGAGGTGGATGATATGGGCGTGATGGTTTCAGCTGGGGATTGCGGGGACTGGGGCGTGCTATAGTTGTCCACGTTTGAGACTGGCGATGCTTTCGATTCGGGAAGGGGTGCTTCCGCTGGAGGCGGCGACGTTCCTTCGTTCGGCGGAGTAGTTATTGGTGATGAAAAGTCTGACTGTACTGAATCGGATGACACCTCGGGAGACAAAACAATTTCTCCACCCGGCAGAGGACTGGTATCTCCATCATCTTCGATGAGATCGAAGCCCGAGCCCGAGGCCACTTCGGCCTTTGACAGGCCGACCTTCTTGGCAATTCTTTCTAGCGGAGGTGGGATGGTCTGTGCCTTTTCAAGCTCGAATTGTGCCAGTTCTTGCCCTGGCGGCGTCAATGCGCCCCTGTGTGAAAGCCGCTTATTGGTCTTCACTTCCACGTCGGTCATGTTCAGTTGGGACAGGCTCTTGATCTTCAGGAACCTGATGGAAAACCAGAAAATGCATCCGTGCCCGTCTGGATTCGGTGTAAACCCAATGGTGCCACCCATCAGTTCGACAAGAGACTTGCAAATGGATAAGCCAAGCCCTGTGCCCTGGAACCTCTTCTTGGTTGTGGTGTCGACCTGCGTAAATGGCATAAAGAGGCTGTGAGATGCGTTTTTTGGAATTCCGATGCCAGAGTCCGTGACTCTGGTGTGTATGGTGAAGGTGTCTTCGTCTTGGTCCTGAACAGTTACGGCCACTCGGATAATTCCCTTATCTGTAAACTTTTTGGCGTTGCCAACGATGTTTTGTACGATTTGACGATATCGTAGTGGGTCTCCCTGCACAGCTCGAGGCAAATCGCTGGCAAGTGCCAACTGCAGTCGGACGTCCGGCTGCAATGTCGGTTCGATACTGCGAACAACCGATGTGACAATACTGCCGATGCCGACTATGTCGGTATGGATTGAGAAGCTGCCAGATGCGAGCTTGGAATAGTCCAGGATGTCGTTGATGACATGCAACAGTACTTGGCCGGATTCGTCGATGATGCTCGCAATTTCGCGTTGTTCGGGTGTCAACACAGTGTCAAGGAGCAGACTGCATGCCGACAGCATGCCGTGCATCGGCGTGCGGATCTCGTGGGACATGTTGGCGACGAAATCAGACTTCAGCTTTGCGCTCTCCTCGTATGCGGCAAGCACTCGGACCTCGGCGGCGCGGCGCTCCGTCATGTTGCGGGTCACCTTGCCAAATCCCACGTGCACTCCATCCTTGTAGATGGCCGTGATGGTGACGTTGGCCCAGAACCGGCTCCCATCCTTGCGGAAACGCCAGCCCTCGTCCTCGATACGGCCATAGCGGAGACAGTCCTCCAGTTCTCTCTGGGGTTTGTTGTCGGCAATGTCCTTGGGGCCATAGAAAATGGAAAAATGCTTGCCGATGATTTCCTTCTTGGTGTAGCCTTTGTTCATCTCAGCGCCGGCGTTCCAGGTCATAATGTAGCCTTCGGTGTCGATCAAGAAGATGGCGTAGTCTTTGACAGAACGGACAAGGATGCCGAACGCCTCGTCGATGGAGGTGTCGCTCGCCAAACTATGATAATCTGGTTCTGGTATAAATGTCGACTGCGCTTCGCCTGCAAGAGGAACGGTTAAAGGAGGCACGGTCGGGGGCAGTGACGGCATGGGTTCCACTGTGGGAGAGGTCGAGGTCGACTGGGTGTGTGTCCATTCCAAGACCACCGAATACGGAACATCGTTGCGGAATACGGGGATGGTGCGGAGGCTCCAGGCCAGGTCCACGCCTAAGCCAGTCACGGCAGCGCCCGTCGAGGTGTTGCGTCCTGACAGTGTCTGTACTGCACGCAGGTTGATTGATGCCTGCAAGATAGTCTTGATACGGACGCGATCGTTGTTGGACAGAAGAACCTGGTCTTCGATTGCGACAAGAATGTCGCGGCCAACGCAGTTCTTCGTTTCGAGCCCCAGGACAGCAAGAAAGCTTCGCGAGGCGCGCACGATTTGAAACGTAGGGGAGAGGATGGCGGATGCGACGGGGGACAGGTCGAATATTTCGCAGACATCGATATCGCTACCGTCGGTAAATATTGGTGTGCCCTCTTTGGAGGAGGCCATGTCGAGGGCGGCATTGGGCATCGAAGCGGAACTATCATCTGACGCCGACGGTGCCAACATTGTTTGGACAACCGGTTGCCTCAGAGAGGCAGTGAGGCGGTGGAAAAGACGTAAGCCGATCCAGCGTGGCGGCAGAATCGAGACGAACACTGATGTACGAATAGAAAGAACGGCGGAAACTGGTGCCTGTCGTGGCTGTGATGTTTTGTGTTCAATAAATTGTTACAATGCCTTTTCGTTTTTAGCCCGGTAAAGTTAGCTTTTGACGATATGGGTTGAGGTTGTTAAGGAAGTGGATAAAAAGGTTCCGGCAGTTTAACTGAACAAAATAAATCAACACGAAACAACGCAGCAGATAACCAACAACAGCGAGAGCCATCGTCGCCATCGCGCCTTTTGCAGGGACCGCAGAGAGGGGATAGAAAGTGAAAGGCATGGTGGGGGGGTTAGGGGTGAGACCAGAGCGGAATAAGCAAAGCCCAAAAACACAATACAACACAATCTGGACTGGTCTTTCCAAAACGCTCATCACCGATCACCTGCTTGCCCCCAGACGAACTGTGGACAGCTGGGGTTTGTGTGACAACTGCACTGGAGCGGCTACGACGGCATATGTGGGTGGCTGTGGTGTGTCGCCTACTCAACATTCTGTCTTGACAGACTCCATTCAATGCCAGAGACCCTGCTTTAGCTCCACGATAATGGTTCTGGCGTCATCTCTGGACTTGGGGCAGCGGATAAGCCGCTGTGAGAAGCCAGAATAAAAGCAGACGAGCAAGTGGGCTTGGAGAATCGAGACAGTGGGGAGGCCACTCCTCCGAACTCGAGGGAAAAACATGGCAGCGGCCACCTTTGGCGATGCCAAGCACATGAGAGGAGGGGAACTTCTGTTGTGTAGGACAAACAGAGTACCACAGTAGACGACCAGACGACCTTGTAATACGCCGCATACTTGTTGGAACAGCAGCAATTGGATTTTCGAAGCATCTTGTAACGGTTCCGCATTGGCAACTGTCAAATTCTGCCAGGTACTTTGGAGACCTGAGCTGCCGGGATGCAGGCCTGTTCTTTGAGCGGGGGCAGGTGGGTATGTTGGGGTTCTCAATACCTTTTCAGCACCACCCTTGGCCTTCAAACCATTCCAGCCTTCTGACTGGATCTTGGGATGTACTCTCAAACGAGGGGCTTCATGTCTCTGGGCCGAAAAGGACCATTGTATCCGGACCAATCGCGGTGGCTCGTTGCTTCTCAATGGCCCAGTAAAAGTCACTGTTGAATGTAACCAGCCCCCCTTCGTCTTCATACCAGGATCCCTGTCTCGTGGAAAGTTTTGCGATGGAAAGTCTTTAATCACAACTTAAAGAACTGCAAGAATGTCGAGCGTCACAGGCGATTCGACACTGACAGTTGATGTCTACCAAAAGCATGGCCAACAACAAATAGAGGCCTGCATCAAGGAACCCTGGAATGCCGGTTGTTGATGCTGTTTGTACGCCGTAAGGAAGGAATTCAAGCTCGATCTCGATGACAATAATTAGTGGTGTGTAGCCTGCCGATTGGAAACACTGGGAGCATTTCGGCACAGATCATGGGGGGTGGGTGTTACAGCCTTAGATTGGATGGCAAAGTCGACAAATGCTATGTTGTCTTTATCGACCTTTTCGATGGATTTTTCGTTTTGCGTCGAAGATGCCCCGCCCACTCTGAGCCAATTAATGGCTTGCATCGGTTGGTGGACGTTGTCTGTATCTACCCCCGGAAAGGCTGTTAGTATGTGGATAAACAACAAGAATGCCTTTAGTCTTCCTACTAGCCAAGTAAGAGGCAGGTGAAGAAGTCGATTAAAGGGCTCGCTTGCCAGAAGGACACCATTTATCTGGGCTTGGAAACTCGACTTGTAACAGTCCAATCCGAGACATAGAGCAACGAGATGCGATCAGTCGACAACTGTCTTCGTTGACGAGCTCAGCCCTGGCTTTGATATGCCCATCGAACAGCGAGCTGGGCGACAAAGATAGAGACGCATCCACTGTGGTTGCACACTGTGCGGACGCCTATCTTGATGCTGATGTCGGCTCGGCGATAATTTAAAGGACGAGAAACCCGACTGACGCAGATGCCTCTGAAATTTCAACTTCAAGAAAGAGCATGAAAAAGGGGGTGAAATGCTGGAAAACGACTTGAAAAATTTGCACGAAAAGGGAAAGAACGAACGAACGAACACATTCGCGATGCATTTTTGCCAGGAAGGCGCAACTGGCTGCATCAAGACCATAACGCGTGAACAAACTGAGAAGGAGCGACCGGGCGCATTAGGGGGCATTCAGCCTGCCAGAGCTCGGCGCACCGGCGCTCACCAACTGCCGCCGTTGTCTTTTCAGTGCATGACACGGTGCAACTTCCCCCCTAGTTTTCGTCAGCCTCTGACTCTCGGAACAGCAATTCAGCCTTGTTGGACGCTACGCGGGACAGGATAAGGGACCTTTCTGCGCTTCCTCAGCTCCGCTGAACATCGTCATTCTTTGTCATTCTATGTCTTCCCTGGGCTTCTCAGCGACGATCTGATTCAATGTGGCATGTCTTTTTGCTTGCGACATCGCCCCATTTGACCTTACTTCGTCGCAGACGAAGAGGAACGAATCCTTGACAACTCACAAGATGCAGACGACTGGTTTTCGAGCTTGCGAGTTATGCCGTGCCCTCAAAGTGCGATGCATGCCAGCCGACGACGCTGCAGGGAGCAGTGGCGGCAGCAGCAGTCCCCAGGGCAGCAGCACGGGACCCGTCGCCCTGCCGCCTGTCTCCGAGCGGCCGGCGTGCCGTCGATGCAAGGACACGGGTTCGACCTGCGTCTACACCGAGCCTCGGAGGACGAAGCGGAAGCGGACCGACGTGCGCGTCCGTGAGCTGGAGCGCGAGGTGCGCATGCTGAGCGAGCTGCTGATGCTCCGGAGACGCGTCGCCGAAGAGGGCATGCCTGTGTCCGAGTACGAGCAGGCCCAGACTTCGGCACGAGCGTCGCTGGCGGCCGCTGCTGCGACGGCTATGCCACCACCGGCCCAACAATCTCTGCCCGACACGCCGTCTGCTTTGTTTACGACTCCAACGCCATTGAGCACCTCCACGAATACGCCACACAGCGGTACACATCAAGCACCACAACCGCCCGCAGCAGCAGCAAGAACAACGACAACTCCAACTTCTGCTAGTACGACGAGAGCAGGGACGGCAGCCACCGACAACATGGCATTGCATAGCCAGCCACAGCCTCTAGTAGCCGACCCTGTGGCGGCCGGCATTTTGTCCATGGAGAAAGCCGTTCGCCTGTTCCGCCGATATGTCACGGTGATGGCACCGCAGAGGCCGTTTGTCGTGTTTCCCAAGGTGACGCTGTCTGGCGAGATGGAGTTTACGCCGGCCGTGGAGGCTTCGATCAGCATGGTGGCGACTCTGGTCCGCGAGCATACGCCTGTCCTCTTTCTGTCGATCCTGACAGCTGCCTTGGGGACCGGCGCAGACGACGATAGCACCGATGGTAGCACCGACGGCAGCGCCCACAACTTGAACGACAACAGCAGCGGCGGGCAGGAAGACGTAGCCACGTTGCTCGACTCATTGCTACTACGTGTCTATGCCGACCGCATCATCTACCAAAGCGAGAAATCCCTGGAGCTGGTCCAGGCGCTTTTGATCTCCTCGAACTGGAACTTTTACAGCTTCGAAAGACCGACTAGTAACTGCCTCATACATGCCACAGCTGAGGCAGCCGTCAACCAGAGCACTGACCAAAATGGCTCGAACCCGACCGTCAGCGGATTCGACAACCTGCGCTTCTACCAGCATCTGCACATGGCAGCCACCATGGCCGTCGAGATCGAATCCGAGTACCACGAAAAGGGACGCGTTCGGACAGGACGCACCGGCGGCGGCGTTGTCAGTGGTCTCTTGGAGGATCCATTGGCGTTTGAGCGGACGCTGCTGGCGTGCTACATGTGCTGTTCGAGCATCTCGCTTGGCTTCCATCGCCAAACCATGCTCTCCTACACCCCCGTCATGGCTGGGTACCTTCGGCGGCTGGAAGCATCGCCCCATGCCGCTCCGACCGACCCGGTCACGGTGGCCTGGGTTCACCTACAACGAACGGTCGACACGAGCGCGGGTGTATTGGGCCTGCGGGCGGTTGTCCGCAACGGCAGTGGTGCAGCGACACTCGCCGACAGCTCGGCGACGCACGGCTACGATGCGGTGCCCGACCTGGCCGACCCGAACTTCCAAGCTCGATTAATGAATGTCACGCGACAATTGGAGCAGTGGCGGGTCGACCACAGCCGCTGCTTGACCAGTACGTCGGCCCTGGTCTTCGAGCCCGTCAATATTGTAACGTCGTCTTTGCTAACCGCTTCGTTTTAGACTCTCTCCTCATTCAATACCATACGATCTTGTGTTTGCTTCATGAATCCTGCTTTTACAATGAGTTTGCCGCGTCCGACTTGAAGCCTCCGTATCGTGTTTCCATCCCCGGGACCTTTGAAGACATGCCTGCCCGCAAGCCCATGACACAGGCCCACCTCACGTCCCGGCGCATCTGCCTGATGGCCTCTCGCTCCCTCATTGGCATCTTCCTGGCCTCGCCCACGGAACAGCTGCTCGGCTCCCCTGTGGTCGTCTATGCGCGTGTCGGCTATGCCGTGCTCGTTCTCCTCAAGCTGCAGATCTCGGCGGCCCTGCCCGGCGGCGCCATGCACGGCCTTCTCCTCGACACCGTGACGGGCGACTCGGCCACGCAGATCTACCAGTACCTGGAGTCGCTGATTGCGCGTCTCGAGGAGCTCGAGGCGCTGGGCGGCCGCATCGCGTCTGTCTGGATTGCCATGGTGCGCATCATTCATACGTGGTACGAAGCCTACTTTGTTCCGGCGGCGAGCGGCCGCCCGGCCGAGTCCAACTCAAACGTCAACCCCGTGCTGGAGCCGCTGCGGTACTGCGTGCAGTCCAGCCAGGTGCAGCCGCCGTACACAATCACGCCGGAGATTCTGAAGCACAGCGAGCTGCACCGGGACCGGCGGAAGCACGACCCGTACTCTGTGACCGACGAGGGTTTTGCGTCTCTCGTGAACGGCATCGGCACGTCCGTGTGCGGCATGCTGTCGACGATGAGCCCCTCCGAGGAAGAGGCGTTCCTGTCGAGTGCGCTGGACACGGGCGAGATTGACCGCTGGATGGACCCCCGGATCGGACTTGGGGACATCCAGAACCGGCTCTTTGAGTTTTCGGCCATGTGAGCATCTCACAATCACGACGTGTACGCTACGTTCGCAACGAAGGTGTTTTGGGTTTATGTGCGCTATACGTTGTTACGGAGTTTTGCTGCATTTTCTTTTCTTTTTTATTAATTTCACGGAATGATACCACTCCGCGGGTCTTGTTTCGATGTGTACTAGTATCGGCATAGATAGAGCATGGACTTCGTCTAGAATTTGATGTGGGTATTGGTTGTTATTGTATCTAATGCCATAATCAAGAGGGCAGAAACAGTCTGATAGATGGAACGATGGAGAGAAGAAAGAGAAAAGTCTGCCAAAAAAGAGAAGAAAAAGGAAAGCCTGAAAGTCTAGGTTGGCTCTACAGCCATGTAACAAGGCGGTCCCAAAAACACAGCACATAGAAAGAAACCCACCTCTTTATAAATATTCCGAAACGAGTAAATCGAGTAAATGCCAAAGTATACGCCAAATGATGCGAAAGTATGCCGCGGTAAGAGATCGTCGGTGCTGTTTTACACACCTTCACCTTCGCCCACCGTCTTCTTGGCGGCCTTCTGTTTCTGCTCCGCCTTCTTGGCGAGGGCAATGCGCCGGCGCTCTTCCTCGCCCTCGATGCCCGTCTTGACCGTCTCGTGCGACACCCGCAGAGCCTTCTTGCGGATCAAGAAACTGGCCAGCAGACCGGCGCCTGCAAAGGCGACGAGCTCGAACCAAATGGCCTGGATCGCCTTGTAGAGCGCAAGACGCACGGCGGTCTGGGCGGCCGCGGGCAGGGCGTCGACGAGAAACAGGTTGGCCTGGGCGTTGGCGCCGGTGAGTTCGTCGGCAATGGCGGTGTTGCCGCCGACAGCGGCGAGGATGGTGTCGTACTGGGAGGTCATCTTGTTGGCAAAGACGGTGGAGCCGATGACGACGGCGATGGCGGAGGACATGCTGCGGACGAGAGCAAAAGAGGCCGTGGCAGAGGCATTGTTCTGAGGCGGCACGTTGCTCTGGAGGGCGACGAGGGGCGGCTGGAACATGAGACCTGTGCCAACGCCAATGATGCCCTGGTACATGATGATACGGGCCCAGGACGACGAGAACGTGGGCGCGTGCTGGCTGGTGGGCAAGTCAATCAGAAGACCCGCGCCGAGGATGGAAAACAAGAAGCCAGCAAAGATGAGGTCCATGTAGCGGCCGGTCTTCTTGAGGTAGATGCCGCTGGACGCGGCACAGACAGAGACACCAAAGCTCATGGCCAGCAGATAGACGCCCGAGAGAAGAGGCGTCGCGCCGAGCACGGCCTGGAAGTAGGTCGGCATAAAGTAGGTGGCCTGGGTGAAGGTCAAGCCGTGGAACAGGCAGACCAGCAGACAGGCCAGGTTGGAGCGGCTCTTGTACATGTGGGTAGGAACGACGGGATACTTGGCGACCCAGTGCTCGATGGCAACGAACAGGCCGATGGTGACGACGCCGAAAACAATGAGGCAGATGACAATGGCTGAGTTCCAGGGGTAGGAGGTGCCGCCGAACTGCAGGCCCATCAGCAGCATGAGGGTGCCGCCCGTAATCGTGAGAGTGCCGAGCCAGTCGATGGTCTTGAGGCCGGTCAACAGAGGCGTATGGGGTGTGGGCAGCTTGAGGGTGAAGAAAATGATGAAGAGTGCGGTACCAGAGATGGGCACTGCGACCATTAGTAGGGTGCCAAAAATAAAAGCAAGAAAGGTTCCGAAGGGCAGCACCAAGACGTACAGTTGATGTAGAAGCACCAGCGCCACGAGACATTGCTGGTCAAGGCACCGCCGACAACGGGGCCGAGGGCACTGGCCGTCGCCCACACCATGCCGATAACGCCATAGTACTTGCCGCGCTCACGGGCGGAGAAGAGGTCGCCAATGATGATGTTGACGAGCGTGAGCAGGCCACCGGCACCGATACCCTGGACGGCACGGCCGGCGATGAGCATGGTCAGAGAGTTGGCGGCGCCGCAGAGGGCGCAGCCGAGGATGAAGATGAGGTTGGCGGTCAGCAGGACGGGCTTGCGGCCCCAAATGTCGCTGAACTTGCCCCAGCCGGCCGTAGAAGCAGCGGACCCCAGCATGAAGGCCGAACCGACCCAGACAAAGCCAGCGGACGAGCCAAAGGCCTCGGCAATGGTAGGGAGGGCCGTGGTGATGATGGTCATGTCGAGGGCCGCCAGGAACACGGACATCTGCCGGGGGGGTCAGTCAAGGCGCGCAGAAAAACGGACGAAAAGAAATACAATAGGAAACTAAATCTAAATCTAAGGTCTTGGCACGGCAGCAACACATACACAAAGTGCGGACATCAACAGGACAATCTGAGCTTTCGCTCGCTTGTCGGCCTGGCCGGCTGGCGGTGCGCTGGCCGGTGCTTCTTCTGTGGAGGCCCCAGGACCGGCCAGTGTGTCGTCGGAGTTGCCATGGGCCGGGGCAACTGGCGCGTCCGTTTCCGTGGCAGAGCCGGCCCGGGGCGTGCTCTTCTCGTCGTCGTCCGTATGCGCGCCTATTGTCGGCGCTGCCGCAATTGTAGCAGCGTCGGTCTCGATGTCACGCGGCTGCGCGTCCTGCCCAGGGGCAGGCGTTGTTGTCTCAGCCATCGATGGCTGCGCAAGAGGCGTAACGTTATGCGAACCGCGGCGAGAGTACCGTAGCGATACTGATAATACCTAAACCTAATACCGGGACGGTAGCAACGTGGCCGGCAATCTGCGCAAAAAGGGCCGGCGAAAAGCTTGAACGCCGTCGACAGCAGTCGACTGTGGTCGACGAGGGTGGCACGGATAGAGATGGTGGATTGGAGGGCGATGGAGAGAAAGACGACGGGTGGAAAAAGCCAAGGCAGAAGAACGAGCTAAAGGGGATGCGGAAGGCGGACGTTGGCTAGGTTTAATATGGCGTGCACTGGAAAGGCCAGGCCAATTTTGCCCTGTGATCGGCAACAGGTCGCGACGACAGGGGGGTGGGCCAAAGGGGGAGCGGAGAAGAAAATAGGAGTACGACGCAGAGCGCAAAGCAGAAGAAACAGGCGAAAGGAAGAAGAGCAGAAAAAAAGAAAGCAAAGATCGGCACTTATAGCAGACAGTGAAAACAAGCGCCCCTCGATCGGCGTGGACCGGTGGCCGGTAGTCGACACGTCGCGACCCCTTTCGCACTCTGTCGCCCGGGGCTTTTGCTCAGCCGAACGGAGGGCAGACGCATGCTTCGACTGCTGCGTTGGAACCTTTCGCCGATCTTTGTATTGTCGCCTAATTTTCCCACATCGACAGAGACGAGATTGGGAGAGGCACAAAGGGAAGGTGGAACGAGGCTGGTCTGGTGGGCGTTTGGAAACGGAAACAGCTAGGCTTGCGCGTGGAAAGCACTTCGGAGTTTGGCTCTCTGCTCTTTCCTGCAATACACCAAAGATCTGTCCAGACTCGGCAGGAGCTACGGAGCGCTCCTAGGGCCGAAGCTGAAAGGGGAAAGCGCAGGGGTGGGGAACGACAGCCTGCGTCTCGGTGCTCGGCGCTCAAGCGGTGCCGCTAGTCCTCTCTTGCTTGCCCCCGTTCGTCTTTCAGGTTCAGACGAAGCCTTGTGCACGTGATCTGGAAATGTGTCGGCTCGGCGCTCGGGTAAGCTCTGCGAGCATGGAGTGTTTGAGGGAAACGCCAAAACAACAACAACCCGACACGTCGACGTGCGTTGTCTGCTGGACTGTATTGTCCGAGCCTGACCCGATGCATCGTCGAAGCGTGCGCGGTCTCACACTGCTGGCATTCATATTGCTGTTGTGCCGATGGCCGTGGCACGGACAAGTTCCCGATTCGGAAAGGACGCGATAAAAGCCGACGCCACTAGTATTACATTAAAAAGGACCGACGTCTGCCAAGTTTGTCACTTAAACATCAGGCCGTCCGAGATATGTTTTACAAGTTGTCTTGCAAACGATACGGCACGTGTGGTATACAGGCAGTTGGTGTAAGAGGGAAATAAATAATCATAACATCAGACAGCATGTGGTCAGTTTTACAGTCAAAGTAAAAAAGAAAGAAGCAAAGAAGAAAAAAAGAGAAAAAGAAAAAAAGGCCCTTGTATTAGCTCGTGAGCATGCTTACGATTTTATTGTTGAATGCCCATTCCTTCGTCATCAACATATTGGCATCAACAAAACGTCGGAGTGCTGCCTTTACAAACGCCGATGCCGCGTGGCAGGCCATAGGACATCGGGGCCAAGGTCGCCTAACGCCGGGCGGCATGGAATGAGAGAACAAGGACCGGCAGACTACATCTGACTGATCCCTATCGGCTGATACGGCACTCTGCGTGGTAATACTGCGTCTCGCCGGTGTCTACAATATGTTTGATTCTTTCAAATAACAGTTTATTAACTCTGGTGACTCTCACAGCAACCTTCGTCTCATGTCACTAGATGATGGACTACAGGGGATTGCCCACTTGTAAAAAAGCGAGAAAGCAGCTTTTAATGGAAACGGATTTATAAGAAAGGCTATATAAGAAAATCAAATGGGGTATATCGTACACCGTGCCTATGCTGTAGACAAAGGGGGCTGCCGCTCATCAGAGCTCTAAGAAGACGAAAACGAAAATGAAAAGCAGACTAGAGAAAGAAGAAACATAAAAACCGGAGCCCGTAGATGCCGATAACCTCCTATCCCCGTCCCAATGACAGAGGGAATCGCCCCAAGCACGTTCCATTCGGGTTTATCTCACCAAAGGTTGCGCTATTCCGTCGTCACGCTACTATCTCCGGCCCGGTACGTTGCTGATGATGCTGCCGTTCCGGCTGCTGAGGCTGGCCGTGTCACTGCCCTTGTCCTCGACCTCGACCGTCACGCTCGTGACCGTGTCGCATTGTCTGTTCGTTAGCAGTGTGCAAGGTCTGTAAGTGCAGCGTGGAAGAGAAGAGTCACGGGAAAAAGGAAGCGGGTGCACGTACATGGCCATGCCCATAATCTCGCCGGCGCCCGAGCCGAAGCCCTTGAGCGACGGCTGGCTGGTGTTCTTTGCGTCGCCGCTCCGAAGGCTGCGCAGGCGCGCGCCCGCGACGACCTTGTCGTTCCAGCGGCGCCACCGCTTGCCCTCGTGGCACTTGTTGTCGGAGCCGTCGCCGCCCGAGACAAAGACGACGTTGCCAAACTTGCGACCGACGGGGGTGCGCATAAAGGCAAAGGTCTCCAGGCCGGTGTCCTGGCTCGGCGGGGCCTCGCCCGAAAAGACAATGGAGCGGCGCGTCGACGAGTACAGGGCGACGTCGAGCCAGCCGGCCGAGGCGATCATGGCGCCGGCGAAGCAAAAGTACGCGAGGCTGACGTCGTGGCCGGCCATGGAGGCGATGCGGCCGGCGGCGAGGGGCATGGTGCAGAGCACGTAGATGAGCGGGTAGAGCAAAAAGGTCGGGTGGCGCGCCGAGCTGGGGATGGGCGGCAGGCGCTTGGCGCTCATGTCCGTCATGGTCGACCGGGGCGAGCTGGGCATGGGCGGGGTTGCGGAGGCGGCCTTGTGGGCGGACGCAGAGCCGCTGACCACCGACGCCGACGACGAGAGAATGCCGGCGGCTGCCGCCCCGTTGGGGTCCGGGTTCGGGTAGTGCTCGCCGTGGCTCTGGGCCAGGCAGCACGTCTGCGAGTGCTTGCTGTGGCGGTGCAGGTGCAGGAAGATGACCAGATAGATGATGGACGTCAGGGCGAGCGCCAAGAAGATCCACAGATAATGCAGATACAGGCGCAGGTCCTGGAAGGCCGAGTTGATCCAGCACCAGGCCCCGGCGCGCACATACAGCCCGCCGCGGCCTTCGCCGTTGTTCGTGACGATGATGCCCAGCAGCGCCGTGCCATAGACAAAGCCCCAGAGGGCAAAGAGGACCGAGTAAAAGCCCCAGGTCGGCAGGCGGTAGCCGCGCACAACCCCGAGATACGTGTGCATCGCAATGGCCGTGATGAAGACACTGGAGGCCAGATCGCCGGTGGACACAAACCAGCCCTGCACCCAGCAGGTGGGCGTGCCGACGGCCACGGCGTTTGACGTCAGCCACTGCACATTGAGCGAGAAGGCGAGCGCCTGCTGGATGTCGGCAAACAGCAAGTTGTAGATGAGTACGAGAAACTGGTTGGGTGGCTCTTTGCGAAGCCGTTTCCAGATGCCGTCCTGCATGGATGACGACGATTGGCCGCCCGGCGCAATGTCATCGTCCTTTTGCGGGCACAGGTGGGAGTCGGGCACGAGGAAGCCGTTGACGTCGGATGTGGTGGGTGATTCTGGGAAGGACGAGGGCGTGAAGCGCTTCGCAGCTTGGGCGGCTTCGTCGCTGGGCGTCGCTGGTGGGTTGAGCTGCCAGCGGATGAGCTTGTAGGTGAGGTAGAGGAAGAGGGTGAGGCTGGTCAGGAACGAAGCAAAGCCAAAGGTGGCAACGGCCCCGAGGCCATGAACGAGGACCGGTGGCAGAGGCGAAATGGTTCCGCGGGCGTCTTCCGAGTCGTAGATGTTGGGTGTTTGGTCGAATGCCCCCGAATGAAAGGCAAGCGGACCGGTGTGCCCCATGATGGGCGTGAGAGCGCGGTTGGCGGACAAGATACGATGAAAAGAATAAAGGTCGTCCTGCGAGAGCTGTATCTGTCCTGTGGAGCCGCAGCCACAAAAGCAACTAATTAAAAAGTGTTAAAATCTATAAAGTAACGACCGGCTGGGGCGAAGGAGAAGAGAAGGAGAATGTCGGTGTCGGTATCGATCACATTGACGGCAATGTTGTTGAAAGAATGTTAAATGTTAAAATGCGAGCATTAAAAATAAATAGAAGGCAAACAAGGTGCTCCCAAGGCCAGGGGAGGCTAAAGAAAAGAAGAAAGGAGGAGGAAGAGATGGTAGAGGTGCTTGTATTAGGACATAGTCTTGAGAGTTCTACCGTGAGCAAGCACAAGGCTGAAGAGAGTTGGCGATGTGACGATGAAGACGAGGTCGACAAGCGGGACTGGGGATGACGAGTGGAAGTAGAAAAACGAAAAGGACAGGAGACGACGAGTCCACTTTCAATGGAAAGGCGACAAGGACGAAAGGCGAAAGAAGGAAAGAACAGGAAATGAGAGGAGAGACCGGGAGGGGGGAAACAAGCTTGTTTTCTACAAAAAATCTCCGGTGAGCTTGGCACTGTGCCAAGAGATATCACAGTAGTGCCCAAGAAGAAAAGAGAGAGAAAAAGGCAAAGTCGAAAAAGAGAAGGCCTCGTCTTCGGGATAGGCGCCGTGGGGGGAGGATGGAGTACTGGTGTTTGATGTGACCTGTGTTGATCAAGGTACACCCTCAGAGACAACCGATGTAGGACGGCGTGAATAGCAATGTGTGTGCGGCATCACCTGGAACTGAACATGTTCGGGAGGAGTATGGGGACAGCCTCGAGAAGCACGCAACCGCCAACACGAAGGATTGGGGCATACCATTGGCCGCCGTAACGACCAGAAGCAACAGGATACAGACACACAAGGGGACAGGGCGGACGAGTTCACGACGACAGCCCTGCGCGGCCTCGCCTTGTTCCATCCTCGTTCCACATTGGAAATAGGCAAAAGACCAAAAGACTGGACGACACTGGCTGGCCAGCGGTACAATCGAAGCAAGCCGGCATGGGACCCACCCTGTTCATGCTGTAGCCGTTGGCGATGTATGGGTTATATGTTGTGCTGTGCATTGTACGACTCTTTACCCCAGAGGTTCCTTCCTCCTTCCTTCGCCCTTCAGACTGCAATGTTCTGTAACACGGCTGCCGGTCGTTTGGCAGCGCGGACTTCTCCTCTCTCTCCTTATTTGTCTGCTGTCTTTGACGATTGCTGTCTGGGCTGGCGCGGCGGGCGATCCATCGTCTCGTCCTGGCGATCATTGGTACGATTTGGGAGCCCCCGCATAATTCGGGAGACGAATAGACCAGACCGTGCAGACAGGCGAGACAAAGACGAAATTCCTAACCCCTGCTGCTCGAACAGCACATAAGTCTTGTCCGTGAGTGCACCAGCTTTTCTGTGGCAAGTGCACGAACAGGTATGCTGTTGGAGTATCTACTTGCAAATTATTAATAGAAATATACGACGTGGTGGTGAATCGTGTCTTGATGATTGTGTTGAACGTCAAAGTTGACACGGCTCTCAGCCAATACTACCGCAGCCCACATCGAAAAAGCTGACAGGGGACAGCGTCTCACCACGGCACAGGCAAAGAAACCCATTCTCGGAAGCAAAGAAAAGCAAAGAATGACTTTCATCCCATCGATTTAGCCAAAATCAGAAATATCGTCTCCGATGTCCACGGTTTCCACAGTTTCCATAGTTTACCGACCTTGAGCCCCGTCGGAGCCGTGTCCACATCATGATTGCGACGATGGCCCCCTGTCGAGGCAAAGAAGCTTTGACCAGACTACAAAGTCCTAAAAACGTACCCAGACAGATCCGCAAGGCCTCGCATTCTCTGGTCTTGCGATTTTCTTGTCTCTTTTCCCAGAGTGACTTGCATTGCCGTCTGCTGTCGGATCTGCAGAGTTGACGTCTCGGAGAATTTTGGTCCCAGTCTTTTTGGTATCTCAAGGACGGAATACCCTTCCTTCTCTTCGTTCTCCTCCTTCTCCTCCTTCTCCTCCTTCTCCTTTTTTTCTTGGTTTTGTTTTACTTTACCTTTCCAGATAATGCTGTTCTCATTGAATTTGTCCTCCATTTATCGCAACTGTCCCTTGGTTGTGTGATACGGGTAAACTGCATTTCTATGTTTCTTTTTTACGGCAGACCTCGATTCTCAACCCAGCACATTGACCGCCTGTCGTCTATCCAATGGCAAGACCGCGTGCGGCGGGATTGGTAGGACCATGATGTAATTAGCTGTACTTCGTACGGTACTTTGGGTCCACAAAACTGCGCTAGCGGGCCGCTATATCAGGGCCGAGGCTTGCGGCGCGCCGGGCGGGGCGGGGAGGTGCTATGGGCGGCACATGTAGTTAATTCGCCTGCCGTCGGGTAGCTGACTGAGAAACGAGAAAATGGTGAAAATGCAACCCCCCTCTTGTCGGCAACGCTCTTCCCACCCACCAGCCACTGTCGATACAGGAACAATCTGACGATCGACGACTCCAGGGATGCCGGTCTGGCTGTCGTATCCATCGCGGCCGACGCGCGGCCGAGGCAGTCCGCCGCCGCCGCCGCCCACAGCAGCGACGAAGCACTGCCTCGTCTATTTCGTGCCGGGCAACCCGGGTTTCATCGACTACTACGAGCCGTTTCTGTCGACATTGCGGGCCCGTCTCGACGAGGTGGAGGACACGAAGCGAGCAAGCAGCGGTGGCCGCGACGATCTGCGTTTCCACCTTCTGGGCCGCAACTTGCTGGGCTTCGATGACGGCGACGACGGCGGTGGCTCCTACGGGCCCGGCCCGTTCGACCTGGACACGCAGACCCGTGCCGTCTGGGACACGGTGGCAAACGCACGCGTCGACGTAGGGGCCCAGGGCGGGCCACGGCACGGCACCGCGTTTGACGAGGTGGTGCTGATGGGCCACTCGGTCGGCAGCTACATTGCCCTTGATGTGTTTCGCCGGCAGCAGGCCGCCCACCCGAAAGGCCGTCGCAGAGGCCACCGCAACCACCAAAAGACGCACTCGCCATCCGAATCGGACAAGGTCGTGCCCGTCGGCGGCACCGGGCACCTCAACCTGCGGCTGGGCGTTTTGCTGTTCGCCACGCTCAACCATCTGGCTCTGTCGAAACGCGGCCAGAAGCTCGAGCGCGTCCTTCTGACCACACCCGTCGTGTCCGCCTGGGCCGACGTGCTCGCCCAGGCCGTCGTCTGGTGGCTGCTGCCGGTGTGGCTGCTTGCGGCCGTCGTGCACTATGTGCTGCGTTTCCCACCGCATGCAGCGGCCGCCACGCTGCGGTTTCTGACCAGCCGCGGCGGCGTCCGCCAGGCTCTGTTCCTGGGGCGAGACGAGCTGCAGAAGATTGGTCCCGATGAGTGGGAAGACGAGCTGTGGGAAGTAGCAGCTGCTGGTGGTGACGAATACGGCGAACGGGGAGACAACGGCAAGCACGCGCGGCCCAAATTCGTCATCCTGTTTGGCGAAGACGACCACTGGGTGGACAACGGCGTGCGCGACGAATTCATTGCGCGGCGGAACGCGCACGCGGCAAGCCGGACGCAGATCGTGCTAGACGAGCGCGGATGGCCGCACGACTTTTGCATTTGTAAGTGCAGTTGCTGTGCTGATCGTCTTGGACGAGAAGATCATTGATACTGACGTACGCTTCAGGGCATGGTGAAGAAGTGGCCGAGACGGTAACGACGTGGCTGGATGATCTGGCTGAGTCGTTGTAACATTTACGTTAATAATAGAGGCCGGGGAGGGGATGGAAAGACGGGCCTAATTATATGTACAGCGAACATGTCCATCCGTTGTCAGCCGAGGCGAGTGCGTAGATGTAGATAATTCTGGTGAGAAGGGGCGACAGAACTACATACACGCCAGACGGAGTAGACATTGCTAGATATGCAGTTGAATAGATTCTCCAAAAGTCTGATTGATAGGTTCTGAATTAAACCAATTATGCCCAAAGATAGAGAAACGCCTTGAAAACAATATCGCCTCCTGATTGGGAATTTGAAGCCAATCGGCTGTCCCAAATCCATGCTCGCTGACCCTTTTTTTTGTTTCGTATCTTCGCTCACAGATAAATGTGATCTGTGGCCCAGATGAAGACGTGCCATCCCAGAAATAGACTACATAAAATCGTAAACAAGAATGCAGAAGCATGCCTGTGTCCCACTTCACGCCAATGAAACAAACGCAACCCATTTGTGTCCCACACAGAAAACCCAAAACAGAGATCCTACCCACGAGTTGCCTGCTAATGTGTAAAACTTGAACAAGGAATGAGAGAATGCAGAAATGAAAAGAAAGAAAAGGGGGACATGGCTGCTTGGCAGCCCGTCTCATGACACATTTTGCATACTGTACGAGTGCCGTCGAGAGTGCATCTCGATGTCGTCCTCGCTGACGGTATCGTCCAAGTTGATCGTCCCGATCACGGCCCCTCCGGCTTTGGACAGACCCGGCTTGTTGCTGATGCCGCTGGGCAGCGCCGACGACGCCGGCGTCGTTCGCGAATGCGAGGAAGACGCGGCCCGTGATGGAAAGGACAGGCCGGCCGAGCCGCTGCCCCGGAAGCCATAGCCATAGGGCGGCGGCGGTCCCCGGTTGCGTCGACCGTTGACGCTGGCAGGGGCGTCTGCGCGGGTGTTGGCCGGAGCAGGTCCGTTCTCCAGGTCCAGCCCCGGCGACACGGAGACGGGCGTGTTGTTGCAGCTGTCGTTGTCGGGCCGCTTGGAGGCAGGGACGGTCCCCGACATGCGCAGCGAGGGGGCCATGCGCTGGATAAACGTAGAGGCGCCGCGGATCTCGGTGGCGAGAACGCGCAGGGCCGGGATCGAGGCGGCCATGATGGACACGGCGCACTCGGCGAAGCCCCAGACAACAAAGGGGGCGCCCTTGTACGTGAAGTCGGGGTTGCCCAGGCTCGGGATCATGGCGGACTTGGCGATGCCCGTTGCGCAGGCACTACGCTGTTAGATGGGGCCAGAATGACAAAGGTTCTGTTGCATCACAAGCAAGAGTACTCACAAGACCCCCATGGACATGGCCAGGGCCACGCCAATCTTCTCGCGCCGGTACATGCGGCACCGCAAGAGGATGCGCCACGGCAGCAGCGCCAGCGCCAAGTCGCAAAAGGCCGAGTAGGAGCCGACGACGATGCCGTAGATGACGGCCACGCTGGCCGACCAGCACTTGCCGTGCACCTGGACGGGCGAGCTGCACGAGACAAACAGAAACGCGGCGCTGAAGGGCATCAAGACGTGCAGCGAGACGATAATGGCCCAGATGAGCCGCTTCGTCCAGCCGTCGGTGAGACGCAGCAGCGTAATGGCAAAGGACGTCTTGCTGAAGACGGACGAGAGGATGGAGAAGAAGCCGGACAGCATGCTGTAGATGCCGTAGCGCTCGAGATTGCGCGGGTCGAACTCGTCAAAGTGGCGGCCGAAGCCGAGGGCGACGTTGGCGCTCGTCGCCGAGGCGCTGACCGCCAGCAGGACCCAGGAGGCGAGCAGGAAGTAGTCGTCGAACCAGAGGCCGCGGTTGCGGAAGACTTTGCAGTAGATGCGGAGGCCGAGGAAGATGCCGGCCACCGCCTGGAGTGTCCAGAGCGACGCGTCGACGTACGGCCCGCGGTTGTCGAGTCCGGCATTGTCGGCATTAGCCATGGTGCGAAGGAGGCCGGCTTTGGTTGGGTCGTCGATCACGGTCAGAAACGAAACGACACATCCAGTTGCGCGTCGTGTGAATGTCACCAGATGTGAGATGGACAAGATGGACAACAGCCGGCTATTCGGATTGCTGTCGTGATGCTTGATGCTGTGTCGATGAAACAGGACGGGCAGGATATAAAATGAAAAGAGAGGAGGAAAGAAAGGGAACCAAAGGCAGCAGGTAAAAAAAGACAAGGGCAGAGTAGCAGTAGAAATAAGAAAAGGGAGAAGTGACAGAAGTTCAGGGGGCGACGTCTAGTTTTGGAAGTCGACGGAACGGTCCGTGTGCTTGACTACGATGTACTGAAGAGACAACAAGAGAATGCCATGGATCGAGGAAATCCGCAATGTCTGGGGAGGCTCAGGACAGCGTCACAGACGAGCAGGCGGAGGCTGGGCGAGATGCACAAAGCAAGAACGGCTTGATGAGTCGCGTCGAGCTACGAAGTAGACAGTTGGATCAGGACCTCGAGGGGGTCGAGGCAGGATCGTCAAAGATCTGCCCTGGACTACTTGACAGACGCTTGTAATTACTCCATACCACGCACACAAACGACGAACGACTCGTTAATCAGAACAAAATGGAGGGAGGGTGGGGAAATAGGGAAAGACAGGGGAGGGGGCGGCAGGGGTTGATGTCTCCACCAAACTCGGTCTGGGGAAACAGAGGCTGGCTGAGCGAAAGTCTCTTCACAGCAGGACGAACCGTTTGTCAATGTCGACACGGGTCGAGCAACGCAATACATCGTATAGTAGTAGAATGAGCGCATACCCCAGATATTGACTTGTTCCTTTGATTTTGGATCTGCATTTTCTTACTTTTGTTCAGTTTTGATATTTATTTTATTCTTTCTCCCACTTGTTTACTTTGAGCTTGTCCGCCCCTTTCGGTCGATTCCCCTCGACCTTGGCACAAATAGTCTGGAGCTAGCTCCGATAGTGGCCGTCTTAACGAAGCCGGCGCTATTTCATGGAGGGCTCGGTTACGAAAGCACGTACAGTCGCGCAAGGTTTTGCTCGTTTGTGAGTTTCTGCAAAGACTTCGTCCTTCTCCAGCGTCTATGTGAAGACAATGTTGCACATGCAGCTATTTGTCGCCCTGTCCTCCCCCTGTATGTTGTGCTGCGTGCTCCATATTGTTTAAGCTCAACAAACGGCGTCTAAATCGAGCCAGACGAGGAGGTATCCATTTGTGGAGGATACGGGAAGAGGAGACACTTCTTCGCAGGGGCATTAAATGTTAGTACGAATACAGAGTGCAGGGGGCAAGCAATCCCCTGTGGTACCTGTTCTAGTTAAACGGGTGTACAAATACAAGAAGTAAAATCCCAAAGAGGTATGCCACTGTTTTGCTGCGCGAGACCGTATGTACTCCGCTATATTTAACATTTATTACCCTGGTCGTTTACGGACTCAGCGAGGCCTAGATGGGGAACGACGATCCTCTCATCGTCTTTTCCTTTTCGAGGATGGACGACAGACATGAAACGGGGAACAGGTCGAGTCTGGCTGAGAGGGACGGACCCAGTTCATGAGAAGTTCATGCCAAGATATTGCACGGTTCATGGCGGATATACTCCGTACAAAACATCAAATAGACTCTGCTATGACCTGCGATCAATTTCACCGACGCACGTACGTCGTCATTTTGCCGCTTGAAAACCGGCACAGCAGACAGACCACGAACAGCTTTGTGTGTGTTGTTACCAACGCGAGTGTGGCCATCCGCATTTGCCTGCCCAGTTCCTCAGCCAGGATCGGCCCTGTCACCGGTCTCCACAGCCACGTCCCTTGCCGCTGTTTGGTTGGACAGCAGCAGCTGCACGCCGCCCACCGCGGTCCGTGTGCTCAGACAATGCCAGTCTGGGGGCGTAGGGCCGCCTGTCTGGTGCTGAGGTGCTCGGACGTTGAAGTTGCAGAGGGCGCAAAACAAAGCCAGTCTTGGCCAACGAGGCTTGTCGGGACCCAGAGCTGCAAAGGAGGGGGGGACAATGAGTGGAGCACCGGTGAAGAGTCTTGCAGGGATTGTCCAAGGGACTTTTCTGCGCCGCAGCGTTTTGACAACCGTTGAACAGGAGACCGTGCCTGCATGCGACGTCGAAAGAACAGCGTCCAGGGCATGAGAACGCCATGCAAACATGTGTGTTGTACTTCGTACAGAGTCCAACATTGAAGGTCGCAAAAATAAAAGGGGCCAAAGCACCCCTGCATATGCAGCTCAATGCTTAGTTCGTTCCATCCATCTGAATGCAAGCTTTTTTGCAGAGACTTGTTTCGGAGATCGTGAATAAATACGCGACGCACAAACATCAGCAGAAGATGGTCTCGTTTTGTTTTCTCAGCACTGCCCTTATGTCGCTGCATGCAATCAATGGGTCTCTGCTCTGGCCGTTTCACGACAGATCTGTCTATAAGACGTGAGCCATCGTTGAATGGCCAGCGACTGACCGCGTCAAGCACCTCGCTATTTTCGTATCGTGCATCGCATTTTAATCCTGAAAACAAACAACTATCCCCACACGTCGTTCAAGTCGGAGAAAAGGACAGGCGTTCGTCCTCTGGCTCGTCTTGGTGTGGAAACTTTTGCAACGTCCTCGATCCCGATCGCATACAACGTCCACGTCGTATTTCTGAGCATGTGCAGACTGACAGCTCTCACATGCACTTGTGGGCACGGCACTCTGGCAGTCCATATGATCTTCACCGTCTCCCTCTTTGCCCGTGCCGCTTCAGTCACTCTGCATACGAATTACTGTGGTACACCGTTGCTTGTGCACGGGCCTGGCCTCTTGCACAGACTTGCTCTACTCATGTATCTGGCCAAAAGAAGAAGACAACTCCGCTAGCCACTTGCAAGCTGCTAGTCCCGTGATGAGTCCTTTGCTGATGCAGAGCATATGTCGAGTGGCAGGCAGTACAGGGAGACAGGGAGTATGGAGCATGGAGCATGCCTAATACGAAGCACTTACGCCACAAATATCCCTTCTTGAAGAGGAGTAGTAATCCTAGCAAGAGTTGGTTTCACAATGTCCTTCCTCAGTCTCTTTTTTTTTTTTTTTTTTTTTTTTTTTTGTCAGGCCGCGCTACATTTACCAAAATGGGCATTGACCTCAATCTGCAGACATGTCACATTGAAAAAAGCGCGGGCCACCGGGGAAGCGTATCCGCCGCTCGCGTCCTCGTGTGCAAAAATGAGGGGTGGGTTTCTGTGTGGCACACGGACTCTCCTTTCACACGCGTTCGCCGCTTCGCTTTGCGCGTCTGGGTCTCGTGCAGTGACCGATGTCGATGCTTTGTAGCTCCTATGGTAATTGTTGTTAAATATGTCGGATAACCATGATACATCCACTGCTCGGACACCGCGACCGATGAAGGAAGACAACGACAGAAAGAAACCAGACAGCAGAGGCAAGACACCGACGCAAAATGGCATCGTTTGAAAATCCAAAAATGACACTGGGGTCAACTCCATCGGAAAACCGCCCCGAACCAAAACACATCCTTAGCGAAATGAGGCTGAAAATAATAACGAGAAACATGCCGCCTTTTTTTCCCTAATGTCCCGAATATATTCCCTTTATCATTTCTCTTGTCACCCAGCCATAGCGGCCCAACTTCCGCGGTGGCAGACCTGTAGACAGCAAGGTTGGCAAGCCACAGCATTTACCAGGAAATTGCATAGAAAGCAACTGGAGACTGCCTGGCCCATAAGTGCCCTTCACGGATCTTCCTGTTGTTGGTCCATTGGCGGTCTCCATCAGTCCCGTTGTACGAATTATTCGACCACTTATTCCCTGTCTTCCGTTGCTCCCCGTCCTGTTCGTCATTTAAACACAACCCACAAAACCTGAACCTTGACTTCCCTACTCCACGGAAACAGGATGCAACTCTTCCTTTTCCTTGGGCCCGTTTATTTGCAAGACTACGATGTACCAATTGATTTTGCATTCCGGTCACTGACGTTCTCATTTTTACAGCATAGCCCATGAACAGACCCAATGTTTCTATCGTTCAAAATTGCTGCTTCTACCATTTCTTTACAGGCATCGCCCGTGGTGATCAAAGACTATGATTTCAGCAGCAGTTATTTTAACAAAAAGAAAAGGGTTTAAACTTCGAAGCCTCCCAGAAAGCGTGACTAAAAAACGCTTGTTTATAATCCCTGAATCTAACAATGCTTCGTGGAATATTGCAACACAACGTCAGACGATTTACCTGTTTCGCGGTCGAAATCATGGTATGATCCAATCTCTACATCAACGTATTGAACTATATGCTGCTAAAAGTGTCTTACAAGGAAATGATAGTTCTGTAGTGGCCAGTGGGGAGCTTAGCAACTTTCTCTTTCGAGGAACTGCAAAGCTTAAGGGCGGCCGAAAAGTAAGAAGCATGATGATTATCGAACAACCAAACATTTCCTTGATCCAAGATCACCGTCAACCGAGGGCCGTTACGGCTTCACAAGAGTACGATAATTCAAATGTACGACAGTGTCTACAGCTTGCACCAAAAAATAACCATCACCGCGTGTAGCCCTTCGTCAGTTGACTTTTGGGAGGATGGCAGCAGAGGACAAATTCACGGCATCGCGGATTGGTATTTGGATGGAAGGTGCTTGCTTCGTGTGCATTGATGCAATAGCATGTTCTATTCTTGCAACAGGAGTGTTACTTCTCGTCTTCGAACCTGGCCGCGGCCTCGGCATGGTCATCGACACATTTGACCCCTTCACTCTCCTTGCTACTTGATCCGAGAGCCATATCAAGCAGTGGAACGTCCATGATGCATGATGCCTGCCATGAGAGATATCCATAACATCCGGTTTAGGCCAAACACATGGTCATTCCACGTTGAGTGACGACATCCAAGCGCGCGTCTAGCTACTACGTACTGTTTGTCAGCCATGCATGTTGATAATGCAAATTGTGCCTCGCGACGGATGGAACCGCGCCGTTTCGAGAAGCAGCTCGGAGGCAGTCGACCGAGTTCCATCATTGAGATCCATAAGCCATGGTCATTTGTGTGATAGTGATGGACGTTGAGAGTATGCTTCGCGTCCATATGAAGCCCATATCGGTTCGTCATAACCGCAACCAAGACGCGATATGGCTGTGACAAGACCAACGAGGCGACACGGACTGTAAAAGGAGAAAACGATTGGGAATGAGAGACCGTTCAGTATTCCCGTGAAGATCGAGCAAAGAAACTCAAAACGCCGCGCATGCCAAAACAGGAAGAAGGCCGTATGATAAAGCAGAGTCGGATAGTCGTCGATGTGGCGGGACGAACACGGAATCCACGACTTCACTGAATATCCGCATCCGCCATCTCCTCCTCGACCGGAGCCGACTCTTTTGCGTCTATGGCGGTGTTAGTGGGTAGGTACAACATATGAAAAACTAAAAGCAAAAAAGAAACACAGCAATGTCTCATAGCAACGCCAACGTACCAGCCATAACGTCGTCCGGCAGCTTGCCGCCGTTGGCCTCCATTTTGCGCTTCAGCGCCAGGGTCATGCGCTGAATGACCTTCTTCTTCTTCTTGGCGCTCAGCGGCGCGCGGGGGCCGCTGGTCGGCAGCAGGCCGGGCCGGGCGCCGCGCTTGGTATCGGCCTTGGCGACCCGGTCTTGTTTGTGGCGGCCGTCGGCAGAGGACTTTGCTTGCTGTTTGCGCTTGGTGGCGGCACGGGCAGCCACGCGGTTGCGGGACTGCTTGTTGGGGTTCTTGACGGAAGGCATAGTGAAGGGTGCAGAGGAGAGAGGGGCTGGGCTGGGAGATGGACGGTTTGATGTTCAAAACAAATTCTGTGTGAAATGAGAGACGAGCCGGGGGTTATGCAACGGGAGAGGAGACAGGAGACGGTGAACGTCGTAGACGTGCTGAAAGTGAACGGGTACAGCAACACAACGCCTGTGCGTTGCAAAACGGAGAAACGTCGGGGGCGAGCGATCCGAATGAATGCTGCAATCTGAGGCTCAAACGTGTGCAGTTGAGTTGCGACGTGAAAAGGCTGTACGGAGGCTCGCTAGAGAAAATTTTCCCACTAACAAACTTCAAAACGCCACAGACACTAGCCACACCTCCTAAATCTGGAAAGAGTCCCACAAATCCTGCGGCTCTAGCCGACCCCTAACGGGTCTGGCCCCAGCGCCCTCCAGTGGGCAGGACCCTCCCCACAGCATGTTTTGACAATTGACAGCAATCCGTCAGAGGCAAACCCCTTTCAGGACCACACTCGCCTCATGCAAGTCGCAGGATGTGCAGTCTTTTCTTGTACACAGCGTTTCAGATTCTCAAGGAGCACGTACATGGACAGCCCCCTCGACGGAGTCTGTCGTCTCTCTCGTTTCTATTTCTACATTCGGCATCGTTTCTTCTTTTCTTGTTAGTTGATTTGTCCAGATATAGCAGCTACCCAGCGGCTACGGCACCATTGTTCCCAACAGCGCCACGTTTTCCTACGTCGTGCGTCGTACCTCTGTCTCCCAAAACGGGGAAGGGGAAGCAGCTTGTGCGTCGTCCTCCCTCTTTTCCACCTCGCTCTTCACGGCACACCTTTACCACAACTGGACGATGTCTACTTTCTTGCCTTCTTCCGTCACTATGAGGTTTTCCGTTTTCCTGGATTCTGGTCATTTGTACATCGTGCTTATTTGCCTATTCGCATCACTCTCACGTTTTCTTGGCCCTGACGCACTGCCTGCAGATCACTAGATGGGAATCTGCCATTTGTCATTTTGTAGCAAGGCTTCGATGATGAGCAAAAGGACGACATTAATGCCGGGTCATGATATATACTGGGAATCAAATGCATTAATACAACATGACCGATGGCCTCGGAGCCATCTAAAGTCCACAAATTCAGCATATATGTATATGCGACCTGCGACCAGTGGTAACATTTTGCTACGGCATCCATTTTAAGAAGAATTATTTTAACCCCCTCTCTTTCCCTGGCTTGTCCTGATCTTTTACCTCCTCGCCAAAATAATGTCTCCCAATGGTTGCCTGCCGTCCCCTCGTTTCCGTTGTCCCTCTGTCCATCACGCCACAAAACCCCGGGTTTCCACGCATTGCGAGACACAATCGTACATCTGATCGACGGCCCTGCCGCAATGCACCTCATCGAGCCAATGCACTGGAGGGCAGCCGGGTGTCTGTTCGGCTGTCACGGAACTGTCGTAGTGTGCCTCACTCATGTCCAGCATCCTCAGCCATTATGCAGTGTAGTTGGCAAAATAACTGGACCTCGCTTGTCGACATATTCCTATTTTCGTTTCTGTCGTCTGGCCTCCCATCATTGACCGTCTTTCCAGTTTCGAATCTGCTAGCGCTGCGATTTTACTTTTGTACATTTCACTTTCACCTCGACGTAGCATTGCACTTTGACATTTCACAAGCCCCAACATACACTTTGCAACACTTCATACCTTTGGTGCGACTTAAACCCCGTACCCCGTACGCACCCACATTACCTCGCCTCCACGATACGACAAACTGCCGCGAAAGCATACCGGCGGAGTCAACCTCTACTACCCAACCACACGGAAAGCTATGGCCCCGACAAACGTACGGTTTCGTCATTCAAGCTATTCACGATATCCTGGCATTTCCCTGTTCTAAACGACTCCGGCCTGGACATCGTGGCACACCATCAGGGTGACTACCATTGTCCTCGCGACTTTCACTTGAATTTTGTCTCCTTTTGACTCTGGCCACTTGCCACTATCGTTGCGATTTTGTTCTCGCCGTCGGCCTAACTCACTTTTACTTTGGACGAGAAATGATCTTCAACTATTCATCAGTACGGTGGATTATTTGGGTTTGAGGCTTTCTTTTCTCCGGGATCGACGGCAAGACTGTCCTCTCTCGCGCCCTCTTTCTGGACCCCTTGTTGCGTGTCTCCCTCGGTCTCCCTCGATCGCCCTGCTACGCACGGTCAATCGAGGAGACATCTTCTTCTTGTCTTGCTGTCTAGACGTCCCTCATCAACCCCTCTTGACGTCTCCTCGACCAGGGTATATCCTTGCAACGGCGTGTGCAAGTACCGGCGATCGGGTCATGTATAAACTTCTCTTTATCCCGTGGTCATCGTGAGCCAGTTCCATCGATGGACATTTTCTGGATCTCCCAAAACTTTTCTCTTGTCGAATCTTCTTGGCCTACAAGTGGCCGACTCTCTTGTGCTTCTCTCTTCCGTCGTGTCGACTTTTCAGGTTGGATTGCTTCTCTATGATTTCTCCTCTCTGTCATTCTCTCGTTCTCTTATTCCTCCGTCCAATCTCCACAACTACTTCCATATCACTGCATCTCCATGCGAGAGAATTACAATTATAAGCAAATACCCGACAATATATTTACCCAAAGCAGCAAGACACGGGCGGATGTGAAGATACAACTTCACTCACCGTGTCTCGCGACAGACCCGACGCAGCATCCACGCAACCAAAAATCGGAAGACGTCAGGCCATCCATCGTACACAGCGCACAATGGAGGCCTTTTACGAGTCCTTTTACGCAGCGCCCGGGTCGGGCTCCCGGCTCAAACGGCGCCAGGCCGCAACCGCCATCCCCGTCGCCGACTTACCACATGACAACCAGGCACCCCAGCTCAACTTTACCATCTGGCTGCTGACCGGCTTGTCCTTGGGCTTTCTCATCTTGCGCGTCTACTGCAAGTTCCTGCGCGGCCGTGGACTCTGGTGGGACGACTATGTGCTCATCACATCGTGGATCTCGCTGGCTCTTGCGTCGGCCTTCACGACTGCAGCCACATCGTTTGGTTACGGCAAACACCTGTGGGACATTGACGGGGACAGTTTCTACCCGCTCAATGTCGTTGCCACGCTCGCCGGCTTCTTCAGCATTCTGGCCGCCGTCTGGAGCAAGACATCCTTTGCCATGACGGTGCTGCGCATCTCGACGGGCTGGATGCGCTGGGCCATTTGGTTCATCATCATGTCCGTCAACGTGATCCTCGGCGCCAGTGCCATTTTCCAGTGGATCCGCTGCATGCCCGTGCAAAAGATCTTTGACGCGTCCATTGACGGCGCGTGCTGGCCGCAGGACGTCGTGTCGACCTACAACACCTTCTCGACAGCCTACTCGGGCGCCATGGACATCTGCCTGGCCGTGTTCCCCTGGAAAATCATCTGGGGCATGTCCATGAACCGCAAGGAGAAGCTGGGCGTGCTCTTTGCCATGAGCATGGGCGTCTTCGCCGGCGCGGCGTCGCTCATCAAATCGCCCAAAGTCATGTCGCTCTCCAACTCGGATCCCAGTATGTCCTTCTTTGCCCTCTGCGCATGATAATTTGCCCTTATCCATCTTGCCACGTCGCTGACCATGCATCCTAGGCAATACCGTCCAGCTTGTCATCTGGGGCGTGGCAGAAAGTGCCATCACCATCATTGCCGCCTCGATTCCCATCCTCCGCGCCTTGCTGCGCGACGACAAAATGTCCAACGCGCCGCACTCCGAGGCCGAGATCGAACTCACCACGAGCAACTGGAACACAAGCAGCTTCAGCAGTAGCCGTCTCGGCAACAACCTAGATGTCCACAACATCAACGGCGCCGACAGCACCATCACAAACAACAGAAACAACAACCGCAACCGCAACCGCAACAACAGCGTATTCGGCAGAATACGGGCAGCTGTCACACGATCAAAAACTCGGCATGACACAAACACGACCACCACATCAACATCGACATCTGCAGGAGGGATGCCCAGCTGGGTCACAGCACCTGTCACCATTTCATCCGCAAATCGTGACCGGTCAGACGACGGCCGACCACTGTCTACAGAAATTGCTACGGGTAGCAAGTCATTAGTATGACAATGGGCAACGTGGCATCCGTAGCCCAATCATCTTTTCTCTCTATTCATTTCTCTTTGTTTTTTTATTTTATTTCATTTATTTATTTTTTTCCAATTTCTCTCCTTTCGTTCCCGGTGGCGCTCTCATCGGTATCATTTTGGTGTTAGGCATCTTTTTCCTGGTTGTCATGTGGCACATGGTCGGTCTGGTGTCTCAGGTCAACTGGCGTTGGTGTATTTCGGTTAAATTATGCTTTGTTGGGGGTGGGTTTGTTTTTATTTTTGGTTCGATACTCCCTTGTGTTTGCTTTCCATCTTCATTTCATGTTTATGCTTTGCGATGCTTTTCCTTCCTGCTCTTGATAAGATAGGCTTAGTCTCATAATTATTTTATCTAATATGCTTACCATGTGTGATTTTGAGTCTTTTATTTGACTATGTTTTTATTAAAATAAAATCTGGAATATACGACTTGTTTTCCGAGGGGAAAAAACGAATGTCGGAAAACAAACCGCAGGCTAACAGGCATGGGACATGACTCGACAAAGCGGTCTAAGGCCAACACAGTGGACTCTGGACAGTTCTGAAACTCGAGGCACTGAGCACTGCATTGAAAACGTGAAATTGGCAACGAAACTCGGCGTGGTTGTAATAAAAGATAGCAGTTTATCATTTCCAATACCCTTCCCCTTAGTAAGCTGGAACCCGGAAACTCCTTTTTCACACGTTATATGCTGGTAATTAAAAAGCAATAGAAACACAAGAAAAGAGGAATGGTACACATGGACATATGCACAAAAAAGAGTATGAGAAAAAAAGTATAAGAAAAGGTAAGAAAAGCACCAAAAGAATGGATAATATAAACATCGAGAAACAGAGAGAAGCGTCAAGGAATACGACTGTTTGTTGTGACGCAAAGGCCGCCATGAATAGGACAGTCGACTCGCAGCGGCCTGCTTTTATGAGTGGTGCGCCTGGCCGTTGCCGTTCATAAGGGCTGTGCCGGCCTCCTCATCGTCATGACCGTGGCCCTCCTGCTTGAGCAGTGTCCGGCGCGCAGACTGCTCCTCGTCCTCCTCGTCTTCGCTCATGAGCTCGCCCAGCTCAAACTCCTCGGCGTCACGGACTTGGCGGTTCTCGGCGCGGGCGGTGCCGTTGAGGCGGACAGACGCAGCCTCGGCGGCGTCGGCAGACTGGCGCTGCTTGTTCTTCGCAGCCAGCAGCTCGGCGTTGGCTGTGCGGTCGTACAGTGAGATGAGCATGTTGACAAAGAGGAACATGAGGAAGGCAAGGCTGTACAGGATGAGAATGTAGGCGACATGGTCGATGCCGGAGCCGGCGACCAGCAGCATCTGTTCCTCAGTGGCACCCATGAAGAGGAATCCAGCAGCGTAGAGGAGCTGAGAGTTGTTAGCAAATCATGGGCCTTTAAAACAATAAATAAATAAATAGTTCAGGCATGCACAAGACTTACAAAAACAGGAATGAATTGGAAGCTGCTGGACTCAGTGCTGTCGTTGGAGATGCCGTTCTTGTCGCGGACAACAAACGCGACCTCGATGATGCGCGTCAGACCGGCAGCCATGAGCGTGTAGCCAAACATTTTGTGCGTCGCGGCGCTGATCATCAGCTCCTGCGGGTGCGCCGACATGGCCCAGCCGGTGATGAGGATCACGAAGCCGGGGATGAAGTTGCGCTGCGGGCGGCCGTCGCGGCCACGGCTCAGCCACACACCGGCCAGACCGGCGCTCCACCAGATGATGCCCATGGTGGTGTGCTGCCAGTCATTCTTGACCCAGGCCGTGCCCCAGCGGTGCTCCGTGAAGGTGTTGACGCAGCCCCAGGCGGCAATGACGCAGCTGTCGAAGAACTCGGGCGAGCGACCAGAGCGCTTGAGCCAGACCTGGCCGACCAGCAGCAGAATGGTCAGCAGAATGCCGTAGGCGATGAAGGCGCCGCCCATGATAAAGTGGGCCGCGCACTGGCCGACATGGTCGCCCTGGCAGAAGCCGAGGGCGGTGATGCCGCCAAAGACCATCTGGACCCAGGCAAGGACGGGAAAGGCCTTGCCCAAGATGCCGTGGGCGATGCGGAAGATGGGGCGGATGCGGCCTTGGAAGCCACGTTCGAGATGGAGACGGAGGTAGACGCCGAGTGTGACTTGCGCGATCAGCACAAAGAAGAGGGGCGTTGCAAACTTGGCGTGGACGTTGTTGCCGTTGAACTGGCGGCCCTTGTGCATGTGGCCAAGGACGTAGCCGAGGATGGCGAGGGCGGTCGAGGTCACCTGAACGGGAACGTGCCAGCGAGACTTGATAATCTGGGACGCGAGAGGGACGTCAGCAAAGCACGAACAGCGTGGCATGTCGTCAAAGGCGTGAAGGGGAACATACACCGAGAACCATGCCAAAGGGGAAGAGGATGCCCCACGTAAAGGTCATGAGAAGGATGTGCACCCATAATGTGGCGTCCTGCGAGCGTGTTAGCAGCTGTTTCTCCAATACCGTCGGCATGGGAGGGAAGACGCCGGGAGACACGCACAATCGGCTCTACTGATATTGTCGCTCCTTCGGGAATCTTATCTTCGCCGTGCTCGTGGGCAGCTGCCGGCAGAGCCAGAGCGAGCGCCGCGAGGACCAGCGGGGCGAAGGATCGCAGTGACATGATGGGCGTCGAGGTGAGTGGGGGGGGGGGGGGGAGGAAATGAAGAAGGGAGAGCTGAATTCCGCTCGTTATTCGAACGGCCAGATCTCCAAAGTCGAAGATGAGATCACGATAATGCCGTCGGATGACTCAGGGGGAGGGGGGGATTGATGGTATGGCAATCGGGGCCAGCTTCTGCGAAAGCAAAACGGCGTTAATCGAAGATGTCTACACGTCGGCCAGCGTGCTGGAAACGTGGTTTGTGTTGTCGGGTTGTCCCAGGGGTGTTGCGGTTGATGAATCGAGAAGCAAAAAAGAAAAAGACAAAAGGGACGACAGCAGGCATTTTGGCCACCTAGAAAGGAGAGATGACACGCCTGAAGTTGCCAGAACACTGGCCATTATGCCTAAAAGTGGGTATTGCGGGAGCACAGGGAATGCGCTGAGAATGCACGTTAGCGCGTCGAACTACAGTGGCGGCGCGGGTCATTTGCTGTTCTTTTGGCTCACACTTGCCTGTTTTAGAGTACTTTTGTTGTAAAGGAGAACACGTTGTGGCCGTCAGAGTGGGTGGCCTTCCAAAGGAAATATGGGGCCATAATTCGTTACTGATTGGCCCGCCCTCGCAGCCACCGCTTGTGGGATAGACAGAGGCGGTAGGGTGTGATGGAGCACTAGCCAATCGGCCAGTGCACGCCAAAAAGAAAAGGAAAAACAAAAAACAACACAACAAAACCACGTACAGTCCCTACAACCTCACTCAGTGTAGTAAGCCCCTCCAGAGAGACTCCCTACGAAAACCCCAAGAAACCTGCCTTAGCACTTGTCCAAACCAGCTTTCAGAATTTATATCTACTGCCAAGCATGAGCGAAACGACTGTCGCGGACGCCCCGGACGCCTTCGTGGAAGAGATCCGCCGCGTACGGGCTATTTACGAGAGGAAGAGAAACTCTACTACGCTAGTGTCACCGGCCGGGCGCCCCGTTCTCGATCTAGAGATTGACACCGCCAACGGCGGGACCCGCTACACCTACTGGTACAAGCGCGACGGCGATGTAGCCGAGCCTCAGATCATCCGAATTGTTGACATTCCTGGGACACTGTCGGGCGCCATCCTCCGGCTCGAGGCCAACTTGCCTTCACGCCAAGACAGCTACGAGATCATTGGCAACGAGGTCCGCCCACTGGAGTCGCCGCCCCCCCTACCCGACTTCGAGGACGACTCCGAGGACATCAGCGACGTGCTGGCCAGCCTTCCCGAGATCGCCGTTGACCCCGAGCAGCATTTTGTCAAGAAGGGCAAGTATGCCAGCGAGGTTCGCAACCTCATCTCCTGCCAGGGTGGGTCGTGTCCCGGCACGCGCAAGTCGCCTCACATCATCCAGCTGCTCGGCAAGTCCCCCCGCGGCGAGCTTGTCTTTGAAAAACTGGTCCCTCGCTACGTGCTCGCACAGGTTCATCCGCTCGCCGCTTACAAGACGTGGATCCTCCAGCTCGTCGCCGGGCTGCAGTACCTCCACTCGCTCGACATCGTGCACCGCGACCTACGCATCGACAACTTCGTCTTCTCCAAGGATGGCGCGCGGCTGGTTATCTGCGACCTGGAGAGCCGCTGGGGGAACCGCCTGGCTCCCGAAGTAAAGCGTGACTACGCAGTCGAAGGAGAGTGGACCAAAGCATCGGACATTTACGATCTGGGTGTAGCCATCAAGGGCATGGTCTACGGCAACACGCCTATCACGACCCTGGTCGAATGGCCGGTGCCCTCTCCCCTAGACCAAATTGTGGAGGCATGCACCCGGTCCTTGCCCGCAGAGCGGCCCAGTCTGGACGAGGTCTACGCTATGGTGGAGGGTATTTGAGGTTACATAATTTACTTTTCACTTATAGAGTATTTGTCAATGAGACAAAAAATCGACATTCTGAAACGGTTTCCTAAGATGAAGACCCTGTCCAACTGCCAAATATAGGTCTCCATTTCTTTCTCATTCGAAAATTGGCACTGCAGTGACAACTGTGGATGGATCTACGTAGTGTGGACTTCACTCTTCGTATCTTTGTGTACCGCTCCGTTCCGAGTGGTGCGCGAGTCACAGATGATAACTTTGTTGCATGCCATGGTGACAGGGTTACACGAGCCCAGATCCCAAGCTGTCAAGATCTGGGTGGCAGCGTGCGCTTTGTCTGCACCAGTGTAGGGCATCAAAATGTTCTTGCGTCCTTCGGTATGTTCGAGCATCTTGTCGGCAGTCTCACTCTTGTCGATATGGTATAGCCCTAGAACGCCAGCACGGCCAGTGAGCTGGGCCAGAGCATTAAAGAGGGCGGTCGGTGGTTCGGTGGTAGGTCGGGTCGTAAATTCGTACGGCTGTCCAGTCGACAGCCAGCGCTCCGGGAAGTATTTGGTAACGCCAGACACCTTCTCTGGCTGCGAGATATTTCCCCTCCCGAGCATGATTTCATCGTCGGTGATGGTGCAATGCGCGTGGACAAGGCAGAGCCCAAAGGCGAAGTCATACTCGGCTAAGAGGTTCGCCACCTTAGCGAAGATCTGCTCGCGATCGGTGAAACGGTCATCGGCTTCGCCAAGCGTAGGCAGCCGATTATAGATTTCCGCAATGGTAGTCATAGTGTATCGATGAGTTGTATAATCGTCGACTTGTGGAAGAAACAGTTTGTTTAACTCATGTCTACTTGTTTTAAGGACAGATAAACAAGAGCAGACATTCCCCAAAGTGTTGTAGAAATCCATCCCTATATACCCTCGCTGGTGATGGCGAATTCTTCCAACTGCCGCGAGATCCTACCTCGCGACTGCCATTTTAAACATACTTTACACGTGCTTGGGCTGGTACCACAGGCCAATCAGACAAGGCGGTTTGCAACGCCAAATCCCCAAGAGTAGCCCACAATGAAGCAGTGAAGTAACTTATCTCGACTTTACTCTAGAACAATATAATAATCTCCGACAGCACCGAGACACGGCCATGATTCCAAACGTTGTGCAAAGCCCGATATGACATGGAGTCATTTTACAGACGAAAGCCATTCGCAGGCCTTTTCTCATTGAGACTCAGGGACCTACGACATCACGCAGGCATATTTTAGTAGAGTTGTTTTATTGACAGGAAAATAACAAGGTATTTACGCGTACATATATGTTGTACATTTCCAAGGTGCCCTTTAACACATTTGGATTTCGCCAAACATTCGAATTCGCGACCACTCCATCGTCTCCGTACCCGATGCGCCGACTGTCTCGACTTGGTTATGCCCGCCACACCCACCCGCGGCGTAGCGCATCCGCCCACCGCACGCCGAACACGCACGCTGCCGACCCGACGAGAAGAGTGCCATCCCAGACGACCACGCCTGCATAGCTGCTGCTGCTGGCGGCGCTTCCACCGGCCTTGCTTGTGCCCAGCAACACACCGCCCACGGGACTGCCCACCATCGTACCGCAGCCACGCACAAAGTAAATGAAGCCGTTGACGGCGGCGTAGCTGCGGATGCCAAAGACGTCGGCAATGGTGGCGGGGAAGAGCGCATAGTACCCGCCGGCGGCCACCGAGTACAGAACGATGAAGGCGAGCCACAGCTGCGCGGAGGGAGAGGACGACACGGAGGCAAGCAGCTCGGGTGTGGCACCGACCGCCGACGCCTCCTTGACACTCATCCCCCACAGAGCGCCGACGGTGACGGCCGCAACAGCCAAGCTGACGGCCAACACGTTGAGCCGCCCGAAGCGGTCACCGGCGTAGCCCGTGGCCACGCGCGCGACGGCGTTGACAATGTTGGAGACGGCCAGCAGCGTGGCGCCGGTGCCCGCCGACAGACCGAGGGCGACACTGTAGCTGGGAATAAAGGTGAGCGGCAGCTGGGCGCCGGCGGACTGGCAGAAGGCGGCGGCGACGGACAGCAAAAAGGCGGGCGTGGCGAACATGGCCGTCGAGATGTGGGTGCGGCGCCGCGCCACCCGGATGGGCTCCGTCGCGGGGCGCTGTTCGCTGTCGGCGTTTGGGCTGCCACTGCCACCACTGCCACCACTGCCACCACCGGCAGTCATGACTGGGAACCGCGAGGGCGGCACGACCCAGGCGACGGGCGTGCCCACGACCACGGACAGTGCAGCCAGAAAACGCAGCGTCCAGCGACCACCCACGGCCGACAGCAGAGCGCGCACGACGGGCGACAGCACGAGACTGCCGACACCGCCGCCCGACAGGATCAGACCGATGGCCGTGGCGCGATGGCGGTTAAAGTACTCGGGCGCGGGGCCGAGCAGCGGGAAGTAGAGCATGGAACTGCCGAGGCCGTAGAGCAGGCCCTGTGTGAGCAGCAGGTGCCAGACCTGGGTGGCAAAGCTGGCCAGCAGGAACCCCAGGCCCATGAGGGCGACGCCACCGAGGGTAATGCTGCGCGGCGACGCGGTGAGGGCGCGAAGCACTTTGCTCTGGATGCGACCGCGACCGCGGCTGCGCTGCTGGGCGGGCTGCGACAGGGCGGCGTACTCCACGCGCGACAACCACGGGTTGACAAAGATGCTGCCGGCCCAGGTCAGACCCGCACCGAGCGTGCCAACAAAGGCCAGCAACGCCGTTGACCGCTGCTGGGGCGCTGCTGCAGTCGACGACGCTAAAGTCGTGACTTTCAGCACGTTCTGGTTGGCTGACAAGTAGTACTCCTGGAAGACACCGTAGCACTGATTGTAGCCGATGGACAGCGCAATGGCCAGGAAGGCCGCAACTAAGACGGAGGCCTGCTGGCCGCGGGACACCGGTGGGAGCGCTGGCGTCGCGTGGTAGTCCTCTTCTTCAGCAACATGGTTGCCCGTATCGTTGTCGATGGCCGCCAGTGTGGCACCCGCACGTGTGCGGCGAGCGCCCAGGTTTGCCATTGGTAGGGCGTCGGTGCTGGCCATGGCGACGGAACGTGTGTGCCGCAGATGAAATGTGCTCCGATCTGTAAAGTTGGCGCAACGTGACGCTATCAATTGCTGCCGTGACAGATGGACTGGTAAAGAAGCAAGACAAAAGTATCGTCAAAGTTGATCTCGTCGTCGCCTTTGACTATTTGCCATTCCCGCTACCAGTGCCTGCCGGGTCGACTCGGGTCAGGGACTTTTGTCATGATTTTTAACTCGGACTTTTAGTGAGGGCACGCAAGGATCGTCACAGACAGCGTCGGACGTAAGACGGGTGTCTTCGGGGAGGGCATTGCGGGGATTGCGATTCCGGAGACGCCTCCCGAACGTAGTCTGGGGTAGTGTACGTCGTACCTCCATTGAAGTTTGCACCATTACACTCCACGTCATATAGTTTTGCTCCACGAGTTTCATCTCGTCCATGTTCTGTCCTCACAATTGTGTTGTCTGTCAAAGCCAACTATGCACATTTTAAGGTGCAATGACGGGAAACATGCCGAGACTAGCCTACATCGAGTAAGTAGTAGAGTAGTCTGTAATATGAACGTTAGCCACGTTCGATGAATCTCCGCTGCCATATTATGTTGCGCACAGGTCGTTGGATGGATCACGAGACATGACCGACCTCAAGATATACCTTGTGCCCGCTGCTGTGTCGATATCTTGAAGCGGCGTTCACGGATGGCACCCGGATACAATTGCTAGTCAATTATCTGACCCGGGTTTGTAACAGGCGACATGGCTCCTTTCCTTGTTGTCGAAGCGCTCGGCTGCTTTCACGCACGCTTGACGTCTCAAGACTCCGGCAGCAATCGCCACCGTCAACATGGGCAATTCCTGGCGCCAAGAGGAGGCCCTTTCTTGGGAGTGAAGCAGCATAGCGCGCTGTGGCTCAACATGAAATACAACATATCTTGGAACAAATTGGGCCAGACCCGTCCACACTGAGGGATATGGCAAGTGCTCCGCCACCCGCGCATCCTTGATCGCCTTTGATCGCCGTGGGCATGCTTGGCAGAGAAACCGGAGGGCAGCCGCCCGGGAGTTACGGAACGGTGAAACTGGCCGCACCACTGGTTGACTCGAGAAGGAGACGCAAGCACTCAGGGGACAAGGAACTCGCCGTCAAGATGCCAAATACCCAAGCTCCTCGGGTCGCAAGGTAAAGGGATGCAGTGATTGGCATTGGACGCATTGGGGCTGAAACAGGTTTGGGGTCGGGCGGGTCGATGGGTAAAAGAGGAAACAGAAGACGGGGGTGAGATGGGCCAGATAAGATGTGAGAAGATACGGAGTACAAAATACTTGTCAGTTTATTGGACACCAGATGCGGATTGTAGGTACTTCGTAAGATACATGAACAGCCGGCCGGGGCGAGCATTTGGGGCTACATCGATCTGGTCTGAACAAAGGGCCGTGGGCAAATTGCAACGTTCGGTCTGGGTCGGCTGCCCTTTGCTGATGCGTTTTGATGGGACAGGATTCGTATTCGTACATGTAACAGTCACTCTCCGGGGGAAGGGTAAGATATTGTCAGATGTCCAGATACGGTCTCCTGACAAAAACGGTGGAGACGACGGCGAGGCGCTCAGAGAAAAGGGTCGGCGCGATTTATCGTCAGATGAGATTCACCGACACACAAGACGTAGCAGAGCTCGCTGCGCGGTGGCGTTGCTTGGCCGAGAGGTGAGCATATGCAGCATCGGTGTAGTCAGGGGCATGCATTGTTGGCTCTGGATGCAGATTCCAAAATCTGTTGGCTGTTGTTGGCCGACTGGTCTGTGGTTATTTAGCGCTTTGAGGCGCTGTAGGCGCTGGTAGGCGCTGGAGACGTGCGTGGCTGTGAGGCCGCGCCAGCAACGACTAAGCCGACGTCAGCACAAAGGGAGCGGTAGCAAACAGGTGTGTTGCCCATACCGATGGCTGTCGATTGGCTGTTAAATTGGATGCGGGCTGGATACGACTGCGAATTTGGGGCGTCATGGCTTCGGCGGTGAATGAATCGAAATGATTGCCCCAAAGTAATTTGAAGTATTCGTACTCGCCGGTCCTTCCTGCCTGTCTTTTCGTCAAGGTTTATTTACTCTTTCCACCCTCCCTGCGTTCCTGAATTGCATACTTCGTAGGGAAAGAAGTTGGGAGGCCCCTTCCACTCATGGTTTCCAGACGACTCTTCGTGTCCTTTCGTTGTTTGGCCATGCCACTTCCCCTGATTTTAGTTTGCCTAGTCGTGTTAGCGCTGTTCGCCCCTTCCCACGGCGTGGACTCCCCTTTTTAGTGGGCGCTATGTGGCCGTTTGCTCTTTCTTTTTTTGGAACACGATACGTAGTATGCCAGGCCTGGACCCTGGGCAGGCCACACTTGCCGGTGGATGTTCACCAGGGACGGCCATTCCAGAAGGCACGATCCACAGCTCTAGCACGTTTTGTGGTGGAACTATCGTAGCTTCCGCTTTTGAGGGAGGGGAGCACAAAAACTTGAGCGCAAGTAAGAAACTGTGGTAATGGCAGGAGCGAACAAGCAGGTCGTAGTCTCCAGAGACGGTTCCTGCGTTCCGTTCGTATGTGCGTCGATGGGACACTGCCAGCGATCAATTTTGCCTCCCTTTGCCTTTTTGCATTTTTGCTTTATTGCCTCCTTCAGATCACTTTCCAACGCCACCACTGCCGTGTTCCATATCACACACAAACACTCACACGCAACCGTCCCAGTGCACTTGTTCCTCAGAGCATTTCCCAGGCCATTCCTTTGCCTGGCCGGTGTTACCCCGGCGCATGGTCGGTTTCCTGGGTAGGCATCGATCGCCGCAACTCGGCCAAGACAGGCTCGACAGGGTCACATTGTAGGCAGACAACGCGGCGCGCGCCATAAGCGTCCATTGGCGATCTGGCCAACGCCAAATTGCACTTTGTCGGAGCCTGCCTCCAACTTCCGTCCCCATGGAAACCCCACGACGCATACTGCCGTCATTTCACCCACGACCAGCAAGTGCGATTGAATGCAACTTTGTCGTGCATTTGGTTTGCGACTACTTTCAGCCACCATGCAAGCACTATCCTCCCGCCGCACGCTATTCAGTACTTGCAAACTTGAACCGCGAAACGGACGAGAAGAAAAATGGGCATGTGGGGTGGGACCCCTGCAGGGGCGATGCCACTGTGTTGGGGCCCGGCCAACGGCCGGCGCGACGGCTGAATTGGCAATATGCAGATGAGGAGCAAAGAGAACGAGAAAAGGAAAAACAAAGAAAGTGCTGTGGAAGCCGTTCGAGATACGTACGACGTACACTCGACGCCTCTACGACCACACCATGCCTAGGCCAGCACCCACACCCAGCCCACTTAACACTCCAAAACGGAGCAGAGCTTGAAACAGGCCGACGACGGGGAGAAAGAGACGACAGGCCAGGAAGAAAGGCCAGGACATGACACTACTATTGAATGCAGACGGATAGCCAACCGCCAGGAACGCTCTAATCGTTAGACTCACCGCTCGACATAATTACCAGACAACCGTCTTTTCATACGTCTGTTCTGGGTTTCTTTGTCTTGTCTGGTTTTATTTCGGCCGCCTCTCCCTGTTGTCTACGCCCTCTCCTCACCCCTCTCCTGTCTCCCCGTACCGTAACCCCCTCTCTCAGTTTCCTGTTATTAATTGTCCAGTTTTCCTGTTTTGGCTTTCCCTGTTTCTGCTCTGTCGATAGCATTCTTACTTGCTGTCCCAACGGTTTTTCTTGCAGATCTGACAATAATAACCCTGGCCCTCGCCCTCCCCAGCGCCCACGCCATCTCTTCTTGTTTATCCTGGACCCCCTGGTTACCCGCCATCCTTTGTTTAGTCCATTCCCTATTTTGTCTTGATTGTCCTCATCCTATTCCTCCCACGCTTGCGACATACAATTTGGGACTTGCTTTCTTTCATTGTCCTGATTCTTCATTCTCGTCATTCCCTTCTTCTAACGCTCTTTGAACTCATTTGCGTTGTCTATATTCTCGACGCATTCGGCTCTCGACATTAGTCGTTTATATCCTGTCGTGTGCGTGCGTCCACGACTTTTTACTGTATAATAAGCGACACCTGACGTTGACTCGCCTCACACCACACCTCCTTACAGTCTCGACTCTGCAACACAAAACCTGCTCAAGACGGGCATTCTCAGTATATTTGCAGCTACAACAACAGTCTCCCAACCTCTATTTTGGCGACAAAATGAACTTCACCAAGAAGCTCGACCGTGCCGTGCAATGGGCCGGCGAAAAGATGGGCGGCGAGGCCAAGACGGCCATGTCGGATGACTTCAAGATGCTGGAGACGGAAATGAACCTCCGCTACGACGGCATGGACCGCCTACAAAAGTCCATGACCGCCTACGTCAAGTGGGTGGGCCGCCGCGGCGAGACGTTTGACGACAAGGAAAAGGGCCTGCCGATCAGCTACCTGGGCCGTACGATGACGAGCCACGGCGAAGACTTTGAACACAACTCGGAGTTTGGCAACTGCCTGACCAGCCTCGGTCGGGCCAACGAGCGCCTGGCTTCGGCCCAAGAGCGCTATGTGGCCGACGCCACGGCGACGTGGCTGGAGTCACTGGAGCGGAGCCTTGCGATGATGAAGGAGTACCAGGTAAGCCACGTCCGCAAAGAAGAGGTCCCTTTGCCCCTCACTAACCCTGCGTTAGGCCGCCCGCAAGAAGCTCGAGAACCGCCGCCTGGCATATGATGCCAGCATTGGCCGCATGCAAAAGGCCAAACGGGACGATTTCCGTGTCGAAGAGGAGCTGCGCACGAACCGTGCCAAGTACGAAGAGAGCAGCGAAGATGTCATGCGCCGCATGCAAGACATCAAGGACGCCGAGGTCGACAGCATTCGCGATCTGACAGGGTTCCTGGACTGTGAACTTGACTACCACGAGCGCTGTGTGGAGGAGCTGCGTCGCGTCAAGCGCTCGTGGCCCGGAACCGCGACCGCTGCTGCCGCGGCCAATGGATCGCTGCCCAGCAACTTTGGTGGCCGTAGCCGGTCGAACACGGCACGGTCGTACAACGACGAGCGAAACCCATCCTACGGCAGCCGCGCCGGCGCTGGTGCTGCTGGCGAGTCGTCGTACATGGACGAAGAGCCGGAGCCGCTGCCTGTCCGCATGCCTAACCGCGCCAACACAAACACCCTTCGCTCCGCCAACGACTCGCCGCCCCAAAAGCCTGCCCGGCCAGCAGTCGCCCGTGCCAACTCGTTCCAGCCCGGCAGCAACGGCTCCGCCGCTGGCAACGGACCGCCCACGACGTTCTCGACATACAACAACAACCTCATGAGTGCTACCGCTAGCCCTGCGGCGATCACCTCGCTCCGCACCGGGCTGCGCCCCGTCGGGCGGATCCAGACGACCAACGGCCACCCATCCAACGGCAACGTTTTCGCCGACGACATCGACGACACCAGTGTTGGCAGCGGCAGCGGCAGCGGCAGCGGCAGCGGCAGCGGCAGCCCAGAGTGGGGCGAGCGCAGCGCGTCGCCGGCGACCAGCTTTGGCAGTCTGAGCCGGAGCACGAGCAATGTGGCCATGTCCTCTGGCGGAGCGGTCCGCAAGGCGCCGCCTCCGCCGCCGCCCAACCGCAACAAGAAACCCCCACCGCCGGTCCCGGCGCCACGACGGGAGAATAACTACTAGGCGTTCTGTACGCCTCTGTTCTTTGGTTGTTTTGTTACATTTCTTTTGTTCGGGTTGTTCTTGGGTATTCCTCTGCCAAGGCCGCTTGGGATTTAGATTGTCTTTTGTCACCATGCTGGATGCAAGGTCGACTTGTGTTCTATTTACGACTTTTCGCTGCCGCGACGGCTGTTGTCCCTATTCTTTCTTCTGCTGTGTATTACGGACTTTCTATTATGTTTTCTTTTTTGTATTCCTCAATTCCTTGGATGGCGTTTTCACCTTGGGGCATACAATGGCATTGGATCCGCGGCCGTCGTCGCTCTGGTTAGCTCTTATTAGTATATGTGTCTGGATATACATAGCATCATTATCGTTACTCATTTTTGGGAGAACGTGTCTGTTTTGTCCTTTACAAAGAATATTACTGTCTTGACAGCCAAAAGTTGCGTTTCAGCTGCATGGCATCACCAAGTCGCCACGGGTCACGTGCGCTTTAGCCAGAACTGGCCGCGCAACCGGCTGGCGATTGCCCACTAAAACCCGCTAGCCATGTTGCTGGTAGAAGCATCGGGAATGTGCCTGGAACACATGCGCGGCCTGCTGACTGATTTCGCAGTTGGGCGGCAAATCCGACACATCGAGCTCTGCGCAGGTTTCCAAGCTTGGAGATCCGCCTCTTCCAACCGCAAAAGGCGCATTCTCACTTTATGTTGTCTTCCATTCTTTGTTCCTGGACACCTCGACTGTCCTTGTAACCACGCATTTCTTATTTATTTGTTCCCCCTGCTATTTTTGCCACGACTCAATCGATATTTTCATGTTTTCATTTCCTTTTTCATTTCCTGTAGGAGATAAGATCAACGTCATTGCCAGAGGACAGGCAACAGACAGTCGCAGTACGGTTTTTGAGGGTTGTTTGACGGAATGGAAGACGACGACGACGACCAGCAGCTGCCGCTCGAGGTGGAGCAGCAAAGCCCACAGCTCAAGATTCGCTACGAAGAGGTGTTCACGCTCGCGTCCCCTGGCCAGACCAGCTCGTCACCATCACCGCCACCGACAGATGCATTGTCAAGGTCCACAGACAACTCGACAGCGGGGCGCCCACGCAGGCGCCCTCAAGGCGACAAGATCCTGCTGCCACCGTCGGCGCTCGAGGGACTGTTGAGCGCAGCCGCCCGTGCACGACAGCAGGCCAACAGCGCGGCCAGCAGCAGCAACGGCAGCCGTTACGGCGGCCGCTCCGCGTTTGGCTCGCTCGATGACTTTCACAGCTTCGGCTACGGCCGTGGGGGAGGCGCCAGCGGCGGTGACGGCTATGACCTGCCGCAGCCGCTGACGTTCCGGCTGGCGAGCGCAAGCACAGGCAAGTCCGTCTACGCAGGGATCCGCGAGTTCTCGGCGCGCGAGGGCGAGGTTGTGTTGAGCGACTACCTGACGCGCGCCCTGGGCCTCGGCCTCGACGAGAGCAAAAGCAGCCACGCCACGGACGCCATGGACACCACGGACCGGCTGGTGGTGACCTTTTACCCACTCCCCAAGGGCACGTTTGTGCACCTGCGGCCGCTGGCGGCGGGGTACAACCCGGCCGACTGGCGCCCGCTCCTCGAGCGGCAGCTGCGCGAGGGCTACACGACGCTGACGCGCGGGGCAGAGTTTACGGTTCGCAGCGGACACGGCACTGCGGACGAGTTCAGGTTCCGGGTGGACGGCTTCAAGCCAGCGGGCGACGGCATCTGTGTTGTAGATACAGATTTGGAAGTGGATATTGAGGCACTGGACGAGGAGCAGGCGCGCGAGACGCTGCGACAAATCCAGGGCGACGCCGTGCCGTTGGGCGGGGGCAACGGTGCACCACAAGGATCGGACGAGAGTGGCAGCGCTACAAGCCCCGGCAGCGCAATCGACATCTGGAAGCCGGTCTCGGGCCAGGTGCGCGCCGGCGAGTATGTAGACTATGAACTGCCATCATGGGACCGGTCACGGCCGCTGGCGATTGTTCTCTCTGGCTTCGACGAGGAGGAGGACAAGGGCTGTGCTGTCGACCTGCTCGTCAGCCCGTATTCGTCACGGCACCGCGCACGCCCAAGAGAAACGGAGCATGTGTGGGCGAATTTCGGCGTCGCTGACGGTTCGACAGACAATGCGAAGACGATTGTGCTGCAAGCAGACCACAGCGAGCTCGAAGCGGCCGAGGCGCTATGGATCTCTGTGCACGGCTGGAAGGATCCAGACAACACGACACCTTCTGCCAAGGCACACAGTTTCATCCTCCGCGCGAAGATTGTGCTTGAAGACGACGGCGGCCCTGTCCTTGGAGGCGCGACAGAAAAGGCAGAAAAGGCCACGGATTCCGCTTCCCACGCCCCGGACGAAGAGCAGTGCAAAAACTGTGGGCAGTGGGTGCCGAGCCGGTCCATGGTGCTGCACGAGAACTTTTGCCTGCGCAACAACGTGGTCTGCCCAACATGCAAGCAGGTCTTTGCCAAGCGCTCCGAGGCGTGGGCGAACCACTGGCACTGCGCGCTCGATCCCAGCGGTGGCGACGACGGCGGACACGGCACCACGACCGCCAGCAAAACAAAGCACGACCTGATTTTCCACCCGGGGTTCCTTGGCGCGGACCGCCTGTACCACTGCCCTGCGGACACGTGTGCCGGTGTCGTGCCGCCCTTCACGTCGCTGCCGGACCTCGCACGGCACCGCACGACCAGCTGCCCGTCGAAGCTGATCCTGTGCCAGTTCTGCCAGCTCGAGGTGCCGCAGGAGGGCGACCCGACGGACCCCTCTGTCGACGCGGCCACGCAGCTCACGGGCCAGACGCCGCACGAGCGTGCCGACGGCGCCCGCACCACGGACTGCTACCTGTGCGGCGCGATTGTGCGCATGCGGGACATGGGCGCGCACCTGCAGCACCACGACCTCGACCGGCAACGGCGCGTGCCGCCGGATGTATGCCGCGACGCGCTGTGCGGACGCACACGGTTCGGCGTGGGCCCCAAGGGCCACATCAAGGCGCCGCCTGCGGCTGCTGCTGCTGCCGCTACGGGCGACGCGCACCAGCTGGGCCTCTGCAGCACCTGCTTCGCGCCGCTGTATGTCAGCACGCACGATCCGGAGGGCAAGGCGCTGCGCCGGCGCGTGGAGCGGCGGTACCTGGCACAGCTGCTGACGGGCTGTGGGAAAGCCTGGTGTGCCAACCGGGCGTGGTGCAAGACGGCGCGGGCCAACCACGGTCTGGGGCCCTTTGCCGGGCCCGACGGCACGCCGGCCGTGGGCACGGGCGCGCTTCTTCCGCTGGTCAAGCCGCTGGTGGCCGAGGCCGTGTCGGAGCCGAACAAGCCAGTGCACTTCTGCGTCGACGAGGAAACGCAGAAGCGGCGCGCAGTGGCCGAACTGCTCGCGGGCCAGGGCGGCGGGGTGTACGAGCTGGCGTGGTGCGTGGCGGCGTGCGAGGCGGAGGGTGCGGATGCGACATTGGCGTGGGAGTGGCTGAACAACTGGGCGCCGCAGAAGCGGGCAGGCGAGTGAGCGGTGGTGGGAGAGGTGGAGAGGTGGTGCATATGGGCGGCCTGGCGTTGCATTAGACAAGGAGCATGCAGCATTGATGCATTATTACGTTGTCTCTAGCAGATGGTGCTGCTGTTGCTGCTGTTGTAGCTGTAGAGTTGGTTGTCGGAGCTGACAGTACGGAGGCAGATCTACGCCCTGCTGCGTGTACTCTTCGCCGGTAGTGGCCGTGCCCATGTCGATGGTCGTCTCTCTGGACACTGCTGAGGGCGGTCCTGCAGCTGTAGTGGCCTAGCCCACCGTAACGTAAAGCGTGAGAGGACAAGGGTGATGACGTGCGCAGCTCTCGCGTTGCCGACTCGACTTCCACGGCCAACGAATCTTGTGGCATCGCCGCCAGCGGTTGTAGTAAACGGCCACTGTCAACGACACATAACTGCTAGGAGAAAAGCACGCCACCATTGGCCATGTCTGGCGGCCGATGAGCGGCTACTGTACGTACATACATGCCAAACTCAATCCGTCTTCAAATGCACTATCCTGCTTATCCATCAACGTTTGTTGTGCCAGGTAGTCCTCAGCCCGCGGCAACCCCTTAGAAATCAGACAGCAGAGCTGGCGGGATGGTAGAGGAATGGTAAGGATGATGCCGGTGCTCATTACGTACAGTATAATAATAATACCGATCAGGAAGACCAGAAATGACTGTCAGTAAAGCGTACACAAAGTGCACACAACTTACACTCATGAGCCAATCACAGAACACCGTTTGCTATGAGACCCACTATTTATCCCCTTTGTACGTCACCTTTTCTTCACAACTGTAGTGTCCTTGTTCGTCACAGATTTTGCTCTTGTAGAAACTCGACAGACCGGCCATACGTAAAGAAGGCCGCTGACATGAACTTGAGGAACAGACTGAGGAACAGACAGGTCTCAAAGAATCAATTGAATTGTAGACTAATGCGAAGTAAACTGGATCTAACCAAAGGACTAAATGCAAGTTGAAGCAAACGACGCGCAATAATAGCGAATCAAATTGTGAAAATGAGACGACACAAGGAAGCGAAAAGAAGAAGACAAGGTGATGGAAAACGATGAAATGATGAAACAATTCTCAAGAAGGGATTCTATAAAATGTGTAGACCAAAGAAGCAAAAGCGAAGGAAGTGAAGTGAAACCAAAAACAACGAGCGCAATCGCTCAAAATGTCGAACAAAATGACAAACATGTTCCAAGCAAAATACCAGGGGCAGCTACACCTCAAAACTCACGAAAACGACACCAGCTTGCTCTTGGCGCAGACCGCCTTGGACAGCGTCTGGATCGAGCCCGACGACAGCAGCTCCAGCACTTGCATGTTGGCCTCAAACTCCCGCGTGATAAAGTTGCGGATCTCAATCGCCACCAGCGAGTCCAGCGGGTAGTGCGACAGCGAACGCGTCACGTCCATGTCCTCGGCCTCCAGCATCAGCACCGCCGCGATCTTGTCCACGAGACCCGCGCACACCGCCTCCTCCGCCTCGGCCTGCGACTGCGCCGCCTTGAGCAGCGCGTTGAACGACACCACGGCGGCGCCGCTGCCACCATTGGCGGCTGCCTCGGCCGCCGCCAGCTCTTCCATGGCCAGGCGCAGATGCTTGAACTTGGCGTCCTCCGTCCAGAACGGCTGCATGGACGGCGTGATGCGCATGCCTGTGATGGTGTGGCCGTCGCACGTCTCGTCCAGGCGCCCGCTGATGGCGGCGCCCAGCAGCGCCAGCACCTCGGCCTCGCAGATGCTGTCGCTGCCCAGGTTGCGCGCCACCTCGGCCAGCTTCTCCGCGTTGTTGGCCAAGTAGCCCGAGTCCGACACCATGGTCAGGTCGAGCGAGGATGCGGGCAGCCCCGCGGCGCGGCGGTGCTGGACGAGCGCGTTCAGGAAGCAGTTGGCCGCCGCGTACGCTGCCTGGCCGCGGTTGCCGACGGCGCCTGCCGCCGAGGAGATGGCGACGAAAAAGTCCAGCGGCGTGTGTTCCAGGGCACGGTGGAAGTTCCAGCCACCGCGCACCTTGCCCTCGACGACTTGGTCGTAGTCTTCAAAGGACATCTTCTCAAACAGAATGTCGCGCAGCACCATGGTGCCATGGACGATGCCACGCACGGGCGGAAGACCAGCCAAGCCACTGGCCAGGAGCTCGTCCACCGACTGCCGGTCCACCACATTGCACTGCCGGACAACCACCTGCGTGCCCGACTGGTCGGCGAGCTCGTCAATGAGTGTCTTGACCTCGCCCGTCGCCGAACCCGTGCGCGACACGAGGACAATGTGCTTGGCGCCCTTGCCGGCCATCCACCGAGCCATGCTGCGGCCGAGGCCACCCGTGCCGCCAACCAGGACGTACGTGGCATCTGGGCGCAGGAGGTCGGCCAGCTGGTTTTGTGCTGCTGTGGCCCGCACAATGTCGTCGGCGTGGGGCACAACAACAAGCTTGCCTGCTGCACGGTTGTTGTTGCTGGGGTGCACAGCCTTGAGCGCGCTCTCGACATCGGACACCGAGAAGAGGGTGATGGGAGCAGCGGGTCGGATTTTGCCGTACGTCAGCAGGCTTCCGACGTCTGCGAAGAGACGCCGCACGATCTTGGGCCGCTCCGCAGCCAGAGCGAAAATGTCGACCGAAATGTAGCTGGCGTTGCTCCCGTCTGTCTGGCCCATCTCCAGGAGGCGCCGCGACGACGAAGCACCGTGACCGGATGTATCACGCGGTACAATGTCCAGGAACCGGCCAAACTTGTTCAGCGTGGCCCACGATTCCTTGGCAGCGTTGGAGCTGGTGAGAGCGTTGAGCACAACGTCGACGCCCTGGCCGTTGGTGGCGTGGCGCACGGCGCGCCCAAAGGACGTGTCTCGGCTGTAGAAGATATGGTCTTCGGGGATGTTGTACTCCGCGACCAAAAGAGCCTTCTTCTCGGCGCTGCTGACTGTAGCAAAGACCTCGGCACCAACCATTTGTGCCAGGCAGATGGCGGCCTGACCGATGGCACCCGATGCTGCATGCACGAGAATGGACTCGCCATCGGCCAAGCGGCCAAGCTCGACGAGGCTGTGGTATGCCGTGACAAAGGCCAACGGCAGGGAAGCGCCGGTCTCAAACGACACCGAAGCTGGCAGCTTAAACGCAAGAGCCGCCGTCGTTCGGGCCACTGTGGAGAAAGAGCCGCTGGTAGGTGTCAGAGCGGCAACGCGGTCGCCAACGCGAACATTGGTCACTGATGAGCCGATGGCCTTGACCGTGCCGCTGGCTTCGTAGCCCATCGCGTCTGCCTGGCTCTTGGAAGCGACAGCAATGTCATGTGCATTGACACCGATGGCCTTGACCTCGATCTCAATCTCGTCGGCTGCCAGCGCGGCGCCAGCCGTCGTGTCATCGACAAAGTGCACTGTGTCCAGAGCGCCCGAATGGCCGAACGACAGCTTGAGCGAGCGGCCCTCGGCGCCAAAGGCTGTCGGCTCGATGATGTCGGGGTGGGTCTGGCGGTGGACATATTCATTCATAGCCTCATCGTTGATGAAGCGGGGCGTGAAGAAGGAGCCACGGCGCTCCGAAAACTCCAGCTCACTCGTGTTGGATGCGTTGGCACCAAAAGCAGCCTCGAAAACACGAACAATGGCATTGGAGGTATCGCCCTCGGAGAGCGCATTGGATGCATCTAGGTCGAGGGTCGCAAATTTCATCGCCGTCTCGGACCGGATGGCCCGGCTCAAACCCAGCACCATGTTGGCATCTGGGTTGGACGATCCGCTGTAGGCGCCACGCACCACCCACAGACAGCCTTCGGCGGCAGTGAGCAGTGTCTTGAGAGAGGCGAACTCGGTCTCTGTCAAAGTAGACAGAAGAGGACGCTGGAGCTCGGAAAGGACGACACAAATCTTGTTTGCGACATTCACGTTGTGAAGCGAGCCCAGTTCTGGCATGCGGCCGGTGGCCTGTTCGAGTGCGGTCGCCAGGCCCATGGCAATCAGCGTCTGTGAGTTGCTCTCCTCGTGGACAATGACGACCTCGGCATCGGGGAACCCAGCGCTGTCACCACCGTGGCCGTTGGAGAGAGATTCTAGAATCGGCTCCCAATCCAGCTTGTAGCACAGCTCACGAGGGCCATTGGCGCCGCTGTCGAGGCCACTGGAGCCATCGATCATGGGCGCAATGGTCAAGTTCTCGAGTGTGATGAGCGGTTCAGTCGAGTCCCGATCCGCTGTGGCGTGCAGAGTCACTCTGGCCGACTTTTCTGACGCAACAGCCAGAGCCAAATCCTGCGTAGTGCAGTAGGCGCTGAGGAGGTTCCCTGTTCCATGGGACAGCTCAATGGCGCGCGCCGACACAGTCAGGCGCTCAAGGGACGATGGCAGATAAACATTGCGTACATCAGCACGGCCTGCACCAAGGATCGGCCAGTACAGCTCGATGAGCGACTCCAGGAAGGACGGGTGCAGAGACGGGCTGGCCACAAAGTGGTTGGGCATCTCGGCGGCGATGTCCAGCACCGCCAGGTCAGCGGAAGCAGCACTCTCTGTAGCCCGGCAGTTCTCGATGCCTTGGAAGGTAGGGCCGAAAGCTACACCTAAGTCGCTGAGTGCATCGTACATCTTGGAGCTGTCAATGGCGGCGCTGCCGTCTCCAACAAGGAGCTTGGCAAAGCGAACGGCGGCCGCGGCCGTCTCGGCCTGGCGCACGCCATCCACGTCGTTGACCTTTTCCTCGACGGTCTTGGTGCCGACCAGACCAATACAGTGCTCGGTCCAGCCCTTGGCGTGCGTGTATGAGCTGATACGGAACTCGTTCCACGCAGCCTCGGATGCAGACGTAGGGAGGAGAGAACCGCCATCCTGGTGCGGGCGGAGGCTAATGGTCATCTCAATGTCCTCGTCAGGGATGATCAACGGCTTCACCACAGACACATCCCGCAGCTCGTAGGAGTCCACGGCGCGGGATTGGCTGATGGCACGCTGTGCACTGGCCTCAAGCGCCATGACAAGGAACGCCGACAGAGGGAAGACATTAAGGGACTGGATGCGGTGGTGACGTAGCCAGGGCAGGTCATCGAGGCGGACAATGTTGCGCCATGTGGGCTCCAGATCGCTTGAGTAGATGGCCTCCACGCCCAAAATATCACTGCGGGCACCGGCGCGGTGCTTGTGCTTGAACGTCGTGCGGGACTCTTGCCAGTACTTGTTGGAGTAGTTCCATGGGTACCGGGGAAGGTCAATGAGCAGTGCAGGCGGCTTTGCAGCGGTGCGAGACTTGGGGAAGTTGACGGCCTCGAAATCGAGGGCCAGACCACGCGTAAACAGGGCGCCAGCAAGGTCCATGGCCGTCTCCACGGCGTCCTTCTTGCGGAGGAGCGCCGATGCATACGGGATCTTGGCCGCTGGTCCGCCGACATGCTTGAGAATCTGCTTGATAGGACCCTGCATACCCGAGTGGGGGCCGAGCTCAACAAGCATATTGACGCCGGTGCGGTGCTCTCCGACAGGCTCGAGCATGCTCTGCAACGCCTCGTCGAATCGAACGGCGCAGGTCAAGTTGTCCACCCAGTACGATGCTTGGAGCTCTGATGCAGAAATGAGCTTGCCCTGTAGTGACGAGTGGAAGCGGACGGTGGTCTCGACAGGAGCCTTGAGCTTCAGCAGGCTGGCCCGGTATTCCTTGGCAACGAGGTTCATGTGGTGCGAGTGGTAGGCCGTGTCAATGACCAACCGGCGGTTGAACATGCCACGCTCTTCACAGATCTTCTCGAGCTCCGCCAGCGCCGGCTCGTCACCGGAAATCGTCAAGCTGGACGGGCTGTTGTAGCAAGCAATGCGCACCTCCTTTTCCTTGAGGTTGTCGATGATGGGCTGGAACTCCTCCTTGCTGCCACCGACGGCCATCATGCGGCCCTTGAGGTCCGGGAAGCTCTCCTTGAGGATGGGAATGAGGCGGCCCCGGTGGTATGCGACAGCCATGGCCGTCTCAAAGGTGATGATTCCGGCAGCATAAGCAGCGCCAATCTCACCGCTCGAGTGACCGGCAACGGCCTCGGGACGGATGCCCCAGCTGGATAGGAGGTCTGTGAGGGCCAGCTGCACGGCCGTACACGACGGCTGGCTGATGTGTGCCTCGTTGACGCGAGTCGTGGTGGCATCACGGCCGAGCTCCTCGACGAGGGACCATTCAGCGCCAAGTGCGGCGAGGCAACGGTCGGCGTGATCAATGGCACTGGTGAAGACGGGGTACTGCTCGTACAACTCGCGGCCCATGCCCCACCACTGCGCACCCTGGCCGGTGAAGATGAAGCCGATTCTGAGGGGTTCGACTTCCTTGCCGGGAGTGTACTTCTCGCCGTTGAGGGTCTCCACGAGCTCAAAGGAGTTGCTGGCTGAGATGGCGGCGCGGTACTGCAGATGCGAGCGGCGCTGGCCGAATGTGTAGGCAAAGTTGGCCATCAGATCGGCTTGGAAAATCTCGGGACGCTGCTCGAGGTAGATGACGGCATTCTTCATCACCGCCGAGAGAGTTGCCTTGTCGTTGGCGGTGAAGACAAACAGCTTGCGCAAATTGGTGGCCGCGACGGACAGGTCCTGTTCAAAGCTCGGCTTGGCCTTGAAGGGCGCCGCTGCGAGGACAACGTGACCATTGGTGCCGCCGAAGCCAAAGTTGTTGACACTAATGTACTTCTTGCCGCGTGGCCAGGGACGCTGGTTGATGGGCACCTTCATGTTCCACTCCTTCCAGGGGATCTTGGGATTCGGCACCTTGAAGTCATGGTTGGGAAGAATGAAGCCCCGCTCCAACATGAGGGCAGCCTTGATGATGCCGGCAATACCAGAAGCGGCTTCGAGATGGCCAATGTTGGACTTGACCGAACCGATGTAGAGCGGATCGCGTGTGGTGCGGTCCAGACCAAGCACGTTGTGCAAGGCTGTTGCTTCAATAGGATCGCCGACCTTGGTGCCGGTGCCGTGGGCCTCGACAAAGCCGCATTCCTTGGGGTCGAGGCCAGCGTTGCGGTAAACCTGCCGCATGAGGGCCTCCTGGGCCTCTCCACTGGGCATGGTGATACCCGGTGTTTTGCCGTCCTGGTTGAGGCCAGTGCCCACAATCACTGCCCGGACGGGGTCGTTGTCGCGCAGAGCCTGGTCCAGAGGCTTGAGAACGATCAGACCACAGCCTTCGCCGCGACCGAAACCGGTACCGCGCTCATCAAAAGCGATAGAACGTCCCGTGTCAGACAGGAGCCGACACGTGGAAAAGGAGATCCAGAACTCGGGCAGCATGTTCAAGTGGCAGCCACCCACAATGGCCATGCTCGACTCGCCAAGGCGGAGGCTCTGGCACGCCAGGTGCGTGGCCACCATACTAGACGAGCATGCCGTGTCAGACGTAAAGCTGGGGCCCCTCAGATCAAAAAAGTGAGAAAGCCGGTTCGACTGCATGGCATATGCACAACCTAAGCATTGTCAGCACGGCCATTCTGTACAGAAGAAATTATTACTGGGCATATTGCTTCAAATGGATTTACCTGTAGCCTGGTGCATGGGGATAGTATCGCTGTCGTGGAAGAGATGCGACTCGTATTCAGGGAACGAGCCGCCGACGAAAACACCGACGTCCTTGCCAACAATATTTTGCTTGGGAATGCCAGCACTTTCAAGTGCTTCGAACGTGCACTCCAGCAGGAGGCGCTGCTGCGGGTCCATGGAGATGGCCTCCTTTTCAGTGAGGCCGAAGAAGGGCGCGTCAAACGACTCCAGGTCGCAGGTCAGAAAGTTGCCACCAACGGCGCTGAAGCTGCCCCCTTTTCCGGCGTTGGGGTGGTAGAACGTGTCGGCATTGAACCGCTTTTCAGGGACCTTGGAGAATCCAGAGCGAGACCGTGAGAGGAGCTCCCAGAACTCGGCCGGGGTGGCTACATCTCCAGGCATGCGGCAGGCGATGCCAATGATGGCAATGGGTGTCTGAGTGTTCTCAATCTTTGGAGCGCCATTGTTGATGCTGTCGGTGTTGAGGCCAAGACCACTGCCGTTGACAAAGCCGCTTGTGGTGCCCCCTGGGCGGCCGTTGACGTAGCGGCCATCACGAGGAAAGTAGCCGGTATCACTGTCGCCGGAAGGACTCGCGGTCGAAGGATCGGGCGTGATGGCAATGGGCGCCATGGCCGGTGATATCAGCCGCTAACGGCAACAAGTTTGGCGTGTTATGGAAAGAAAGCTGAGGTGGGAAATGAAACGAACGAAAGTAAATAGAAGGACAGGACACAAACCCGGGCAGTGTCAAGGCAGATGCCAAGTAGATAAGATTTGCTTCGGGCGAACAGGTTGACAAGCAACCTCGAATAGTGTCCTAGGTCCGGATGCAGCAATAAAGGAGAGACTGGAGATGGAGAAACTCAAGACGAGGGGGGACAGGTCGAGATGTTTTAAATGAACAACAGAGCTGATGTTGAGTGCCGTTCATCCAGCCCGAAGGTCTATTTTTGGACTGTGATTCCGTGCTTTCTTGCACAACCAAAATGAAATATCGGCCCCGGTGTGCGGCTTAAGTTGCCTGCTTATATGGACCCTCGCGAAGCGTGTGGCGATCAGAGTACGTACAAGCCGAGGTAGACAGGGTGAGTGGGTGAAGGTCGGAAAGGGGGCGTAAGGAGAAAGATATCTGAGGTTCAGCGGATCTCATGCCGTACCTCAAAGCACTTACAGAAAAGTGTCTCTTCTGAGTGCCAGTTGCGGGAGAGTTTGAATCTGTGAGTGCTGTTTCCCTTGCCTCGGGCCGGGTATCTCTCAGGTGGTGAAGTGGCCGGGAAACACGCGTCTAGGTCTCAGACAATGGGTTGAGGGGATAATTGTAGTCGAGTGTGCAACTTCCATATCATACCCTGTTTGTCTGTTCATGCGCCTGCTAGCATAGATTGTATGGTTGGCCTAGATCGCCTTCCTACCTTGTAGCCGTGTATTGTCTCTTGTAGTAGGTCAATGTTTTTCCGTCTGGTTCACATCTAGCAGATCACTTTTGATGGCATATATGAGAACCAATTTATCGGCCCTCGCATCCTATGGAGATGTAAATTTGGAGTGTATATTGGCGCTTCCATAGATAGACATGGTAAGTTCCGCCACTTCATATCATTCATAAAGTGTATCCTTCTTTTACCAGACGATGGAGAAGAACACAAGCTAGCAGCAAAAGTTAGGTGAAGGATATCGAATTTCGCAACTCGGAACAGGTGAAGGCTCATCTTGAGACACGTCATGGGTTGAAGCTGATAAGACAGTGACGGCACAAAACGTTGGGTAGCGGGTGGCCTGGAACGCCTCGATATCGCATCAGCTCAATGCCCGATGGTGATAACGGGTGAATGGAAATATTGATCTTGTAGATGAAGTGATGGGATGAAGGGCAATGACTGGCTATCACGTTACGGCCGGTCGGATAGCAGTGGGACGGAAGAGAGATGTCGAGGTACAATGCTCGCCGGGGGATGCAAGTCTAAGAGGGGCCGGTATTGTTAGTACGCACATTGGGGCAAGAAACGAACAGATGCTGAAACTCAATTATGGGCGGGAAAGGAAAGTGATCCGCTCCCAGACAACATTGGATTTGTGAACGGAAGATGGCCGTTTCCTGTATGTGCAAGGTTCTAGACAAGGCGGGTCGAAAGCATGTGGATTCTATAAGATAGGCAAAATAAACTCGGGGGGCTCAAATGCGAAGAAGTGAAAGGGCGTAAGCTTGGGTTAAGGTTCGGAAAATCCGAGGCTGTTTAATCTAATCGTCGTGATGATTTGCACATGGGAGTTGGAAAAAGGAGAAAGGGAGCGGGGAAGAGCCAAACTGGGACACGATGTCGACACTGGGAACGTTCATGGGCTAATGTCGCGGGGTTATCGGAAAGAGCACGCAAGGCCGTGTCGCACTTTCCTAAGCGAGGAGACAAGGCCCAAACGATAAATCTGGAAGGAATTACAGACAAGTATAGCATTCAAAACGGAAAGAACAACCGTGCGAGGTCGAATCCTCAGTTAATGAGCCACGAGGAAGGTGCGATACAGGACAGCCAATGAATAAGCGGTATAAAAAACACCTAGCAAGAACGTGGACAGCTGCCAAAATGGCTTGCGGCTGTAAACAAAGAAAAAGGGGCTAAAAACTTCGCTTTCTGCACACCCACTCATAGTATGGCTTCGCAGCCTTGCGGTGGACTTTGTCTACCCCGACACCTTCACCGTCACCAAGTACGGCCGCTCGTTGTAGCTTTCGTCTCTTCGTTTTTTATAAAAAAAACCGCCCTCGTCGGCTGCCCGTCGGTACTTTGCACCGGAAAAATAAAAAAGTGGCGATTGTTCATATCTGCGAAACAAAAAGAAAGGGCCACAAACCCACAATGGACTGTTTGCCGTTTGCCACTGGGCGGCACTTGATCTCGGGACTTGTTATCGATTGAGACAAGGAGAAGAAACTCGATGCGGAACGGCGACAGATGCATCGATACAACCGCGGATCGTCCCTCCACTCACACCCGATCACTCACTCTACCGTCGGATTTTGGCTAAGTGGGTATTATGAGGCTCACGGCGCGGGGCCGGCCAATCTCGACATATCGACAGGCTCTGCTCTGTAGACAATTTTCACAATTGAGTCCATTAGGAGAATTTTGGTCTTGTATTTCTGTGCAGTGGGCCGCCAGAAAGCATGAAAATATGCTTGGCGGACCAGCGGGTGGCCCTGAGACGGTTGTGACGAGTGCGGGTGCAGGGATGAAGAGAGCAATATTCCGCTCGGCGAATTGTGGGTTTTGTACCTGTGCTGTGCTTTTGAAGCTTCACCTTGTATTTTACGCTGTGCAGCGTGGGTTCGTTCTGAATCAATCCACAACATCGCTTACACGCCTGCCACTCCCTTTCACACACCCAATATATCGTGTCGGCAGTAGACAACGCCGTTGCCACGTGCGTCGGTGTTATCCTCAGTTTCTTCCCCCCTCATCACGTCCCCCTTTTCAAACTACCTGTCCCTTTCGGGCTAATAAGCTTATCTCTGATCCCCCACGCGGAAAGGATCTCTGAACGGTTTCATGCAAGCAAAGACACCATTCTCTTGGCGTATGGGATCAGTATCATGTAGTGGTCAGGATATTTATTACCCTTCCTCTTCTTCCTTGTAGTCTGTTAATTGCACAACGGATGGGCACGAGACGATCCGCGTTCCAGCGTGACTGATCCAAAAATATCTCTCTCTACATTCATCTAGTATATATCCTCTTTCTTTTCCTTATTTCGCTATATTTCCGTATCTATTTTCTCCTCATTATCTGTATGACTTTCAGCTTCGCCGGCCCGACCGGTTGTTTAACGGACGAAAGGCAACTTTTATTTATCACGGAGCCTCATCAGAAAACGGGCGAGATAATAGACTGTGCTAATGTAGCATTCTATTGTCCTCACATTCCCACGAGGTTGGAAACACATGTCTCTTAGACCCTTCGCATCTTGAATATGCGGCAATTTTTGCTTCAAAATATGCCAGAGAACAAAGTCAAACAAAAATTAAAAATTAAAAAAAAAATAACACGCAAGGGCAATTACTAGTATTGGATTCCACGTGAACATTGTTTCCTCAAATATGATTCTTGTGACTAGACCCTTTTAGTGTTGCTTTTATCCCCCATCATCCACTTCTCTCTATCGTAGGAGTCTCGCCCCGAGTTTGCAACATCTTTTGGGGCTATTATTTGCACATTCAAGAATGCGAGAACTACGGTTACCCCTTTCTTGTTGTCACGTATCCACCTCGTACGACAGACTTCTGTAAAATTACGGATAACCACTCTGCGGAGTCTGGTCCACATTGTAGCCGTTCCCCAGAGAAAAGGCTCGGCTGCTTACAACCTTATGCCATTTTATATACGGCTAACGGTATCGCCATTCGAGGCCCGGATCAGTATGCTTACAACTTACGAGATGCTTATTCAGTAAGGACATGTTTCCAGTTCTTTGGCCCCAGTATCGAGCAGCTTCCTGACTTTGCAAGTGTTCGTCTCATGACGAAGATTAGCTAGCTACTCGTTTTAATCAATACTCAATTCCAGCTCTCTTTTTTTAGGTCTAGTTTCCCGTACTTTGGTACCGCTCCTTTATTTCTGGAGTTTTCAATGTGGGCCTTCGCCATACACTCTTGAGGCTATACTTTTAAGCGTGCCAGATTTTGGTAACTGATCGATGTGCTTCTACGATTAACTTTAAGCTTCAAAGTCTCCTGGCTCGCCACCTTTCAATGAAACACAACACCAATGTTTTGCACCTTGGCAGCTCACACTTCATTGAATTTTTAATAGATATTTTACTGCCCTGCACGTTTTCAACCGATTTTAGCAGTTTTCTCACGATATTTACAAACTTACTTGGGGTTCACAACTTTTAGGCTTCTAGAATATTACCTACATTCAGCATTTCTTGGCTGGTTCTTTAGAACTCTCATTTCGTCCTCTCATATTCACTTCTCATTCCTTCTTTTATCATCTTTACAAAAATGAAGTTTTTGTGTTTACCAGGCGCCTACGGAAGTGCAGATGTAAGAAGTCCATTTTCCTGTTTAGTATTTTGAACTGATGCACTGACTGAACCATCAGAAATTCCAAGTTCAACTAGGTAAGAAAAGTCCTCAATCAAAAAAAAAAAAAAAAAAAAAAAAAAAACAAGCAGCAGCAACAAAGTATCGCATGTCCTAACACTATCAGCCCCTATTGTCAAGGAGCTCACCGAGGACGGTACGGCCATCTTCCACTTCATCGAAGGTCCCTGTGTGGCCGAGCCACCAAAAGGCTTCGAGGACTACTTTGGCAACCCGCCGTACTTTCGGTTTATCGAACCCGATGAGGTCGGCAAGACCGATGACGACGATGTTCTGTCGCGTATTCGCGACTTCCCGGACTGCGAGACGCCGGAGGACACGATGCGCGAACTGATGAAGGAAGGCGTGGCCACGACTCACAAGAGCACCGACAACGCGCTCAAGTTCCTGCTCAAGATTATGAAGGAGCGCGGTCCTTTTGAAGGCATCATTGGCTACTCGGAGGGCGCGACCGTGGCCGCGACCCTTTTGTTGCACGAGCAGCGGCGCTTCCAAAAAGAGGGCATTGCGCCCATGTTCAAGTACGCCATCTTCTTTGCCGGATGGCCGCCTGTGGACCCGACGACACACGCCATGATTCTTAGCGACGAGACAGACGAAGTCATTGAGATCCCCACGTGCCACATCAGTGAGTCTTCCCGTTCGCCTTTTGTTATAACAGTACGCCGCTGACGCAAAATAGTTGGCTCGTTGGATCCTTACCTCCATGGCTCCATGGCCCTTTACAATGTCTGCGACGCCGATACGGCGTATCTCTTTGACCATGCCAAAGGCCACACGCTACCTCGCGACAAGGACACGGTCAAGGAGCTTGGCGACGTGGTCCGCAAAGCCATCGAAGACTACGACATTGGCGAGTAAGCACAGCTGTTTCGTTTCACCGCTGCGGTTTCGGAGGTCGTCCGCCGAGAAACGAAAACAGAACCAAAACAGAAACAAACAACGTAGAAGCAAATCACAGAGAGCAATGCTTGTCGTGCATAAACGTTGACTTTGGCCGTTGATAAATTTTTGTTGGTAATTGGCATGCATAGCAATATAGAAAATAAAGTACACGATAGTCTCCTATAGTTCCATTATATTCCGACTGTTCTCCGTCTTCTTTTATATACCCTCCCTATATAGTGGTCAATCCGGACCTCTGAGATATTTTTGGATAAGGTCAATGCTTTCCCATATATATCGACCTATTTTTATATCCCGTCGTCTCGTTATGTCGCCGACAAGTGATGGTGGATCCACCTTGTTCCCCGTCCTGCTCATAAATCCATCACATTTCCGTCACAAACCGCCCCAATCTGTTTTCACAGACCCAAATTCTCTCCCTCTCGCACGCTAGTGTGCCTTATGGACACTGCCAACGAATTGGAAGAGCGAACCCTTCTTTTTGGAACAATGTCGGCCATTTCCAAATTCTCTCGATATAGTCTGGAATGGGAAGCCTTTTCTCCTTTCCCCCGACACCTTGCCTAATTCAAAGGCAAATCTCTATCAAACGGCCGCCGTAATCTTCGGCCACTATCTCTATCATCGCGATTTCTCTCGCTGTCTGGCAACTTCAAGCGGCCCTCCATCTCGCCACAATCTATTGCACTCTGCAGTGGCCACTCTATTTCTATTTTTGTTGCTTATGAGTACAGAGATGGCTACAGCTTCTCTTAAAATAGAAGCTGCGGCCGAAGATTCCGGGTTTTGGGCGCAAGCCATCAGCCGCCAACAGTCGAGCACTTTATAGAAAAATTGGCTCTCTTCCTCACCGCGGCTGCCGTATTCCAGTACCGAGACGAAGGACAACTGACTGAGAAGTCTCTTTGGCTCCCAAACAACCAGCTTCAGCTCATATAAAATATCGATGGGGAAAGAGGTCGTGTTGTAGGTGGGACATATGTCGTTTATGTGATCAAGTACTGTTAAGTCATGTGATCTTTATTTACTTTCCTGGCCACCAAATTTGTCGTACGCCGAAACGCAGATCTACCAGATCAAGTATGGGAGAAATAGAAGCAACTTTTCTTTCTATATCGACCTCAATTGAAGAGTAGTCGCCGTAGCAGAGACTGGCCATTGACCTCACTACTTGATATAAATCATAAGGGCACGCCATAGACTCGGTGAATATGAGAAACAACACAATTCATTGATTGGCTAATTATACCACCTGGTATGATCCGCCGGCCTATCAATTGTTTCTTGTTTGACGACAATATACGACTTATATTACAATTGCCATTCAGGCTGCATGCCATTCTGGCCCCGCCTACCTTCTACCTACCTGCGAACAAACCCTGTGCCTTGCATTATCTGTGCCGTTATCGACCGTTTTTTACCCGTGGAAAATAATGTGCTGATTTGTTTATTTTGTGGCTCAACATATATCTCTTTTAAACTAAGGGGAGACCAATGGAGGAGCTCTTCTCCAATAACTTGTATATATTGTAGAATGCACCGAGCACGGCATTGTTTGTTATCTCGTCAACTAAACGGTGTAACTCCAGGAATTCTTGGCGCAGTCTTCAGCGAAGCAGCAGACTTCAAACTCCTTCGGTCCCGCACGGATCGCCTTTTTTGTTTTCTTGAACCGGGCTTGCCAATGTTTCTTATGCCAACAAAGTGCGACGAACGCCCGAGACGGCGATATGATGAGGCTCGCCCGACATGTATAGTCCTCTTCAGATAAGAGGATAAATAAGGAGGTACAAAAATAGGACCTCGTCATATATCGTCACATATCTTCCTATACCATTCCATCCCTGCCATGGGATGAAAGTCCTCCCACTTATTTAACCTCTGTTCCTGCGCCAAGACACCGATTAACAATAGCCGCCATCGGTCCATGTTCTAGAAGGATGTCCACCGTCGAGCCTTTCTGTCATGAGCAGTGGCCGTCGGTTATCTTCAGTTTGCGGGAGTCCACTTGGCAAACGCCTGCGCACCGGCAGATGGGCCTTTATAGATTGCAGCCGGAACACGGGATGTGGACTCCGGCCAAGGAGGTGCTCGTGCCCGCATTCGCCCAGTCGCAGCCGAAGTATGGCCTTGCCACTTGTCAGCCTGGGGCAGAAGGCGACGAGCATTTTCGGCTCATTTCTTTGGCAGCCTGTCTATATCGATTCTCGCTTCTGTCTTGGCCAGTCTGCTGGAATATGTTCAGTTATTCCGTGGCATCCGGAAGCGTCTTCTTTGTACTTCCTTGAAGCGATTGGCCAGGGCTCATACCAGAGGCCATGTAATAGGCAGTTTGTAGCTATCTCAGTCTTGGTCAAATCTCACAGCTTCAGTCTTAGCTCTGTTTCCTTCGGTCGCCTTGAAAGTGCCAGTGTCTCCTTATGGTATGCAATTTCCAGCAGGTAAAGTCATGCGCACATTCTGCGGCGTGCTGCCTTCCTCTCTCGACTGAATGTAGATATTTTTTAGAGGTTTGTGTATCATTGCCCACTTGAGCCTCATCTTTTCGCATCCGGTTCACGCTCACGTGTCGTGGCCGTGCTGCTTTCCACCACCGGCACGATGTCTACAACAGAAGATCAACAAGGGCTACAGGAGACTGGCATACCCGATGCATCACAGAGTCCCATTCCGACCCATACGCCGGAACCCATCCCCGAGGAAAGCTCAGAACAAAGTCCGGACCAGACCGTTCGTCTGGCGGCATCCAACACCACTCTATGGCCGTCGTACGCATCTGTCGGTAATGACAGCACTCATCAAAATGAATCTCAGGTCCTATCGTCCTGGACGTCTGCAGCCACCCTGCGCCCACAACCCCAAGATGGACAAGCCGAAACTGCCTCAAACGCAAAGCAACCGGCACAGCAACACCCTCTAGCGACCTCCACTGTTCCACCGCCAAATGTACCTCCGGTGCCGCCAACGACTGCTACGACCGGGGCCACAGCCGCACCGTCGGCATCTCGACCATCCTTCCTCCGCCGGCTAACAAAAACGACAAAGGCCGCTCCTGCCGTCGACCCTTTAGCCAATCCGTCCACCGACCAGAACGCCAAAAAGGCCCGTCCGTTTGGCATCAAGGCAGAGACCAAGACCAAGTTCCGCGATTTTTGGCGAATCTTCACGTACTCGACGTGGGCCGACCGCGTCCTGATTGTCCTGGCATCGCTTGCGTCCATCTGCACGGGCGTCACGATGCCGCTCATGAACGTGGTGTTTGGCCGCGTGTTTGGCTCCTTTAACGGCTACGACAAGCAGGGCAACGCCGTGGTCATGACGGAGGACATGTTCATGCACGAAATCGTGCAGTGCGTCTTGTACCTCGTGTACATTTTCGCGGCGCGCCTGGTGCTGGGCTACGTCGCCTACTTTGGCTTCCGGCTCAGCAGCCTGCGCATCTCCGCGGCGCTGCGGCTCGCGTACATGCGCGCGCTGCTGGCGCAGCCCGTGTCGACGCTGGACTGCCTGCCGCCGGGCACGACGGCGGCCGTCATCACGATCACGGCCAACACGCTGCAGCTGGGCATTTCCGAGAAGCTGTCGGGCTTCCTGCAGTCGGTGACGCTCGTCGTGGCGGCCCTGGTCGTGTCGTTTCTGTACAGCTGGAAGCTGACGCTGGTGACGAGCAGCGGCATGGTGTTCATTGTCCTGGTGTACGCGGTGACGACGCCGATGTTGGTCAAGATTCTCAATCAAGTGCAGGACAGCGAGATCAAGGCAGCCACCGTGGCGAGCGAGATCTTTTCGTCCATCAGAATGGTGGCGGCGTGTGGTGCGGAAGAAAAAATGGCTGCACGATACGACGTGTGCGCCGACGAGTCGCGCAACCGAGGGAAGCGCATGTCGCCGGTCATTGCCCTGCAGCAGACGCCGGTTTTCTTTGCGATTTTTGCGTATGTGGCAATCCTTGCATCGTTCTGCCACTGTTGATATTGGACGGCGCTGACATCACACATAGAACCTTTGCCCTCGCCTTCTGGTTCTCACTCGATGAGTACATGAAGGGCGACATCCACAGCCCACAGACATTGATTGTGTGAGTGGTTGCATCCGTCATTATCTTTGCACGTCACCCCTCTAACTCTGCCTCAGCGTCCTCTTCTCCGTCATGATGATGACGACGGCCATTGGTGGCATCACGACGCCTTTGTCGGGCGCTGCCCGTGCGGCCAGCGCCGCCACCATTTTCTATGCCATGATTGATGCGCCGGCGCCCGAATGCGGTGGATTTGGCGAAGGCACCCCTGAAGCCGAGGCGGCGACAAAGGGCGATCTCGTCCTTGAAAATGTGCACTTTTGCTACCCGCTCCGGCCGGACCTCAAGATCTTGGACGGCGTCGACGTGACCTTTCCAGCCGGCAAGATGACGGCGATTGTGGGTCCGTCGGGCTCGGGCAAGAGCACAATCGTGTCCCTGTTGGAGCGCTGGTACGAGCTCGACGAGCCCGGTGTGTTGACGACGTACGGACACCTGACAGTGGGCGGCGTGCGGCTGAGGGATCTGGACCGGCGCTGGTGGCGGACACAGGTCGGACTGGTGCAGCAGGAGCCATTTCTGTTCAACGACACGATCTTCAACAACGTGGCGCACGGCCTGGTGGGGACCAAGTGGGAGCGTGCAGACGATGCAGTCAAAAAGAGCATGGTCGAAACAGCCTGCCGCGAGGCGTATGCCGACGAATTTGTGGTGCGTCTGCCGCAGGGGTACGAGACGGTGGTGGGAGACGGCGGCGGTCTTAAGCTGAGCGGCGGCCAGCGGCAGCGGCTTGCCATTGCCCGAGCCATCATCAAACAGCCGGCCGTCTTGGTCCTGGACGAGGCCACGAGCGCCATTGATGTGCGCAGCGAGCAGATCGTGCAGGCGGCGCTGGACCGCGCGTCCAAAAACCGCACGACCATTACCATTGCCCACCGGCTGTCGACCGTCCGCAAAGCCGACAACATTGTGGTCCTGCGAAAAGGGCGCGTCGTCGAGCAGGGCACGCATTCTGAGCTGATGGCGCGCGGCGAGGGCGGTGCGTATCATGCGCTGGCGACGGCGCAGCAGCTCGTCCGGGAAAAGGTGGAGCAGCGGGCCGTCCCGCGGCCGACGTCCCGGCCCCGCCCGGGATCCAATGCCAGAACAGAAGCAGGATCGCGATCACAGTCGCACGACTCAAAGGAGAGAAAGAGCATGGACATCGTTGAGAAAGAGGCTGCCATACGTCCGGAGAGCGTCGTTGACATGGCCACAAGTTCAGCCAAGGAGAAAGACGACGCAGGCGCAGGCGTCCTCCAACCGCCACAAGCATCCTCCGCAGACGCCCCCAAAACGCCTTCTCCTTCCCAATCGCAAGGAAGCCGCAGCTTTTGGCGCAGCTTCGTGCTTCTCCTCCGCGAGCAGCGCGCGCTCTGGCCGTGGTACCTCGTCATGTTCGCGGGCGCCCTCGCCGCCGGCGCCAGCGCGCCCGTCCAGGCGTACCTGTTCGCTATGCTCATATCGCTCTTCGCGTTCCTCGGCAGCCCCGAGTGGCTGCACGCGCTCACCAACTTTTGGTGTCTCATGTTCACCGTGCTCGCCATCGCCGTGGGGTTGGCGTACTTCGCCCTGGGCTGGTCCGCCACCACCACCGCGTTCCACATCACCCACCACTACCGTCGCGCCTATCTGCGGAGCATGCTCGCCCAGCCCGTCGCTTTTTTTGACGAGGACGACCACAGCGCCGGCGCCCTGACCGCCCGCCTGGCGACCGATCCGACGCAGCTGCAGCAGCTGCTGGGCATGAACCTGGCCTTCGTGGCCATTTCGGTGCTCAATGTCATTGGATGCCTCAGCGTGAGTTTTGCCTTTGGCTGGAAGCTGACACTGGTCACCGTCTTGACGTCGATGCCGGTGCTGCTGGGCGCCGCGTTTGTGCGCCTGCGCTACGAACAGCAGTTTGAGAAGGCGAGCCAGGCCGTGTTCGCCGAAAGCGCGCAGTTTGCGACCGAAGCCGTGGGCGCGTTCCGAACGGTGGCCGCACTGACGCTCGAAGAATCCATTGGCGCGCGGTACGCCGCCCTCCTTCGAAACCACATCCGCGGCGCCCTCGTACAGTCGGGCGTGTCGACATTTGTGTTTGCGTTGAGTGACAGCATTGCGCTGCTGTGCATGGCGTTTGTTTTATGGTAAGAAAGGGGGACGGGTGGCCGCAGATGCTTCGCTTTGTACGGAAACGCTGGGGACCAGTGCACTAACATCGCTTACACGCAGGTACGGCGGTAAACTCATGGCCGACCGCGAGTATCAGTCGTTCCAATACGGTGAGTCCAGGCGGGGAAAGATAAAATCCTCAAGACAAGATGATGACTGCACGAATGCATGACTAACATGTTCAGTTGTGGTCTACATTGCCGTTTTGCAAGGCGGCATGGGTGCTGGCCAGTGGCTCAGTTTCGGACCAAGTAAGCTACGCTGCCTCGCTTCCCCATGTATCGTCTTCTTTCTTCTTCGCTCACGCAACAGACATTGCACAGGCTTCGGCGGCGGCCAACCGCATCATCGACCTCCGCCACACCGACGACGCCGACGGCCGTCTTGTTTCCTTGGACAATGGCGACTTGGGTGACGAGGACCAGGGCGTCAAGATTGAATTCCGCAATGTCTGGTTTCGTTATCCGACGCGAGACGCCCCGGTGCTCAATGGGCTCAACATGACAGTATGTCTATGTGCCGATCCCGCTGGATCCGATAGGATGTGCCCGGTTAACAAAAAAAATAGATTGAAAAGGGACAGTTTGCGGCCGTTGTGGGCTACTCGGGTTCCGGCAAGACGACCGTCGTCTCGCTCTTGGAAAGGTTTGTGGCTTTATCTCATGTCCGCCATCCATCCCTTTTGTCGTCTAACACTTTGTCTCAACAATTCCAGATTCTATCGCTACGCGTCCGGCGACATTCTCTACAACGGGCTCCCCATTGCCGATCTCGCACTGCACGACTACCGGCGAGACATCTCGCTCGTCGCCCAGGAGCCCAGTCTGTTTGACGGGACGCTGCGCGAGAACATTCTGCTGGGCATCGCCGACGACGCGGCTGACGACATGGACGCCCGCCTCCACGCGGCCTGCACCGACGCCGGCATCCACGACTTTATCCAGTCGCTGCCCGAGGGCTACGACACGGCCATTGGCAGCCGCGGCGTCGCGCTGTCGGGCGGCCAGAAGCAGCGCGTGTCCATTGCCCGGGCCCTCGTGCGCCGCCCGCGCCTCTTGCTGCTCGACGAAGCGACGTCGAACCTGGACGCCGAGACGGAGCGGCAGGTGCAGGCCGTGTTTGAGACGCGACAGTCGCGCTGCACCATGGTGGTTGTGGCGCACCGCCTGGCCACCGTGCAGCGGGCCGACGTCATCTTCGTGCTGGGCGACGGCCAAGTGCTGGAACAGGGGGACCACGCGAGCCTGCTGGCGCAGAGGGGCGTCTACTACCAAATGTGCCAGGCGCAGGCGCTGGACGGTTGAGACGGACAGCGGGAGTCGCAGGAATTCATGAAGCGCGCTCATTTTTGTTCTTTTAACGTTTTCAATGGCATGACGAACTCTATTAGATACACTTCTACTTCGCGCAGTCTAGCAGGGAATGACACCACGTCGTTGTGGTCGCGGGCTGTGACTTGTTCTTTTAAAAGGTGGTATGAGTGAACAGGAGAATAAGGAACAGTGAGAAGCATGAAGAAGCTGAAGCTGAAACTGAAACTGAAGACAAGCCGGTAGGAGATGAGACGATAGGGAACAGAAAACAAAGCAAAAAAGACGACGGTCGAAAAAACATGTACAAGGACAGTATATATAAATAAATAAAAATTAAGGAAACGTGCAAGCGGATGGCACAAATGGCATGCAAAGTAGATGAAGAACCCCGACAGATGCAATAGGTAGGGATGAATAAAGTGAGATGAGAGATAGTTGGGTGGAGCGGAGATGACGGCTGTCAGAGTCGTGCAATTACTCCTTCTTGACCTTGGTGGTCTTGGGCTTCTTCGGCACACGCGTCAGCCAGTAGATGAACAGCGCGCCACAGATGTTGAAGGCGATGTAGGCCCAGAGGATGCCAAAGTTGCGCCAGCGGTCCGAGTAGAACGACTGCACGCCGGCCAGCGCCTGGTTGGTGAACTTGATGGAGCAGAAGTTGCAGCCGGACGTCGCGGACTCGTTGGTCAGGTAGCCGCCGGCGGTGGCCATGTAGGCCTCCATGTACTCGAAGCAGGTCTGGCCCGACGGCGGGTCGAACGTCAAGAACTCGTTGGCGGCGCAGTGGACCTCGGTGTTGGCGACACCGACCGCCAGCATGGCGGAGACCAGGTACGTAAACGGCGACAGGCGGTACATGAAGATCCAGAAGCGAGGCATGGTGTCGGGGGTCGACAGGACACCACAGAAAATCAGGCACAGGCTGAACAGCAGGTTGGCAATGTTACCGCCGGCCTCGGCCGTTTCGAAGCCAGCAATGATCATGTCCGTGAACGTCGACGTGAAGAGCAAAAACAGCCACAGCAGCAAGAACATGAGCGCGCCACGCTCGGCGGTCTGGCCGGCCGCCGCCGCGTTGGCGTTGAGGCCGATCGGGTAGTACCAGCAGACAAACATCAGGACGGCCATCAGCGTGTTCCACGGCAGCTCGACAATGATCTGCGAGACCATGAAGACGCGCCAGCTGTAGACCTTGGAGGGGCGCTCGCGCACTTCGTAGAGCGAGCGCTGGATGACGAAATGCGGCATGGTCTGCTGGACGAGCTGGCCAAAGACGGTGAGCAAGTTGAAGACGGAGAACATCTGGTTCTGGAAGCCTTGGATCGTGAGCGGCGCCTTGAAGAAGACGAAGCCAATGTAAATGGCGACCAGCACACACAGAGCCAGCTTGGAGTAGATGTAGGACGGCGTGCGCCAGTACTGCTGGAAGACGCGCTCAATGACCTCGCGGCACTGGGCCGGGAAGCTGGCGGCAAACTCGCGGTAGTCCGCCTTGCTGCGCTCGGCCTGCGGCGCCGGGTTGTCGTGCAGGGTCTGGAGCTCGGCACGGACGGCGGTGTACTCGGGGGACGTGCGCCAGGCCTGGAACCAGTCGATGTCGGTGTGGGTACCGGGGGCGGCACCAATGACCTCGAGCATCCACTCGGCCGGGTTGGCATCGGGCGGGCAGCGCTGGCCGGCCTGGCGCTCAAAGTAGCTGATCATGGTCTTGGAGTTCTCGCCAATGTCGCCAAAGTACACCGTCTTGCCGCCCTTGGCGAGGAAGAGCAGGCGGTCGAAGCGCTGGAAGAGCATGGCGGACGGCTGGTGGATGGTGCACAGAATGGCCTGGCCGCTCTTGGTGAGCTTCTCCAGCAGGTCGAGAATGGCCCACGACGTCTGCGAGTCGAGACCGGAGGTGGGCTCGTCGACGAACAGCAGCAGAGGCGGCTTCGCCGCCAGCTCCACGCCAATGGTCAGGCGCTTGCGCTGCTCCACGTTGAGGCCTTCGCCGGGGACACCGACAACTGCGTCGGCGTACTCCTGCATGTCGAGCAGCTTGATGACCTCGTCCACGTAGGCAATCTTCTCGGCGCGGGGAATGTGGGCAGGCTGGCGGAGCAGGGCAGAGAAGTTGAGGGCCTCGCGAACCGTGGTGGTCTGCAGATGCAGGTCCTGCTGCTGCACGTAGCCGGTCTTGCGCTGGAAGGACGTGTCGCGCTCGTGGCCGTCCACAAACATGTCACCCGTAATCACACCCATTGACGTACGGTCAGCGAGACAGTCCAGAAGCGTGGTCTTGCCGGCACCGGACACGCCCATGAGGGCGGTGAGGGTGCCGGGCTTCACCCAACCGTCGACGTGGTCCAGAATGCGGCGGTCTTCTTTCTTGATCTTGACATTGTAGCAGACATCCTGCCAGTGGAACACAGAGGTCTGGCGCTGGAGGAAGCCGGCACCGGAACCGGCGCCCTCTTTGTCACTGCCGCTCTTCTCGTCGAGGTTCTTGTGGGCGGCGGCCACGGCAGGGCCCGAAACGCGGGTACCGGACTCGGCGTCGGCCTTGTGGCTCTCGGTGAAGCTGGCAGGCTTGTGGCCGCGGCGGAAGACGAGGACCTCGCCCCTGGACTTCTTCTCCGAGACAAGCTCGGCAGCAATCATATAGGTGGCAAAGAAGAAGATGATGAACACGATGATGATGCCAAAGTTCCGCCAGCGGTGCGAGGCGAAGTAGTGGAAGGACTGGTTGAGGTAGGCGTCGCCGTCGACGAAGGGCTGGCCAGTGACGGAGCCGACAGTGGCGCAGACGTGGTTGTTGCCAGAGACGTTTCCATAGCCGGCAATCGCCGGGCTGGGCACGTACGTATCGCAGGTGAACTGGCGGTTGCTGAACTCGTTGACCATGAGGGACTCGAACGCGTAGGCCAGCGGGTCAATGTAGTTCATCCAGCGACACCAACCCAGCATGTAGTCGATGGGGATGACGAAACCAGTGAAGACGATGAGGCCAAGAATAATGACCGCCGCGGGCACCATGGCCTGCGACAGGGTGCGCGAGGCGGAGGCGATGGTGCGGAAAATCATGGACATGGCTAGGACGGTGACGAAACTGATCAGCAGGTAGAAAAAGAACGGTCCTGGTTCTCGTCGCAGATGCGTCATGAAATAAAGGCCGAGGTTGAACGTGAGGCAATTCGCAATCTTGTACGGCATGTCGCACAACATGGAGGCGACAGCTTCGGCAGACGGGTGGTACAGGGCGTAGCGGGCGTGCTTTTCGACAATCGGGCGCTGGGCGTACAGGGTGAGAATTTCGAGGGCAGACGAGAAGGCATTCATGAGACAGGCAAAGAAGAGCAGGGCACCGCGCTGGTAGAAGCTGCTGGTGACCGGCTGCAGGTTGAAGAAGACGGACGCGATGATCAGGGACATGGCAAAGTTGCCCACCAGAGCACCAATGGTCAGACTGGGGTCACCGACGAGGCGCTTGAAGCCGCGCCACAGGCACAGGCGGACCTGCTGGGTGTAGGACAGCGTGAAGGGGCTGCCGGCGCGCTGCAGCTTGGCCTGCTGGGCGCGCCTGGAGGCGCGGAAGGCCGCCGCGTCGGGGCCGTCGATGGGGTGCGACGTCTTGTAGTCCTCAATGTCGGCCTGGAGGGCGCGGTACTCGGCGCTGTTGCGCCAGCACGCGGCAAACTCGTCCGGTGTGCGCGGGGCGCGGCCCTCGAAACCAGGACGCACAATGCGCTCCTGGGGCGAGGTCATGGAGGTGAGGAAGTCGGGCGTCGTGGCACGAGCCGGGCACTCGAAGCCCAAGTTGACAAAGTACTGGCGAGCGGCGCCGGTGGGGCCGAAGTAGATCTGGCGACCCTCGTACAGAACGGTAGCCTTGTCGAAGAGGTCGTAGGCGCTCTGCGGCGACTGGTAGATGGAGACAATGGCGGTGCTGCCAAACAGCTCCGTCTGGGTGCGCAGGGTGCGGCAGAACTCGATGGCGTTGGCCGAGTCCAGGCCGCGGGTGCTGTTGTCCCAGCACTGCAGAGGCGCGCCGGACAGAGCCGCTTCGGCAATCGTGACACGCTTGCGCTCGCCGCCCGAGACACCACGGACGTACTCGTTGCCGACGCGAGTATTGATGGTGTGGGAGATGCCGAACATGGCCATGACGACGTCGCGCAGGTGCTCGGCGAACATGTTCTTGTGGATGCCCTCGGGCATGGTGCGCGGGGCGCGGGCGCGCGCAGCAAACGTCAGCGTGTCGCCAACAGACAGCTGGGGAAAGTGCACGTCGACCTCGGCCGTGTAGATGGCCTCGCCGCGGTGGCGGGTGTGCATCTCCTTGGCGGACATGCCCTGGTAGTTGAAGTACGACTTGTCGTCGACAAAAATGCCGTTCATCTCGCCGGCAATGGACTTGAGCGTGGTCGTGCAGCCGGCACCGGGAGGGCCGAGCACGACAAGCATCTCGCCCTTGCGGACCACGCCGTCGAAGTTGCGCAGAATGTCGATGCGGCGCTGGCCGCCACCGACGAGACGGCGCGCCAGGCCAGCCAGCTCCAGCCAGACGTTGAAAACATCCTTTTGGTAGTCCGTGGGCTTGCCGTAGCCGTAGACGTTCATGTTCTGGAAACAGACACCCGAGGTGCGGAACTGGTGGCCGTCCCGGGAGACCATGTCGACGACGGCCTTGGCCCAGGTGCGGCCGTTGAAGTTGTCGCTGGCCGGGTTGAGCGGCGAGTTGGGGTCCGACGACTCCAAAAAGACGTTGTGGCCGCCCGCGACAGCAGCCGAGGCTTGGGACTGGCGCGTGTACTGGCGGGCAAGCGACTGGACAGCGCTGTTGCGGCGCTCCATCTCGGCGTTGGCCTCGTGGTCCTCGGACTCCTCGTCGTCTTCGTCCCCATTGGCGCGTCCACCAGCGGCCACCGGCGGGGATGTCTCCTGGCCGGTGTCTTTGTCGGCGGCAAAGCCCACATCGCCGGTCTCGGTCACGGATGTGGATTGCGTGCCGGCGTCGTCGATGCCGGTCGCGCCAGGCACAACAGGCTCCGTTCCGACATTGGCCTCGTCGTCCTGTGTACGGCGGCGGCCGAGAGGCACGCCGCCGGTCTGGGCTGTGTGGTCGTAGCTCCCGAAGGAGCCCGTGCCCATAAACGACATGGTGATCTACTTAGAGGGCAGGCAAGGGCTGAGAGTTGTTGTCGTACACTCCTTGTCAATGCCGTAGTATTTGTCGTATTTGTCGTAGTTGTCGCAGTTGTCGCAGTTGTCGCAGTTGTCGCAGTTGTCGCAGTTGTCGCAGTTGCCGTTTGGTTTGACAGAATGGCACGCTTCTCTCCCTTCTCCTTGTGGATTCGAACACAAGACAAAAAGGATGTTCGACAATTGGGGAACCAAGGCAAGGAAGGGGCCGAGGAAAGATTAAATGGAACAAAGGAAAAGAAAGGGAACGGGGATAACCAAAACTAAGGAATAAAATAGGGACCAAAAAACAATAGCCCAGAAACACAGCCCGGGGGAACAGCAGGCAATGGCCCCGGAGAGTTAAGAAAATAAAGACTGTGATGTCGAACCCGAACACGAAGGGGTAGGGTTGTCTAGTAAACCCCGAGCCCGAGACAGTGGTGCGCTGGTGGGAGGCGAGCAAAAGAAATCTCGAGCCAAGAAGAAAGGGGAAAGAGGCCGTAGGAGGGCCAAGGACACAGCACCAAGCACCAGCTAGGCAATGCCACAGACGAATCGCGGTACACGCCAGCCAAGACGCGGCGATAAGTACGGAGTACCTTGACCACAGCAGCTGGTGTGGGATGGGGTGTACGCGAGAGCAACGGGATTAAGAAAGAAAGAAAGAAAGAAAAAAGGATCAGAGGCGACGGATTTTCGAAGTCCTTCAGGTGGCAGGCGGCCTGCTCACGGGCACGAGACGGGCAGGAACGATGCCGGAAGGAGCGAGCGACAGGAACCACGCCAGCAACGTATTGCTAGCACAGAAGCCTAAATCTCTCTCTGGCTTGGGGAGAAAACAACGGCTGTAGATACTATCTGCTCGTCCTATCCCATTCGCGACAGAATTGCAGGGTGTGCACGCGAGGTGGTATTGTTTGGCGCGATGCTTTGGTGTCTTTCCGGCATGCGACTTTGTTTTGTAGGGGGTAATACATTGTACGGTCCTTCCTTTTCTAATATGGATAACTTTCGTTGCCCAATAAGGCAAGAGCTTGTAAATGCCAACAACGCAAGTACAGCGTCCAGAGGAGCCCTGAATCGCTCACTACTGTCGTAAGCGAGCCAGTGGGGACAAGAGCTGCGCAGATTCGGCGCTGACCCGTTCTTTATTTTCTCGGTTGAAAAAATCAAACCTAAAACAAATAATTCGTACGCGGCTCCACCAAGCGGACTCCAAGAAGAGCCCGACGCTCAGAAACAAATCAAAACAAGAAACGGGACAGGGGGCGCTAACCGGAAGCAATTGTCGCCAATTGTGGGGAGTTCACTAAGATACTTTGTGGATGGGCGAAGTTGACGTGCACATGGAATATGTCGAGTATCTTCAGATCAGTATCGGCAGCGGGCCCTGTAGGAAGCCCTGATTCGACAAGTGCCGTGCCAGCGGAAGCGTAGAAAGGCCGAGACGGGCAATGGGATGCAACAGGTGCGGTTTACGGGCAGCAGCGGCACACGACCAAAAGAGTTGGAAATAGGCGAAGACTTGCGATGAATGAATAGGGAGACGAAGCCACGACGAGCCCTGCCGTAGTCACATCGGAAACTATCAGCACTAAAATAATTACATGTACGCATGCGTCGTAACATACGTATCTTACAACTACACATGTTAGGGGATAATCTTGCGTTCTGATGATACTCGGTGAGAATGGCAACGTAAAATCATAATCGTCGCCTAATTCGTAGAATCGCCTAAATTCACCAAAAGCAACGCCTTCGCCTAGCGAGCCTTGGGGCCTTGGCAAGCACCGTTCCGTAGCAACGCCAATCTGCCCTGCGCATCGCAGAAGAGTCCACTGCATCGTCAGCCAGGCTGGCCGCTGGCCACTTTGTTCAATGGCAGGGCTCTCGCTGCGCCTGGAAGGGTGGGACGGCTTGGGATGGGTATGGCGGAAAATAGACACTGTGGGGGTCAAAGTAATCTGCCCAAACTGTGGCGGCCACGTGCGAATTCCGCAGTGGATACCGTGTATAATACAGTACGAACACCGTAGTCCGTAGCGCCAGCCAATCAAATTACACACGCTGACAGGACAAGCTGACTTAGCGCATGAAAAGGCATCTGTCTCCACCCGAGCACCGGGATGCTACAGCATTTTGTTATTACGTTCTGGCCGCTAACAGGTATTATGTTACAGCGTGTTATTACGGCCGGCACCAGTTTCCTTGTCGCAACCACCTGCCCGTCAGCGCTGGCCAGGCCAAATATCTTGCATCGTTCAGAATACGAGCGCCCAGTCCCTGTGTTGGCTCGAAATACACCCCTTCCCCCTCTCCCCCAAAACGTCCTCTCCGCCTTTTCTTAGCCGCACTTTGTGCACGATCAAGGTGGTCGGTGAGTTTGGTTCAGCCGACTCGCCTTGGCTTCATTGATTTCATTGATTGCCAATGTTTTTTATTGAGTCGTCATATTCGTCTTATGCCAGGGTCAACGATTCTGACAATGGCCCATCAACATTGTCTAGATTTTACACCTTACCAAGACGTTCTCCTTTTTTTATCTTATTTTTGTTCGATAACCGGTTCGTCCCGTCTTTCGTTGATCTCTTGATTTTGACCAGTCTTCATGAGACTCTCTCAGAGACCAGCGACAATACTCGATGTTTATGGACTCGACGTCGCCCATTGTCTTCTGAATCTCTTGCAGGGCCTCTTCCTCTTCGTTGGCAGATCAATCACACCGTTCATGGACAGATAGTATATTACGCGTTTGAAGCACAACACGTGTAGGCAGGGGACGACAAAATGCCGTACAACGACACGCGGAACGCACAGAACGCACGGCTTCCAATCCGCCTTATTCCAGACGATCCGAAACAACAAGCCATACCCACAAACAGCCCAAGACGGCAGAGCCCAGCGACGTGAAACTCGTCGAGTTACCATCAAGACAACAGCTGAAAAACAAAACGCAGGAAGGTCTCGTTCGGCGCCGCGAGTAGCAAGAGTATCGCGTAACAATAGTGTAAAATGTCTCGACATATGCAGCACTGTATGCCGTACTAGCATCTTCAGTGCCTTCAGCGCCTACATTGTAATTACCGTGCGCTGGAGCAGCCCGGGTTTGTTGTCACCTGTACGCTCCTGTAGCTCCCTTTTGAGTTACTATGCGTGCATTTTAACACTTACGGGGATACGACGTCCTGTAAGATGAGGACTACTTCTAGAGGCCTTCAAATGTCAGGATTTGAGATCGTCGTCTGAACAGCTTCGTCAGCAGCCAAGAAGCCATTAAAAACGCAAGACTTGCAAAAGTACATGTCCCTGCCCTGTAGCGCCCTACCAAGAGGTCTACTTTGGAGCTGTCACAATAGACCGTCATGTTTTGCGTTTGTTGCCTAAGAAGGAATGTTAAGGCGCGTGCCCGTGACGGTAAGCTTAGCACATATCAGTGTGGTATTTTTGCCTGTCAGATGGCTCAGATGCCAAGGGTGTCAGGCAACAGAATTCCTTGCGAAGTCCGAGGAATTCCACCTGTTTAAATCCTATCTTACATTAGCATATGCCCAGCACCTTCGGAGTTTATTTAACTGCTGCTTTTCTCACGTAATATCGTATGAGAAAGGAAAGCACCCTCTCCAGGTATTGATATGCATCCTTCTGCTGGTAATCATTGCCCGAAAAATAATCAGAAATGAGTCAGACGACTTACGTATACATGGACAAGTGGCTCCCATACATCCTTGCTTGGCTTGATTCCCTCTCACCTGAATGGACCGTTAAAACAAGAAAGCGCCTGGTACTTGTCAATCTTGCCAATCTCAGACATGGTAAGCAACGTGCTTCCAAAACAAGATATGTATAAACATACACTTCAAATGAGACAGCGGAAAAGTAAAAACAAAAACCCCCTTACCGACATCCCGCAATATGATTCATGTTGTCACAGTTGTCTTGCAGACTAACCACATTCCATCGACGCTTTTGTTATTCTGTCGATCGCCTTGCGAGTCCTCCAACCCGAACCCTAACAGACAACACGTCCATTCCCTTAAAATTGATTCTGCTCCAGTTGGCTGGTTCAGGTCCATGCAAATGAATGTCAAGTTGCGTTGATATTCCACAAACATCCGTCAGTTGGGGGCACTAGAAGCAAAACGACTTACTTTTTTATCAAATGCTGCAATCATCCAGCCCTGACAGCTGTTCCCTGGTTGGCGCCCGCCTATTCATTATAATTGCCCCTTAGCCACATGCAAGACCCAGGCATAAGTTGCCCCAACTTTAGGGCTTTCGGTAGATCGGTTCCGCCCTAGATCCTATTTGCCAACGGTCACAGTTGCGGACAGTTGCCGGACCCCGAAATCCCAAAACGAACTTCAATGTCTAACATCAATGGCGTAACAAAGTGCCAAAATTGACGGCATTTCGGTTTATGCTGGATATACGGCCAGGCACATACGGCCAGGCACAACGATTCGGGCAGCGAACGAAGCAATTAAGCGTTTACCATTGTCAATCACAACGGCTCTCGATCTCCGTGCCTTCCGTCCACCGACCGGAGACTTATTGTTCTTGGCCTTCGGGGATATTTCAAACACTCCTAGCATTGGCCGGTCCGTATTCGTTTCGTGCATCCTATGGTGTACATCTTACGCCGTCTTTATATTCCCCCGGCAGTGCGCCAAGCGGAGAAGACGTGTCCTTTTTGTGACAAGTAGACGACGCAAATGGTATTGACAAATGCCAGGTTCTATTTATTTTGTTTTATTTTAGCCAGCGGCGGCCGATCCACGGACAAACAACTCTGATATTCGAAGTGGTTACAATGCCATCGTGTTCATTGACATTATTGAAAACTGTTTCGATCCCTGTAAAACCTCCGCATATGCTCGTTGCGAAGTAATACACCGGACCTTTCGACTCTTTGGTAACGATTTCGGAATGTCTACCATCCGAATATCAATGTGGGTCCATAGAGCCTGAGAGGCCACTTCAGAAAGTCATTGTTGGCCGCAGCACCCTTCCGAGTTCGTTATCCTTGGTGGCACTCTTCCCTGCACCTCCCCTGGAGTCCGCCCGTTAAGCGAGGTCGCATCCACCTTGTAATAACAGGTCAAGATGGGCCCGGCTATTGATAACGGGATAAAGGGGGAAGCCCCAAAGATGGGGGGAACAGTCTCCAGACTAAAAAGGAGTCCATTCTTAGTGAAGAAGCTAGACATCTCCCAGGCGGTAGTCTATGTATTTGACAACGCTCTTGAACGGTAGTTGGCGAACACAATCACGTCCTTGTACATAGTAAGATAAACCTCATGCTACATTCAAAGGATTAAGGGCATTGGAAGTAGATTTTGTTAAGGTTAGCCTATTAGATTTCCAGAAAAGTATCCGGCCTTTCTGGTTGCCTGGCTTCTGACTTAATCTTGGTTGCCTACTAGGATCATCTTACTTTATGTCCGGCGTGCATTTTTATTTTTACTTTTGAACATATTCCTTTTCTCGGGGATATTAATAAGTGTGGAATCACGAAGGATGGCATTTTCTCTTTAGTTGCTGAGATGGAGTCCGGAGTGCCGGGGCAGGATTCAAGTGCGGTGGATTCAAGTGCGGTCGATCGGGTCTCAAACCGTTGCGCAAGACCCGTCGAAATTTACCGGAAACTACGTGATGCCCACTTCCCTCATCCAATTTCTCTTTGTATGTCCCATTCATCTTGCGACTCTGCTTTGAATGTCACCAAAGGATGCAACTCGACACGACAAAATACAAGACTACTTTCACCCGGCGAAGAAGTTGGGGAGCAAGCTATCGTTCTCTACTTATGCTCGGAGGAAGCTGGAAGGTATTTGACAATTGTCGAGCTAGTTTTATGAGATTCGGAACCTGGTATCAATCACACCCGACCGTGGTAAATAAAAATATCACACGGAGAATGTGTTTATATACATTAAATTTGTACTGTCCTTCGGTTTTGTGTTTTTGTTTGTTCCATGTAAAAAATCACAAATAATAACTCTAAATACATCATACCGAATATTTACTCTGAAATAAACAATGTTTTGGGATACAGAATATAAATATTAAATTGTATTAAAAGTTATACAAGAAGGGCGATTATTAAGAAAAGAACGTCATGAGATATACAAAGCATATGAGAAAAAAACAATACACCAGCAGACGATTCAACCAAATTCGCCACCTGTGTAAAAATGAATTCACGTGTATAAATATTGAATATGACTTTTGTGCTTTTAACAATGCTCTACACTATGGAAAGAAGGAAATATACAGAGAAAACAGACAAAGAGGTATCTTAGGTATAGTCGTATGACAGCACCACAGTGCATTCTGCAAGGCTATCCAACACCCAACGCTGGTCATGCTATGCAAAGGTAAAATACACGCAAAAAGTGAAACCACATAACCGTCATATTCAGGCCTCAATTGACTTCACCTGCATCTCCGACTCAAACTTGGTGGCCCAGTCCGTGAACGCGTCGCCCGGAGCCTCTCCTGATGGCGGTGTCCATGGTCGAGAGAGCTGACGCGATACTGTCACGGCCGCTTCCAAGCACTGGCCCAAGACGGTGTCTACTTCGCCGGCGTCCAACTTGTAGAACGCTGCCGCCAGATCCTCGAAACGGTTAGCCACGGTCTGCAGCGCGGCGACGGCACCATCGAGTCGTGTCGCGACATGGCCTTCCGGTGTCGGGGTAGGCAGTGCCGGCAGCGCGGGCTTGGTTAGCCGTCGCTTGACGATGGCGCGGCACAGCAGCAGAACGAGCCGGATCTTCTTGAGCGCTGTCTCGAGCCGCGGCCGCAGGCCGTGGGGATCGTCGGCAGGGATGTGGCGTGTGTTCATCAGGGCGTCGAGCATGGCCTGCGCGGCTTCATTGTCGTTCAGGGCCCCATCGCCGTTGCCGCCGTCCTCGTCGTCGTCGTAGCCGCTGTCCGATACGTTTGCATCGTCCAAGTTGGCGCCCTCGCCGCCGTCGTCGATGTCGTCGTCGCCCTCCTCCTCATCGCCCCACTCCCGAAGCTCCTCCTGCTCGTCCTTGAGCTGGTCGGCCAGTTGGTTGACCACCTGCACCAGGTACCCGTCGATGCCCCGGTTGGCAAACGCGACGAGTGCGTCGCACTCGGCCCACAGGATGCCGATCTTGGTGTAGCTGCCACGGTCCGCCATGGCCTTGGACTGCGTCCGGCTGCTGCTGCCGCCGCTGCCGGCACCGCCTACGCGCTGCGCCTCGGGCACGACGCGGCCGTCGCGCGGGATGGCATTGAGAAGGTGCTGCGTTTGCTCGAGCACGCTGGCGCACCGCCGGGCCAGTTCTTGCCGCACGTGGTTCGTGTATCGGTCGCCGTAGCACTCGGAGGCAGCGGTCGCGAGGGACACGAGGGGCGCGCCCATTTCAGTGACGACCTTTTGGATAGCAGAGGGTGTAAAGGGCTCGTTGATCATGAGCAAGGAAATCTTGGTGCCGTGGGCGCGAGCGAGGGTTGCGGCGTCACGGGCGAGGCTGAGGGCTTCGCACTTGGATGGCGGGTCCCAGGCGACAGAGGAAGAGGACGCGGAGGCGTCTGATGAAATCAGTGTCTGTGCAATCGCCTCCTTTTGCCTCCTGGCGTCGGCATATACGTCTCGGACGAGAACAAGCATCTGTGCAATCAGCTCAAGCGCGCTGTCGATCTTTGTGTTGAGGGCCACGACGGCCGCGCTGTCGACAGCAGCTTTTGGTGGCGCCATGGTTCGGAAGCCGTGTATTCTAGGCAAGGATCGTGTACTGCAACAAAGTCGTGGCTCTCCTGTCTGTCGCGCCAAAGTGGTGGTGATGCTTTCGTCGCAGGAAATGCTTCCATGTCGTTGGCGATAAGCACTGAAATTTTACGATAACAGCGGGGGATATGCCCTGGCCGTAGCTTGAGGGGTGCGCTAGCCTGCTCTGAGGCCATCTCTCATCGTCATATTCCAGTGGGTGGATGCCCACGTGATTGCCTCTCTGCAGCAACTTGGCCAATGGAGCGTGCCAAAAGGGACAGCTTGGTCTTTGGCCGCTTTGGTGTTCGTTTTGCATTTGGCGTCTCAAATTCACCCTGTCTCCAGTGCCGTCTTGTTTTTGACGCCCATTCCTTTTCGATTTCTTTGTATTGTTTGTTTTACCTGTTGGTTTTTCTCTCTCTCTCTTGACACCGACTACCTCGCTACGCCCCATGAAAACGAACGCAGAATCGACCTAAACGAATCTCACGATGCGGCAAACAAGGGCCCTTCTGCTGGCCGGCGCCTTTGCCAGCTCCAACGTGGCCATTGCAGCTAGCCTTCCGCGAGGCGTGAGCCCAGAATGTACGTGGATCAGGATGCCAGTGCGGTGGTGATGAGAGGTTGATGACAGCTTGGTACAAGCTGTTCGTGGGCGGCGGCTGACATTTTGTGTTTGTTTATTTTGTTCTGCAGTCGCCAAGTTCTACGAAGCAAAGAGCAAGTTCACCTGCATCACCAACCCCAGCATCGTTCTCGACATTGCCCAGGTCAACGACGGCTCCTGTGACTGCCCCGACGGCTCGGACGAGCCTGGCACCGCCGCCTGCGCCTATCTCGACCCCCTTTCGCCGCCGCAGCCACTCCCAGGTTCGCCCTCGGGCACTACCAACACAACACCCGCCCTGCCCGGTTTCTGGTGCGAGAACGCCGGCCACGTCGGCGCGTACGTGCCCTTTTCCTACGTCAACGACGGCATCTGCGACTACGAGCTGTGCTGTGACGGCAGCGAGGAATACGCGCACAAGGGCGGCGTCAAATGTGCAAACAAGTGCGCGGCCATTGGCAAGGCGTTCCGCAAGGCCGAGCAGGAGCGGCAGCAGGGCCAGGAGCGGGCACTGAAGCAGCGGCGGGCACTGGTCCAAGAGGCGCGGCAGCTGCGCAACCAAGTAGTGGAACGGATTGCCAAGTTCCGGAGCGAGATTGTGGGCCTGGAGAAGACGCGTGACCGGCTGCAGCGGGAGCTGTCCGAGACGGAGCGTGCCGAGCGCGGCAAGGTGGTCAAGAATGGCGGCAGCGGGCCCAAGAAGGGCAGCAAGTTGAGCCTGCTGGTGAGCCTGGCCAAGCAGCGCGTGGACGAGCTGCGCGAGACGCTGGACAAGGTGCTGGACCACCGGGACGACCTGCAGGACAAGGTGGACGAGCTGGAGACGATCCTGCGCAACTTCAAGGAGCAGTACAACCCCAACTTTAACGACGAAGGTGTCAAGTCTGCCGTGCACGCGTGGGAGGACTACGCGGCCAAGACGGCCGGCGAGCAAAAGACGGAGCTGAGCGACGTTGACGTCCATGCCGTCCTCAAGGAGGACTCGGAGGAGAACGGCGTCAACTGGAAGGCGTTTGAGACGGACGACGCCAGGGACACGGATGTTTGTAGGTTTTGGTTTTATGTTGTTGATGTCGTTTTGCATCGCTTCCGGGGTCTATTATGTTGCCCTTTACTAATGCACCCGTTCTGCAGTGTACAGTTTCGAGGCATATCTGCCACCGTCTGTGCGCCTCTACCTCCACGACAAGCTGGCCGCCCTCCGCGTGTGGCTGGTCGAGAGCGGCCTGTTGGCCGACAACAGCGACGCGTCCAACGAGTCGCAGGCTCTGAAGAACGCACGCGGCGCATTGCAGAGCGCCGAGAACGACCTCAGCAGTCGCCAGAACTCGCTCCGCGAGGACGAGGCCGACCTGACCAAGGACTACGGTGCCGACGAAATTTTCCGGGCGCTCAAGGACAAGTGCACGACGACCGAGGTGGGCGAGTACGACTACGAGGTCTGCTGGCTCGGCCAAGCCACGCAAAAGTCCAAAAAGGGCCACGGTAACACCAGCCTGGGCCGGTTTGAGCGTGTCGACACGGAGGTGGCGGACGAGGAAGAGCGCACCGACGGCAAGAGCCTGGGCAAGGGCCCGCGCACGGTGCTGCGGTACGAGAACGGCCTGCACTGCTGGAACGGCCCCAACCGGCGGACGGACGTCTGGCTGGGCTGTGCCGAGACGGAGGAGATCTGGCGCGTGACGGAGGCCGAGAAGTGCGTCTACAAGATGGAGGTGGGCACGCCGGCTGCCTGCAAGGAGTCGCCCAAGGCTGCCGACACCGGCTCTGGAAAGGACGAGCTGTAGAAGCGACGTGCGCTGTGCCGCCCTGTTTAAGATAGAAGGCGATGTGCTACGTTTGCATGTCGACGAAGAATCTGGCGTATATGTATGCTTGTACTTTCCCCCCAGGAGTGGGTGCTATATAGCATTTACAAAAATATGATGCAATGTTTCAAACTTTCTCTCCTTTTTGCTTTCCTTTTGCTACTATTTTGGCTCTTATATCATCCATGGGTATCGTTATCGTTTATTGTACAAAAGTCTCGGCTGTGCGTGGGTATGCCGCCAGTCAGAGCTACCTTGACTCGGCCAGCTTTCTCTGTCGCTGGAGCGCTTCCTGCTCGGCAAGCACCTTGGCCGTCAGCGAGGCCGTCATCGAATTGTTAATGCGGCTGGCAATGCCGTTGGAGTCGGCACTGGCAGCCTTGTCCTTCTTGTTCTTCTTGGGAGCAGGCGCACCATCTGCCTTGTCGTGCCCCTCATTTGCGCCGTTCTTCTTGTTCCCGGACTTGTCGTCACCATCACCATCTCCATCTCCATCAGCGCCCGCTTTCCGCTTGTTCTTCTTGCTCTTTTTGTTGCCACCGTTGCCCGCGTTCTTGTCCTTCTTGAGGCTGTGTGTCAGTCCCTCGGCTCGCAACGTGTCCATGCGCGTCCGCAGCTTAGCCAGCTCAGCCTTCTCGGCGGGCAAAATGGGCACGACGTGGGCAGCCGCGAGGGCCGTGCTGCATTCGGGGCACAGCTTGTCCGGCAGGATGGTCTCGATGGCCAGGTCAGAAAAGACGTGGCCGCAGGGCACGACGTACACGGCCTTGCTGCCGGGGCCGAGCTCCTTGAGCGTTACGGGACACTGCCAACGAGTGGTTGTAGATTTGGAGGATGCCGGCTTGTAGGGCTTGCCGTGGAGGCGCACGACGTCGCGGATGGAGCGGATGCCCGTGTCGGCAAACGTCAGGTCGCGTGCCGCAGTCTCATTGTCGTCGCTGGACTCCTTGGGAGTGTCGCGTTCCTGGTCGTCGCTGCTGGCGCTCGGCATCAGGCCGTGCAGCACCGTCTCGTAGTTGTACAGCCGCCCGCGCCAGTCGGATACGACATTGTCAAGATCGATTGGATCGCCACTGACAGGGTCGTTTTGCCATGCGTGCGTCAGCGCCTCCAGCGCCGTCGCCTTGAGCTCCGATATTGTTGGGAGCCGTGCGGCGTTCTTTACCAGCTCCCGGCGCGTCGGGATCGAACCGCCGTCGTTACCCATGGGAGTGGCAGAATAATATAGTCGCTCGTGCAGATTATGTAATGCGGCGCGGGTTGTGAAGATCGTGGGCCGGGATAGCTGTCGATGAATCGTCCATGTTGAGGCTGCAGCAAAGTAGGAAAATGCGTGGCGACAAGATTGAGATAAGATAGTGAGAGTTCAGTGGCAAATATGTCGTACAGCGTCGCAGATTTTGTCTCAGCGTACCGTCAATCGCGCTAACTATAGCGCCTAGATTCGATAACAGTGCGAAATACAGCAGTAATCTAGGGGTTGCGAATGCTCGTCCCAGCACAACATAACAACGCTGTCACCAAATTCAGTCGAATAGGCCAGACGGCCTTGGCCGGTCGAGCATTTCTTTCCGTCGATACGTGGGCAGTTGGACGACTCTCACAATTTAATGATGTTACAAAACGACGATAAAGAAATGTGAGGCCGCAGTCAGCACCACTCAGCCCAAAACATGGGCAAGACGATCATCCTCGCCGGCGCGCCAGACGCCGCCTCGCTGGACTGGTCGACAGTAGAGGAGACGGCCGTTCCGGAGACAATATGGCCATGGGAGGCCGGTATCAATACCACAGACGTTGGTCCACATAGTCACCCCGCGTGGCGCGTTGTGCCGGCCCATGTGCCCGGCGCGGCCCCGCCGGAGCGACCGCAAACTCGTCCGGCGCTGGAGACTGCGCAGCCTCGTCTCGGGACGGAACAAATCGAGCAGCCACAGGCCACGAACGACAGCGTCCGGCACTTGTACGGCCGTGCTGCGTTCCTTGATCTGACACAGGTGACCCAAGAGTCGACCCAACCGTCGACACAAGACGATGCACAGGACACCGGTAGTCGTGCGCCCTCCTCGCTGGACGAGGCATCTCTTTCGTTCCGTCTGCCCAATGCTCTTCCTCAGACGTCGCCTCAGCCGCCTCCAATGCCATCACTGCCGCCGTTGCCTTCACGACCACCGCAGACAGCAGCCTTCGCCTTATCCCAAGAGTTCATCGAACACTCGCTGGCTGTGCACGATGCACTGCCGTCGTCCCTGCCGGTCTTTGACCTGCCTGCCGTGTACGAGACGGCGGCCAGCTTCGACGAGACGACCATGTCTCTGTCTCTCTCGCAGCCCGAGCCGCTCTCGTTTTCGGCTTCACGCCTCCCGCCGCTTCCAGCCGACATACCCCGCTGGCAGCCCCTAACACACCTGGCCGACGTGCCCAGCGCGGCGTACCTGCGGCGCATGGCACCGCAAACGGTGACGGTCAACCTTGTGGTGGCCATTGTGTCTGTGGGCGTGCCTCGGGTGGTCGGCAACAACACCAACAGTCGCCGTCGGGACCGCCCGCCAACGTCCCTGGTGGAGCTCGTAGTCGGGGATGAGACACGATCCGGGTTTGGCCTGACCGTCTGGATGGATGGAGCGCAGTCGGCCGGCCCGGCGTCACTGGCGACGCTTCTTCCGACACTGGCACCCCACGATGTCGTTCTCTTGCGGCACGTTGCGCTCCACGTTTTTGGCGACAAGGTGTATGGAAGCAGCCTGCGCAAGGACCAGACCAAGGTGCACATTCTGCACCGTGGCGGCCTTCTGCAACCGGAGCCGGCACACGATGCACTCTTCTCGTCAGCCCATCTTGCGGCAGCGGCGCAGGTGCCTGCCAGTACACAGGCCGGCTCCTCCTACCCGGCTGACCTGCAGCTTCTTGCCAAGACGGCCCGGGTACGCAACTGGGCTCTGCGGTTCGTTATCGTCGATCCTGTCAGTGTACGTGACCGTGGTGACGAGGGCGCTGATGGCAGCGCGAGCCTGGGTGCGGTTGGAGATAAAGGGCCTCGGCCACAGCAACGGCTGGCATGGATGATGCCGCCCGCCGATACGCAGTAAGTCTGCGGCTAATGTCCGGCTTTGGTGATATGACGTGGCTCAATATGACATGGTTCCAAGTGGGAAAGACGAAATTAAACCAAAACAAATCCAATGGTAATTGAGACAGATGCTAAGCAAAATAAGTCTGCGCGTGAAATCCAAGTATGTTACGCAACGTATAATCATTCTGGGCAACATCAATACCCATCTCCTTTCTCCCACACCTCTCCCCTTAGATGTAGTACATGTCGCGGCGCACGTCAGGGTGCACCTGCGGGAACACCCGGTCCGCCGGGTCCGAATCTGACCCCTCCATGGCCTGGTTGAATAGCTTGCTCTGGTACAGCCGTGCCCGCGTGCACACGAGGTCTGCATAGTATGCCGGGGGGCAGATGCTGACCGACTTGGTCGCCCGGCTGAACAGGTAGCACATGTTGTACGTAATCTTCTCGAGCTCGCCCGTCGACATGCTGGGGTCGCCGCCGCGGCTCTGGAAGATCTCGTCGTAGATCACCGTGTACCGTGCAGGGCGTGCTGTTCCCTGGATAGCCGTGTGTGCCGTGAGGAAGAAGTCCCAGTAGCGCTGCAGCGTGATGCCGCGGTCCACCACCGTGCCGCATTCAATGTTGCCCGATCGGGACATCTCTTCCGCCTTGGTCGGGAAGAAGCGTGTGTTGTGCCGCTTCACCGAGATGACAATCGTAATTTTCGTCTTCGACTGGTCGACGCTCTTGAGCGCCGTCTTCATCTTCGGCAGCTCGGTGTCCAGTACCTGCTCGAACTGTCCCTCAGAGACGCCGTCGCGGTACACCAGAATATTGTCCGGGTACGCACCGTTGTGCTCGCGCCAGCGCTCCAGACGAGACTTGAAAGCCTCGGTCAGTTCATCCGACGTCATTTCCTGGCGACCAGTCTGGCTCCACTGACACGCCGGCCACTGGGCGAGGTCTTTGTCGATACTGGCCACGAGCCCGACATGGCTGGGCAAGTCCTGCACATCTTTGCCGGCGCCCAAGTTCGTTGGGTGGATGATGTCGTACCCAACGACCATGGTCTTGCCCTTCGAGATGATGCCGAGCTTGTCCGGCTTGTCGAGTCTGTGGTTGACGCCACCGAGCTTGAGGTTGAATTTGAGTGCCACGTTTGCGAAGTATTGAGCGTCATTTCTAGTGAACTTTTGCGATACTACGCACACCGAGTGAATGCCAAACACCGTGTCACCGAGCAGCTTGATGCGCTCGTACACGTACTTGTCGTTGTCGGCCAGAACAAACAAGATGATCTTCGGCTTGGGTGCGCTCTGGACAGCACGCCGGAATGCGGCATCAATCGCACCGTCTTTTCCGTCGAATGTGCGCGTGTCGAACATGCTGTAGTCTCCCTGTCGGCCAAGCTGAAGCGGCGCCTCACTCACTGGCACGGCAAGTGCCTTCAGTGAGGTCATGAATGAGTCCATGGCTAATCTCACGTCACCACGAGATCCGGGCATCTCGTAGTACGCCCACTTGACGTTACTCATATTATTTGAGCCGCCCTGAGCCAGCTCGCGCGATGCCAGGTTCCAGGAACCGCGCTGCGGCGCCATCTTGAACTTCTTCCCGTAGACCAGATCAGGGGCAGGCAAGACTCTGGCGTCGACCGTGATAAGCTTGTCGCCGACTGTGATGCGGTAGTCCCTGAACGAGGCGTCGAGGTTGTCCAGTTGGAGAGCCTGGCGGCCGACACTCACAATGGACTTGGCATTCAATTCGGGCCGGCGGGGTATCATCGCCAGACAGCTTGCGGTTCCAAGGCTGTCCAGGTAGCAGAGAGCACCACGAGGCCGGATAGAATACGGGATTGCTCTGACTCCTGCCAACATTAACGGCAATCGTATCCGCAAGGTTGCCCGCGTTAAATTCTGGCAGCACATGTTAGCAAAAAAACACGTATTCGACCCCCAGTCACTGAACTGGCGATGAAAACTTACTGTCCTTCAAGTAGTCCCGGACAGTGATCTGCTTGCCTGTGGGCTTTTGCGCAGCAGTCTTTTTCCCGCCCCTCTTCTTAGACGAGCCCGTACCAGGCTCGTTCAGTGTGAAAGTGAAAGTGACCTCGCTGATCTTCTTGAACCGGGTCTCGCCATAGCCACCACCACCGCCGGGCTTCATCACAAAGCCAGACACGGTGTACTCCTTGTGGGACAGGTCCGGGTAGGTGATGCGGACGCGCGCGCCCTTCAACGACTGCTCAAGGTCGCGGAAATGGCAGTCCCGGAAAAGCTCAAAGAACGGCCGCTCCCGGGAGGAGCGGAATACGCTGTGAGTGACGTTGACATTGAGGAGCAGCCGCCCTGTAGAAGGCCGTACGCTCTGGAAGTAGCCGCGCAGAATCTCGAGGGGCCGCGACCGATGGAAAAGCTCGGCCTCTCTCGTCTCATCGACTGGGAAGAAGCGACTGCGGCCGACGGCCACTGTGCGTGGGTTGTCCTCGTGGAGGTTGGAGCCACCCATTCGGGGGCCATGGCCCATAATAATGCCAATGACATCCATCAGATTTTGGAACTTGGGGAAGCTCAGATCTTGCGCGTCGCGCCCGTCGTGCATGGTGCTAAGCCACGTCCGGAGACTGTCCAGGTCGAGTGTGTGCGGCCCATCCAACTCCACTTCAAAATGGTCGCCGTCAAAATGGGTGTCCTTCAGCCGATCGATAGTTTCCTGAGAGATGCGCTGGAGCGTGATTAACTTGCTTTGAAGCTCGGTCCGGGGTGACAGTCCTGGCACGTCCAAGTCTGTCCCCAGAATATGCTTAAGTATCTTGCGCAAAAACGGCCCTTTGATCTTGGCGCCCTGTTGGCTGGTGGCAGAAGTGCTTGCGTTGTCATCCGAAGGCGGCCGCCCCTTGTGCACATGGAACGTATAAAGAAATAGAGATGGCATTTTGGCGATGCCCAGCTCAAAGTAGTTGGCCCAAACCTCGATTGGCTTGCCCTCGCGGCCGTACGACGGCCGATGCGGGAAGCGGAACCTGTCTGTGGCCGCCGATGCCTGCTCCCTGTTGCCCAAGGAGGTTTTCATAAGCTGGTCCTCGAGCGTGACGATGCTCTGGTCAGGGTGTGGGGTTGCCTCGTTTTGGTACCTTCAAGTGATGTTAGACTCGAAAGCCGAATGTGCGTTCGCTGTCCAGGGTAAGGGGGGCAGATACTCACGCAAAAGGCCCTGTGATCTGACTGCGGCTACCACCTCCACGACCAACGTAACCGCCACGGCCGCCTCGACTACCGCGCATGCTGACATCGAACTGGCCGCCGCCGCCGCGCCCTCTGTACCCGCCCCCGCGGTCACCTCCGCCACGTCCACGGTCACCTCCGCCATGGAAGTCTCCACGATGACCACCGAGGTCACTACCCCGGCCTCGGCCACCTTCACGACTACCACGATCGCTGCCACGATGTCCTTCTCCGCCCCTGCCGCCTCTACCACCGCCCCTCGCAGGTGCATGCCCGCCTACATCGACTGATGGGTTGCTTGTTTGTCCGCCTCCACCTCCTCGACCGCGGCCTCGGCGACCACCACGATCACCACGGTCACCGCCTCCACGGCCACGTCCCCGGCCTCGCGCGTCATCGGCCATATTTGGATATGCTCTCCGTCGGCTGGGATGTCTTGTGTGCGAATTGGTGTCTTGTGAATAAATGTGAGGATCTACTTTAAAGACGAGTTGAACCGGTCGTAGTGAACGAAGCTTTGTAGTTGGAGAGGCGTGTGGACGTTTTATGACATGACGACACTTCGATACCGAAGCAGCTAGCTGTTGTCAAGCTCCCTCTTAAAACAAGCTGGCTCCGCTTTATTGGGGAGCTATCGACGGTAGTGAATTGGTCGCGTCCTTTGCAACTGTTGGGGAAAGGAAGGGATGAGTTCGCTTGGCTGAGATTGGCATGTGAGCTAGCCTTCTCGGGCTCTAGACTCCTCCATTCTGGATACCACAGTGTCTCGGTGCTCCTTAGGCGTGTTTCCGGGCTCACCTTTGGGTGTTCAATTGAGGTCAGCCGGGCTGCGAAGCTGGTGGTTCATCAATTTTGTTTGCCATTGCGTGTCACAAGTCGTTTGTCGTCTCCGAGCCGAGTGTCGTACCCGCAGTCTCTCCCGTTTTATGAGGTTGTCGGGCTCGGTGAAGACAATTCCCAGGTCTGGAAACACGTACCAGCCGTCAGCGCGACTTGTGTTTCTTTGCCAAATGACCAGGCGCTTTTCGTGGTTCGTTTTCAGAAAACAACACAGGGGTTGGGATGTTGGGATATGCTCACCGCTGATTTTGTTTACAGTTGAGGTGTGGTTCTGCAGGGTGCCCCGGATTATGTCTGCTTTTGCTTTGACCTTAACGGCCCACATCCTTCAAGGGAGAGTACACAAAAATGATTCAATAGAGGTGCACATGGTGACGCACACACTCAAAGAAGTCTGACTGATGTGCCTCCATTGTTGTGACGATGGCAGATTTTGTCGCGTGTATCGCATGCGGTGCTCCCCAGCAACGATAACGATGGCTCGCAACAGACCACTACTTTGGAGAAAGGGTGCCACATATGGTGAAGCAAGCGGAGTTCGCAAAGTCAGACAATATGCTATGGAAAGAGATGGAAGTGAGAGAACATAACCGTTTTGTGATAATATCAAATAGGGGAATAGTTTCAGTGAAACGCTGAACAGACGGCAGTCGTCAAGGGGTGGCTCTTTCCTCGCGCTGCCGCATAGGATACTACGATTTACATTTTGACACAACCTGGTTGTTCTTTCCAATTGTGACAGCGCCACTTTTAATCTGTGCCATGGTCAACAAGGCAGGAGCAGACATGATATCACCTCACTTGTCAAGCCATTGTATCGGCTGTTTAGAGGAAAAGTTATACGCGCGGACGAATGCGCTTGCTATGGCTCTTGTTACAAGTAACAAACGGAGTTCTCCAGAGGAAAACCATGTGACAATACAATTTGACGAGGTACAAGTGAAGGCCTAATATGGTTTTATTTTTTTTTCCTATGAACGCTGCATATTTTTTATAGGGCCAAGTCCAGTAAAAAAAAAAAAAAAAAAAAAAAAAAAAAGAAAAAAAGAAAAGAAAAGAAAATCATGCGCTGGCATTTCCCATGTAGAATTGGTTCTTCTTGAAATGTCGATATATCCAAAACGGCAGCATCGTTTTATGTCCAGCGTATGATTTTGACGTGCTTGTGTTAGTTGCCCTTGCCGAGAAGAACCAGATTCGCAATGTTCAAAACCGTGATGAATATCCAGATCGCAAGACCCAGGATGGCCGTGGGCCACGAGTTGGCCATCTTGGTAGGGGCCTCGTTGCCACGAGGGTCACCCTCCTCGCCGTCGGGAGTGCCTTGGTTTTGGTTTACATTGCCAATGTCGCTCGTACTGCTCGCTGTCTTGCGGTACCGCACACGCAGCGCAAAACGGGCGGCACCGGGCTGCACGGTCATGTACTTGTCAAACGATGTGAACCAAAGCAGAGGTGCTGTGACAAACGGAAGCACAATGCTCAGCACAACCTGCGAGGCGTTGAGAGCGGCGTCCAGCCCGTCGCGCCCAACAGCACCCGCAATGACGATGCTCGGCAGGATGCTAATGGACCGCGTCAGCAGGCGCCGTAGCCAGGGCGCAATCGTCCACTGCAAGGCGCCTTCGCAGACCATCTGGCCAGCCACGGTGCAGACGACACCGGCCGAGAGGCCGGACAACAAGAGGGCAAGCGCAAAGACGAAGCCAGCCGCCTTGGACAGCGTATTCGACAGGAGTTCGTGGACAGCAAAGATGTCGGCACCCATGGCGATGGTGTTCTGGTAGAGCGCAGCACCAGCCACGATGAGAATGGCCGAGTTGACAAAGAGGGCATAGGTAAAGAGCGAGACGGCGACCTCAACAACGGAGTACTTGTAGCAGTGGCGGATGGCCCGCAGCGAGGGGATGTACGTGTGCGTTTGGGACCGGTCCTCGGTGTGCTTCTTGGCAAGGTAAAAGTGCTGCCGAAGGGACGAGAGGGTGCGGTTGCCATGGTGGCCGTTGTCGTTGTCCGATGCTTCGTCATCAGCCTCGCGCTCGACCACCTGCGGTTGCTGGTCCTCCTCGGGTGGAAGGAGCCCGCATTTTTCGTCGTACTCGCGAAGCCGTGCCTGCACAATGCCCGAGCCCAGATACAGGCTGTGAGGCATCACCGTGGCTCCCAAGATGCCGCATGCCTGGTACAGGCCCTGCTGCTCAATGACGGCTGCCGATGGCAAATAGCCGCGGAACACCTCGCCGACACTGGTTGTGGTGTGGTCAATCAGGGACAGCTGGATACAGAAGCAAATGACGACGCCGAGCACCAGTGGAACGACAATGAGCTCAAAGGCGCGCAGGCCGCTGCGTGTTCCATTTTCAGGTTTGCAGAAGAGGAGCACAATGAACACATCGATAATGGAGATGGCGCATCCGGCCACGAGCGGGATCTTGGGCTGCAACAGGTTCAGAGCAATGGCCGTGCCGATGACCTCTGCGATGTCGGTGGCGATGATGGCGACTTCGGCAAGGATGTACAGGCTAATATTGAGCCAGCGCGGAAGGAATGCGCGGCAGGCGGCAGCAAGGTTGCGGCCGCTGACGGTCCCCAGCTTGATGCACATGCTCTGCAGGTAAATGGCAAAGCAGTTGCTCATCAGCACGACGAAAAGCAGCTTGAAACGGTACGAAGCACCAGCCGCGATGTCAGTCGAGTAGTTGCCGGGGTCGACTAGAGACAGTTAGAGATGCCAATATACACGTATATATACAAATACGATGGGCCCAGACAACAAGTACATACTGTATGCGACAGACACGATGAAGCCCGGTCCGATAAATCGAAAAGCCGTCTTAAGACTAGAGACGACCTTCCAGAAGGGACCCTGGCGCCGGTTTCCGTCGCCTTGTCCACCCGCTTGGAGTGCCCCACCGCCGCTGTTGGGCGGAACACTGCTTTGGCTCGGCCGTCGCGCCGAGGCCACGGAGTCGACCCGGGTGGTAATCGGCCCCGCAGCGGCTGTCTTCTGGTAGCCGGGGTCGTCTGGATTGTCGACAGCGATCCCGAATCGATTTGTTTCTCCAGGAAGACCGGCCTGTAGGTCGTGAGGGGAGACGGAGCGTCTGAACCGGCGGGAATTGGCCGTGCCGTTGAGGTCCTCGTTGGTGGTGAGGTCATTCGACAGCTCATTGGGGCTTTGGTTCAGGCCATCGCTGCGCGGCGGCTCGTCGGTGCGTGACGGGCGGTTCATGATGAGGACAGTCCAAGGAGCGAACAAGCTGTTGGCAAGGAGGGTGGTTATTGAAACTGTGTTTTGCGGTGCGACCGTGTTCGAGAAATGAGCAGACAGAGGAATGAGAAGGACGAGAGACACTTCGACAAGGGGCGGCAGTGGTTTATCACACAAGTGATGCGGGCGTGGTAGACGACGAGAGAGTCAGCCAACAACGTTGGAAAAAGGTTGGAAACTGGCTAAAAGTCACGATGACGATGCCCTGAGGAAGGAGGTATTGTTGCTCTTTCCTCGCTAGTGCAAGAATGCAGGTGAAGAGATAAAACGATCGGGTCGACAAAAGAATGCAAAGTTACGCCGCAAGGTTTATCAATAAAAGACATACGTCGTGAGTTGTAGCAATTGGGAGCCGAGAACGGCAAACTACAGCGGAATCTTCCGATGGGGCTGTTACGAGGTGAGAAGTACTTCTAGACACAAAGAGTACGAAAAATAAAATAGAATAATGTTCTGGTAGGAGAGTCGACGATGAATAAATTTTATTCGATAAAAAATTGATAAAATGAATTTAGTGCATGGAAAAGGGAAGGTGGCAAACGGTGACGGGAGTTGCCCGGTGTTATTCGCCCTCGACTTCCCTGTACGGCGACTGTGAGAGCGCCAATAAGGAGTGCTCGACACCCGGCCACCTGTCTTCCCGGCACGGTGCACTGAGAATTTTACACCGAAACAGGGCGAAGAGAGAAAGGGACGGAGGCCAGGCGGCCACCAGAGAACGGCGAAGCAGCCCTCTGATCGTTGATCAATTCAGGACGAGTCGGCTACGTCAGAGTGCTGGCGGCATCGACGAGAGGAAACAGCCACAAAAGCTGCGCACTTTTGAGCCTTTTCCATGCCCACTGCGGCCTCAAAAGTAGCACGCAGTCGCTTGCAGTTTGCAGTTTCGACAACTATCCCCTATTCTGGAAATTTCTGTGCGAGCTGATCCCACCGCATGAGAGAATGGCATGATAGGAGCCGCTCAGCGGGTATTACTTGCCACTAGGTTGGCCGTGTGGGTTTTTGTTTTATTTTGTTTTTCCATTTTTCTGCATCGGCGAGCCTGGCCGATATGCGAAAAGGCGACCGTCATGGCCCATCAAGGTGTACGTCGTATCATATAAGGCAGTGGGGGATCAGATAACAGTCTTTTTCAATGTCCCACTGACCAGCTGGAACCAGATTCGCGTGAGCGCGAATATAGGACATACGAGGTAGACTTTTACCAGCGGCCGTATTATGCAAGCTGGTCTAGCGATGTTGAATTTTATCTACAGTGAACAGAGCACTTTCGATCTCTCCTGTCTCCCCTTTTGCAATTCCCTTGGACAAGTCCTATTCGCCAACCTCATGTACTTTCGTTCGATGGGAGCGAGTTTCTGGGATCATTTGGCCGACTGTGTTGAAACCCAAGTCCCATGCTATATGCTCCCTTGCATTGTGTCGGGCGACGAATCGGTCCGTTGTGAGGTTTTGAAGGTTACATGCCGTACCGTGAACTTGCGTGTCCAGCCATCTCCGGCAAGGGCGGTTGTCGGTATCCCGTCTCGTTGCATTCAGCCCGTCTTGGGCCGGTTATGGTCTCCGATTTGATACGCCCGGGGAACCTCTCCTGTGCTCTCCTTTTTCCTGCCTCCGTGTATTTGTCTGCCCTATGTTGAAGGCGGGCCAAGCACCTCTGACGCGGTGTCGCAGGGTGTGCTCGTATTTGGCTGTGTGCATGCGCAACGGAGCAAAGCTGTCGTGTGAGCAGGTCCAAATATGCAATATGCAAAATGCAAAATGAAGTCAACGATTGTGCAATGATCCGCTCCATGCGGATTCTGTCAGCCGCAGCCGGTTGGTTGACTTCCAGTTTCTCTTTCTCGTCTTCGTCCTGTCACCGCTGCTGTCTCGGTGCTCCTCACCCCGGTTCTTTTTTTTCTCTCTTGCCTCTCTCCTGCCCGGCGCGCCGTCATCTTCTGCCATTGCCGTCGTGTGTGTTGAAATCCGCAAACCTAGGCACTCGCCTCCAACATGGTCGTTTTGTCTTCGTTTCTGTTCGCCCTTGTCCTCACGCCCTCACTCCGCGAGGTTCTTCTTCGTGTTGAATACGCCGGCCCACTGAACTGTCCTTTGTCATTCACTGCTTCTTCTTGCTGTCCTTCTTGACACCGGCGGCACGCTCCGCATCGCGCTTGGCGTAGATGCTGGCCGTAAAGGGGTTCTCGTAGCTCAAGGCGACCAGGTACACAAAGAGCACCCAGCCGGTGATGAGGATACCCGCGGGACGGCCATAGACGAGCGCCGAGCCCAGGAAGCTCATTGTGCTACCGTAGTACATGGGAGCGTCGGTCACGTTGAAGGGGAAGCCAGTGACAATGTCGTCCATGAGGATGCCAAAGTAGTCGCCAAGGAAGGTGCCGGTGATGCCGAGCTGCCACGTGGACGAGATGACGAGCAGGTTGCCCACGGCCAGCAGGGCATAGCCTGCATACGTGGCCTCATTGGTGTCAAGCAGCGGGTGGATGGGCTGGTCGCGGAGGGCACGCTCGTAGAGGACGTCGCGGACGATGCCGAGAGAGAAGATGGTCGCAGCGAGGAAGTAGCAGGCAGTCTGGGACTTGCCGCCGAACAGACGGGTAAGAACCTTGTTGTGGTATTCTAGTTTAGGAGAGGATTATTAGTTGGCAAAAGACAAGATCCAGATAAAACGGTTGATCTGGACTCGGGGTGTACCTTGTCTCGCGACAATGCTGTCCATATGTTAGCCAAGAACCAGAAAGGGTCAAGCACAGGAGATGACATACTTCCAGAAGGTCGGGTTGAATGCAATAGCGGCTGCAGAGACTGTGAGATGTTAGCCAAACGTGCTCGTCTGCCAGAAGCGGCATTCATCGGACGAAAACAGCCGACGAGAGAGACGGACTGAAGAGGCTCGTCTGGTCGAAGTCAACCAGCTCGGACAATTGGAGGGAAGCCATGGCGACGGACGTGGACGAGGTCGTGGGTTATATTGGTACAAGGCGAGTAGCAACGGATGCTGTGTTGCTGGGGAGAATGTGGGAGAAGCAAAGATGCAAACTTTGATTTCGGTAGATGGAAAACGGCAAGCCTTTCTTGCTTCTCAACGAAAACAAATGGCAGGAATTGAAATGCACTACTACGGTGCGCAGCAGGTTTCGTGCCAGTGACGCTATATCCAACAGGAAGGGTCGTCATTGGCTGAGCGGAGAGCTCCTTGTATTTGTAGTGGGGTCAGGTTGGGGCATTTTGGGGGCCGTTGGGCCTGTAGGGTTTAGTGCCTTTGTTCACATGCTTCTGACAGCTCTTCGCCTTCAGGGCCGCTCCAGGGGCAGACCAAGTCCGTTTCAGCGCCCCACCTAGCTGCTTTACCACTGGAAGCTGTTGCAAACTGCGCTAACCCATTGGGGAGCTCTTGGACTAAACTTGCTCCCGAACTCCTCCACGTTTCAGAAACAGCCATTTACGTGTTCTGAGCCGCCTTGCGATTTCTCAACAGCAGGTGTTACGGGCGCACTTTATGTTCCTCGGTTTTGAGTGTTGCATCGTTTATATTGCCTATTATTATTTTTTATCTCTTTCCTCAAAAGTGTCTTCCACCGGCAATGGCTGGCCGTGCCGCTGTACTTGAGCATCTGAGCTGGTGACATCTTGATTACAGCTTCACTATCGTCGATCGCATTAGCTCTATCCACCTTTTCCTTCTTTCTAAACGTTTTTTTTTTTTTTTTTTTTTTTTTTGTTAATTTTTTCTTATGTTTTGCTTTCTACATATCCTTCCGAGATGCCTCCCAAGAAGTCAGTTGCCCGCCGCGAGCCGGGCATACCCGCCATTCCAGATGACTCCTCGTTCACCCCCGAGAGTTTCGAGCGGGAGCTCAAGTCCCTCGCCGCCAAGGCCAAGGAGGACACTTGGGCCCGCGCTGCCGTCCACGAGACACTGATCTACGGCCGCGTCGTGGTGCTCCTCACACTGGCTGCTGCATCGGCCAACGCCTCCCTCGCATCACTCTCTCCCGTTTACGGTGCCATCCCCGCAGGCCTCTACCACTCGGTGCTGGTCGCGTCCGCCCTGTTCGTTGGGTGGTCGTCCAACCTGTACCTGCGGCGCCTGCTGCCAGACAGTATCCCGGTGTCCATCTGCCTCCCCTTGATCGCCACCTACGTGCCTTTTATACACTACACGCTGTCTAGCGGCTACTACAGCGTCAGCACATGGTTTGGGGCACGCTGGGGTCCCGTCTTTGTCGAGGCGGTGACCCTTTTCCCGCTGCTGGTCGCGACGGCCGCGTGTGTCGCTACAGATCTTGAAGCGGCCTCGGGCGTGGATGACTTGGTACGCTTGCCGCGCTGGCTGGCTGATGCGCTGCCCGGGATTGGCTCGTGGTCCTTCTTCCGCTTTGCCCAAGGCGCGACAGCCGTTGCCGGCACCGTTTCGTCGACGGCACCTGCCGCTCTGTCGTGGCTGTCCACACGCGTGGCCAGCCAGCTCGCGATTGCGATTGGTTACGGGTCTGTGGTGCGGCCGTCGCGCATGATGATCTTTGCGATCCCGCCCTTTTTGCACACCCTGATTATGAACTCGCACCTTGCCGCCAGCCCCTGGGCCCTGGGTGCAACCAACAATGGGCTGCGTCCCGACGGCTGGGTCGTCCTTGACCGGCGCGAGTCCGTCACGGGCTACGTGTCCGTCGTCGAGAATCTGTCGCAGGGGTTCCGTGTGTTGCGCTGCGACCACAGCTTGCTGGGCGGCGAATGGACGCGGTTCCCGGCAAATCCGGTGGCCGAGCCCATCTATGGCGTCTTTGTGATGCTCGAAGCCGTGCGGTTGGTCCAAGTGCCCGGCAAGGTGGAGCAAGATACTGACGCCAAGGCTCTTGTCGTCGGTCTCGGGATCGGCACGGCGCCCGCGGCATTTGTCGCCCATGGAATCGACACAACAGTGGTCGAAATCGATCCGGCTGTACATGATTTCGCGAGCCGCTACTTCCATCTTCCAGCAAACCACACGGCCGTGCTGGAGGATGCGGTTGCATACGCCGACCGGTTGGTGGCAGAACAGGGCACCGAGAACGGCCAGTTTGACTACATTGTACACGACGTGTTTACCGGAGGCGCCGAGCCTATTTCCCTGTTTACTCTCGAGTTTTTGCAGAATCTACACACCCTTCTGAAGCCGTCGGGCGTTGTTGCTATTGTAAGTCCCTGCCCCTTATTGTGTCCTACAAATTACACAGAGCCCGCGCTGACATTTTGCACAGAACTATGCTGGCGACTTTGCATTGACACCCATCAAGGCCGTTGTGCTCACCATCCGCACGGTGTTCCCAGCGTGTCGTATTTTCCGCGAACACCCGCAAGATGCTGACAGCACGGGTGCCGACTTTGCCAACGTCGTCATTTTTTGCACAAAGAACGGGGAGCGGGATTCTGATATCCAGTTCCGGGCGCCGCGGAAAGCAGATTTGCTAAACAGCGAAACCCGCAAGCACTTTCTTGTGCCACAATACGAGGTGGTGGACACCGATTTCCGGTCGACGGAAGAGGCTCGCATCGTACGGCGTAACGACACCGAGCAGCTTGCAGAATGGCACGCTGAAAGTGCTCTGGGCCATTGGGCAGTGATGCGTCGGGTTGTGCCCGCCAAAGTGTGGGAGATGTGGTAAATTTGGTCAGAAACAGCGCGTCATGGCTTTGTACATTTAAAAAGAGAATTTGGTTCTGTCTTAATTTAAGCGGAAAATATTTGGAAGCAGAAGAGAACAAGAATCGGCCAAAAATGGTTTACGAGATATTCACTCGTCCTTTGGATGTGTATCTTTCGTGCCTTCGGCTGGCTCTTCAGCAGCCTCGATCGCCTTCCCTAGCGAGGTCGTGTTGAAGTCGGTACGGAACTGCTCAAGGTACTCGGGAACCGCATTGACGCGGTTGTACGACGCCGGAATGGGTTCGCCCAGCGTGGTGTGCACCGGAAGCACACCCGCCCAGACGCTGTCCAGCACCGACTCGTCGTCCAGGTCACAGCGGTCATCATGCGTGTTGCCGGTGCGGATCTTGGCACTGCCCGTCACAATGCGCACCTTGAGCACCGACGTGCTCTGCATTTCGGCGTTGTTGGGAGGAACGCGCGTCTGGTTCCAGCGGCCGGGCACGACGCTGTTGGTAATCTGCTCCATGGCGTACAGCTTCTCGGAGACGTCCGTGACAAGTGTGGCATACCCAAACAAGACGGCCGATCGGTAGTTGTAGGAGTGGGCGTTGGGGGAGAGTGCCAGGACAAGGCCATCGACGTGCGACGCCGCAACCGTCACGGGCAGACCGGCCGGTGGCTTGTCCTTGTCGCTCTCCTTGCCCTCCTCAGTTGTTGTCTTCGTCCGTGAGATGTTGATCAGCCGTGACGACACGTAGCCATGGAGATACAGGTCCAAAACGTCGCCCGTATCGGCACTGGGCCGCTCAAACGAGCCCATTGCGCCGATCATGGGCAGGGTGGCTGGGAAGGGCGAGTTGTCCGGCTGGAAAGAGACATGGAGCAACTGGGCCTCGTTTACAAGCGAGTGAATGGTGCGGAGAGCGTATGATGCTGACATTCGTTAGCGATGAAGCATTGGAATAGTCACAGTGGAAGACCGTGAGAGTTCCCTACCTCGCGAATTGTACCGCTTGACGGTGTTGTGCGCCTCCTTTGGGTAGGTCAACTCGTATCGCGGCATGGCGGTGGATTGACTTGGTGGGTTAATCTATGAGACAAGATGCGGGCTGTCGACCGTTTACACAGTGCTTGGGCTTCTGCGACTTCGTTTTGTTTTGTTCATCGAGCCGTGATGCTACTTATATAATTTTCGAAAGTCCTCCCCTCATTAAAAACCTAGCGTGACTCATTGGCTCATTCGCCGTTGTTTGACGACCAACATGTTCGCGCCTTCCTCTGCGTTCTCCTATTTCTGTTCCTTCCAAACCTCCGATATGTCCCATCCAGAGGCTCTCCGCACCTTCCTTCCCCGAATAACGCCAGCTGCAGGCGGACTTGAGCTAATCCACGGCGCCGATTGGCGTCATTGCAACGGGCTGCATGTGTGCACTATGCCTGTTCCAGCAGGTCCAGGCGGAGGACGAAGAGTACGGCGTAGACACTGACGCAACATGAAGGCAGAAGCGACCGTGACCCATAGGGACCCGAAATGAATTATATACAGCTAGGTGTCAAGAAGAAAGGTGCCGTGCCGGAGTTGTCTTTCACAAGGGAAACGGCCGATAGAGGCACCACTGCTGCCATTGCTACTTCCTAAAAGGATTCCATAGAGCCGCTGTTGCTGGCTTAACATGGTAAGATTTCCTGAATAGGACATTCTCAACGTTCTACATTTTACTTTGGAAGGTGCAACCAGCTCGCTTTGCGTTCTGTCACTTGACTTACCTGTCACAATCCGTCCAATTGCATCTGTCCAAGCTGATAACGTCAGATAAGTCATTAGATTCGTGTCATTGTGAATTTGCCATGGTCACTACGTATGTATGCAAGAAGGCGATAAGGCAGGCATTGTTTCAGCCTCCTCGTTTCCATTTTCGCGACCTTCATTGCTCATTGCTTGACGCTCAAGTTTCACGTCCCCATTCGGCCCTTTCCGGCTATCGTCGCAGTGTCATAAGGCCTCTTTCGAGTACAGGCTGCCAAGACTCGTAACCTCAAGGCGGCGTCTTTTCCTACTGTCGTGAAGCGAATTTCGACTGTATTTGAGGCTATTCACGATCGGATGCCGCGCCTTCCATTTTGCGCAGCCTGCCGCTCGCCAGATGTCATGTGTTTTGGGCTGGCTGATCCTCCACAGAGGGCGTTGGCTAAAGGGCGGTTAATCCCCAGGGAAAGGGCGCTGAGACAACAATGGGCAGAGCAAAGGCAATGGCCGGCTGAATGGGAAAGAGCAATGGAAGCTTTCGAAGCTTTCCATTTGAAAAGGCAAAAGACATGATGCTAGCCGAGAATACTGTTTAGGAAAGAGCTAGGAGCAAACGTTAAGATAGAAAGAAAGAAGCAGACAGATTGCACGATTTGAAGAAAGAGCGTCTCATATTATCGTCTCACTTCGCGCAGCAGTGTCACCCTAGCATGGTCACTCTGAGAAGTTCCTTCCGCGTAAGGCCTCCGGGTGCTCTTTCCATACATTGGTTCCCCTGCATCGGACGGTGTCCAGTTGATCCTGTGGACTTTGTTGGTTTTCATCTCTCCCCGTACCTTATCTCTTCTTCATCTGCTTTCACCATTGCATCATCACCAAATATAACATGACGAATTGGAACCCTGCTGGGAAAGGGTTCGTGCGTGCCCGAACGCAACCCTCCCACACTGTGTCCCCCACATTGGACTTTGGGAGCTCCTGGCCCAGACAGTTAATATTGGGCGAAAATTGCGGGCTGTTCGCCGCCCTTCCACAATCCCAATTGGACTTCTCATCATCCTGGCACCGGAGCTCTTTTCATTGCCATCTCTTGCAGCTAACTGGAGTAATGGTGGAAATACAGACGCTCAGACAGTTCCCGATACAATGATGTTCTACGAATTACAGCTGTCACAAACTCTCGTTTAAGCTTTGTCTGTCCTGTCTCGCAGTCAAAGGCGAGACAATCTGCCAATTCTCCGACTGGACGGAGAGCGTACACGAAGAATGACAGAACTTCCTCGATACATAAACAAAAGGGCTCTCGTCTTTTCTGTTCTGCCTCAATTACCGTTCCCATTAGCAAACCGACAGCTCTCTTTGTTTCGATCGTCTCTGCACCATGCTTTACGCTGGTGGTGTGCTGGATCGGCACCACGAGCCCACGAGCAAACGATACAAGAAGCAGTTCTCTCGAGATCTTTTACTTGTGCCGTTTTACTTGCTACGATCCGGCCATGCTATACCAATCGCGGCCAGCTTTATGCCCACTGGCGCACTAACATCTTGAATGCTTCAATTTTTGATCAGAAGATGATCGTCCCCTCAACCAACCTGCGTTGCTTTCGATTCTTGTTGCATTCGGTTTTTGCAGTTTCCTGAGGCCAATTTGAAAGCACTCGCTTGCTGTGTGGCCGTCTCGGTCGTAAGCTACTATTCTTTGCGTTATCTTATGTCAGGGTGCCGCGACGTCTCGGGTTTCAAGTGAAACAAGGCGCCAGCAAGGATCCGCTTCACGACCCAAACAATACTACCCTCCTACCTCTGCGCCCTTCCCATAACGCAATCCTGCCGCAATCCCACCAGCGTGGCCCGCGGCCAGCCTTGTGGCCCGCCCAATCACTGTCCTGCCGCAGAGCCCCTTTCACCGGCATGAACGACACCCATTGAGCCATCCTGGGCAATCGCCCAGACCATCCCCTTCTGCATCGTGTTTGAGACGTCGTCCGACTGGAGAAAAGTTTTGGCAGGTCGCTTGTGCATGCCAAGAGTTCCCACACGCAAAGTCGAAGAGATGGCGAGAGGAAAAGGACGTATCGTTCTCAGAGAGGTTTGCCTCGAGTGACCACCGAGCTGCAAGTGATGTATCCGATTGCCAGTGCAACTGCCCACGGTTGTTCTATTTCTGTTCCCGCCGATGCGGATTGCCCTGTCCCGGACCCAGCATGCTCTGTATCTCAGGAAACTTTATCGTGCTCTCTGTATGCCTCCTGTGTGTGGGAGGACGTGTTGGTCGTCCGCTCGCCCCTCGCTCACTGTCTTCTCGCTGTCTGAAGTGGAATGCATGGAGATGTGCCATGTCGACTCCACCCTTCTCCTCCTTCCCGCGAGTTTCCCCCGTCCCTCCTCGTCGGGTTGTCACTATTCCCTCTGTCACTTCTTCTCCTTTCTCAGTCTCTTCTTCTTCCTCCTTCTCTTTCTTCCATCTTGTTGTCTAGCGACGAACTCGTTCCGTGCGGCGTTTTCATCCCTCGCCGTCGTTCGATTCGAATACCATCACGGCTTTCTCTCTTTGCAAACATGATTTAACTTTGTTTCTTCTTCTCTTTCTTTTTCCTTTCGTTCTTCCAATTCTAGCGTCACCTGACCGTTGTACGATCCTTCCCCTATGTCCCATTGATTGGGTTTTCTTTTGTGTTGCGGGCCGGTTCCCCTTCGTTTGACCGGCTGCGCCGTCACCATGTCGACTTCAGGAACTTCCATCCCGGTCCTCGTCGCCGCCTTCGTGTTTGGCATCGTCGTCAACGCGGCGTCGGCGGCGCTCCTCCTCCACGTCAGCAGCCATCGAGGCACCGTGTTCCGGGACGGCCAGAGGCTGGTCCTCTCCACATTCCTTTTAGGTGCCACCCTGTGGGCACAAACCGACTTCATTTCTATCCTCATCGACCCGACGGCTGCCTCATCGTGCCAGGTGGGCATCATCTTCAGCACGCTATTCGACCAGCTCGCCCGTGTCTCCATCGAACAGTATCTACTATGGGCAATCAACAAGGGCGCCAAATCGGGCGTTCAGCAAATGGCACTGCAGGCACTCATCGTGTCTCGATTTGTCGTTGGCTGTGTCTTTGTCGCCTTCTCACGGCCCCAGTTCAATCCTGCCTGCGTACCCATGTCCTCGATGATGCCTGTTGCAGTCGTTGTTGTCGTTCTTGACTTCGTTCTCATCACGGCTCTAGCCATTATAGCCATCACGGCCGGTCTCCTGAGAGACGCTCGGGGGGGCGGCGCTGATGCTGGGCCCAGCAAGGCGATTCTGCTTGTTATTGTTGCGTTTGCCGTTTGGACTGGGGTATGCTTAACTTTCCTGAATATTTTTGCTTGCTGCTTTTATTCACTTGGAAATTTGTTGCTAACACAAAAAAAAAATTAGACCAGCGTGGTTATGCTTTTTGGGATGACCAGTGCCGACTTCCGTCTGCGTACTCTCCTTCCAGCCACGGGCCTGTCGATTCTCGTTTGTAAGTTGAATAATGGCAATAGGCTTGCAAGTTTTTCGTGCTGCTAACGACGATTTAGTTATTATCACCACTTGCAACGGTGCGTTGACGAGCAGCACAAAGTCAACAAGGGCACCTGACTCTCCCGGTATCCGCAACATCACTACCGGCAGTTCCGTTTCTACTGACGCCTCATCCGATTATCCCCCAAGCCGGTTTGAGGATGTCAAGCGATCCGAGATTATGACGACCTACGCTTTCGAACAGCCCCGCGAAGCTCCCGGAGTCCCTCCCGTACCTTCCAATTTCTCGCGACCCGTAGTCATGCTGGCAAACGTCGAGGCGCCGCCGTTAATGGTACAAAATGAAGCATTTGCTCCTTCCGTCTCTGCTTTTGCGACTGCTGCAGTTTCTGGCTTGCGCAAGGTGGACATTCGTCCTCAGGGGAAGACGAAGCGTAGCCTTCTCGATTTAAAGGGTGGTCCCGGAGCTGGCCGTGGCGGCAAGATGACCATCTCGAACCCGATTCTCGAAGCGAACGGCGACCAGAATCCCCTCAACAAGATTGCTACAATTAGCCTGGAAGAAGCGGCACGGGGTGAGCGAGAGAGGCGTGCAAACGATCTTCAGAGAGATTCCGCTTTGATCGCCAAGCGCCCTGCACCACAGCCTCCCAACATGTCGACTGAAGAGGCAATGAAACGATCAGTGAGCCTCAGGCGGAAGGAAGTTGCATCTGTGTCTTCTCAACCACCAATGCCCACTATGTCGAGTCTGGAGCCGATGCCTATGGGCACAACATCCTCTGCCCAACTGTCGCCGGGCGTGGAGGAACTGCGG